ATAAGCCTGCTAGTTTTAAAGTAATAGTTGTGGATCTATGATAGCAGAATACAGAACAGGCTGCAACCTGAGAAGCTCTGCCAAACAGTCACTGTCACGACTGCTGTGTGGACATAACTGTAATTTCCTTCTTTAGCTTCAACTGATCCACTTGTTATTTGTTAATAGGAAAAAAGAATTATCTCCATGGGGGACCATCCATTAACTCCCACACAGCCTTTGACAGCTTCTGTATAAGCCTGCTGAAGAGGAAAAGGAGGAAACCCAGCAGCTTTACCTTAATCTGCTATGCTCACACCACAATTTGAAGCGATTTTCTTCATGCCTTGCAGCCCTGAGCAATAATCTCTCAGAGCAAGAGCTGACAATTGGGTGGGGGGAGCTCCTGGCACTGAAGGGGAGAGGTGCTGCTGCATGAGAGAGCTCTTTTGCCATTTTCTTTGTTATTTTAGAAGTAATGGTCAATCATTAACTCATTTTGCTGTTATTATTTGCTCACAGAATAATGGTCAGGATTTGAGGACTAAGGCAATCTTAAGGAAACAAGGTGCTCAGATAAGGTTTGTTTTCATTTGACAGTTCAATTCCAGCTGGTGGCTTTTATGAAGCTTCCCATTGCCAGGAGTAAATAAATATTGTTTACTTAGAGTATTAACACAACAGTGCTGAAAACATGAATGAAACAAGAGAATTGATACTGTGGTGTGAAATATGTGTTGTCTTAGGCTGAAGTGTCAGCAGAGGGTTTGCTTGGCAGGTAAGCCACCCTGAGAGAACTGGGCTGGTAGGAATACTGGAGGTGCTTTTTCTTTGTCATAATATTTTAGAAGTGATGTTTCTTACCTGAAGTGAAGCACTGGGCTTTAGTAATGCTCTGCAGCACCCCTGTGCTTCAAATGAGTCTTACATATGTTAATCCAAAGCATCCAAGTATCTCCATCAGGTGTATAGTTCATAGTCTGAAGGGAAGGCATGTACACTGAACAGGCAGCCAGCACCCTCAATTGATAGGATTTAAATGGAAATTGTGGAAGCATCAAAACTTACAGTCAGTTTCACATCCAACTGGATAGAAATAATCAGCCTGAAGAGCTTATGTTTGTCTAAGTTACATATATTTTTCACATGGAAGGGTCTTTTTACTGGAGCAGTAACAGATTGTTTTGTCTTGATGGAGAAAACTACTGGAAGAACTTCAGCAGGACTGCTGTTTTTGTAAGTAACTGCTATCAGCTGTGAAAGACACTTATGTTCCAAAAGAGACTGCTGTTAGGTAGGAATTTTTAAACTTATGACCTATTTTGATTTTTTCTTTTACTGTTGAACAAGCCTTACACACTTCTAACAGTACTAAAAAACTACAAGGTAAGAATATTTGCCATGACATTTGGAGATAAGGCTGATTTTACATCAGAGGAGATCTCACCCAGGAAATTATAGTCTAAACTGTCATTCATCAAGTAGTCTTTCAGGTGCGATGGGGAGAAAATTGGGAGATACTTTGTTGTTCTTAACCAGGTAGGTTGGGAGAAGCTTCTCAGTGTATATGGTTTTAATCAGATTGGGTTGAAGATTATTTACTTAATAATTTATTTATTACCAGCATGGAATTAATGGGCAATTAGTGACTCTACTTTTAGGATCTGTGTCAGCCACTGAACAGATAAATGACAATAGTATATGCTGGCAAAACATCAATAAACACCTACCATTTTCTGAAGACCTTTCTTGAAATAATTACAGGAAGTTGAGGCTTTGCAGGTGCACCTTCCCTCTTTTCCTCTTTTCAGGAAATTGAGGAGTGGTTAGTGTTTGGAACTCAGAATTCTTATTTTTTATGAAGACTTTTTAAAAATCTAGTTAGTGCTTCTCTTTTGTAATGCTTTGGATTTGCATTTGACTAATTGTCATTGGAAGTTTTGGAAATCAAAACTAACTTGTGTTTTTCAAGTGGAGCATTCTTAGAAGGCCCTATGGAATTAGGCTCCAACTTTTGCAATTCAGTCACTGCTTTGCAATATGCATTGTCCCACAAATGCTGGGATGGTCCTCTTGGTCCACTGCCTTCTGGTCACAGGTTCTTTAGAATATGGATCATCTCTGTCTTTTAGTTGTGGTATGTGCCTTTTTAAAAAAAATAATAGCATTGCTCAGAAAGTGTAAGCACAAACAATGTAAACCTGGCTGCATATTTTCCTTTTTAAATTTTATTTAATTGTTGAATAACAACAATGTGCAATAGAGCAGTGTTAACCTGGAATAAGTTTGCTTTGGTTTTAGAGGGTATCCTTTTTTGTTCTGATATCATAATGAAATTATTAAAATACACATCTTATGACCATCAGTGCTTTTATTATGAAGATGCATTTGCTTGGCTAATACAACTAACACACTGTGTCAGATATGCTTTGCCATCCCAAGTGGCATGTTGGAGGCAGAGGAGGAGTGTTATTTCAGTTCCTTTGTGTAGATTCTTCCAAAAGGCAATGCTGCCTGGATTAAAATCATCTTCTTGCCTTCTCCTGTGATCATTAAAATGTACTTCCCAGCCAGAAACTATCAACTACTGCAGGAAAAACCCTACCCCAGATACTCTTCAAACTTGTAGGTGAGAAGCTAGAAATGCTATCATGTCATTTGCTTAAACAAAATAATCTGCAAAAGTGCTTACATATCACTTATGGCCTTTCACAAACCTTCAGGAAGAGTTATTACAGTGAGTTTATTTCATTCATTCCAAGCTTCTCTTTAAAGTTTTTTATTTACATGCAAATAGTCTCCCTTGCTAGAATTTTCACTGTTTCATCTGACATGCAAAATTATCCATGTAGATTCATGTGATGTCTCTGATTGGTAGAAAAAAACCATCTAATAACTGGAATTCTTTGCTGGTGTCTTTTTAAAAGCTAGAAAACAAGTAGTGAGTAATTATCAAAGGAATTATTTTCTATAAAAAGCAGAACAGTAGCTATAGCCAGTGGTTCCCAAATGGTGTGGTTTGGACACAGTTCTGCTCGAGAGCACAGCAGTGGATAGTTCAAGCACTCACTGACAGTAAAAACAGCAGGAATGAAAGTTACATTCTGTTGCACAGAGACTAATATAATGATTATATACTGTAAATAGTATCTTACTGCTTCATTATTCTGAGCTACTTGTTTCTTATGAAGAATGTCAGACTTCTGCAAAGAGAAAATGGAGTGAACCGTACAATTGGGGGATTTATGCTTGTTTCAGACATTAGGAAATGACTAGGGTTTTTTCAGTTTTACATAATTTTACTATTTTTAAAAAAACATATTTTATGTATGTAATGGGGGAAAAGTTTATCTTGATTTATTTTAATTACTTCACGTGGAGACAAGAGCAATCTAACTACAACAGATATATGAAAAGAGGAAATATTGTCTGAAAACACACTGAGTAAGCAAGACATTACAAGACACTGCTGCCTCCTTGTACATGTGTATTAAGTGATTGCTAAGATGAGCAGGACTCCTAAATGAGCAGAATTTGTGTTTCATTAATATCTTCACTTTTCTTCTTTTCAAGTTCCACTCTAATGCTGAGACAGAAAATGGAGAGAAGGATTTATTGTCAAAATACATTAGCTGACTGCTGTTATACCACTTCATTCTTTTTAAGTCTAAAATGTACATTACACATCTAGATGCACTTAAATGTTAACTATAATTTCTTTGTTGAAGCAAGGTTATTGATATTAGTTAGTCCTATTATAATAAATAACTGTTTCTTAGAGGGAGTTCTTGTGGTGGATTAAGAAAAAATGACAACCAAGTATTCTGTTACTCTTACAGATTTTTACATTGGCACAATGTATTAAAGGTGGAGACCCATGGAATACTGACTACTGAAAAACAAACAGAAATCAAAACAAATACACATATAAACATTATTGTTTATATTAGATATAAAAAATGTTTATATGTGCATTTGTTTATAATAATATAAACATTACAAACATTCTCAAAAGTCTCTACCATGAATATTTAATGATTGTTTATTCACAGATCTGACCAAACAGCCATTGCTCCTTTTTCCAGTTGAATTATTTTTATTCTTACCTTGACTTGCAGATCAACTGAGATTCAGTTTTACTGAGGAGCTGGAGAATGAAAAAAACTTTAAGATATTATCAGACATTAAAGAATGGTAATTTAAAATTGAGACTTAGTACTGAAAGTGAAATATGGACACTCTCTAGTAGTTGCTTTTATCTGATGATTCTAAGAAGATTTAATGTTCCTAAAGCAAGCTTCAGATGATGATAAAATTAATCTGTGAGCCCTGAGAGTATTGGCACCCAGCACTGCAAGGTGTACTGTATGCACATTCCTGATTTAGCACCGAGTCAAATATTCAACTTGGTGCTGTGTAGAAATACCTTCAGGCTTGCTGTGCTGAAAACGGATTTCCATCAATTACTGTTATGTAGGTCACTTTTGCAGCTTTTACTGGGTTTGAGCACTTAAAGTAATGCTACATACATTTGTACTGATAAATAGATACTTTGCTGGCAGCTTTACAAAAAATATTTAATTTATAATATTTTTTAATTCTGTTATAAACATGTGACTTTTGTTCCTGGTCCTTTTGACAAACAAAATAATTTGTTATAGCTGCAAAAATGTTTGTGATGTAGCATGCACTACCTTATACATATGTCTGATAGCCAATGATTTGATTTAAAACCTTCAGTTACAGAATAAGCACAAAGTCCAATGAAGTTATCCTCGATGCAGTGGTTGTAGATAGACCTCCCTTCCACTGCTAAGTATCTGCTCTAGAAATAGCAAGTCAGAAGTGCAATAATTGTACACCATCAGACCTCTATTACCTAGCAGGTAACCTAATTCTATCATAATGCTTCAGAATGAAAACAAAAATCTTACTGATGCGTGTAATTAACAAACTTTTTGTATACCACCCAAAAAATCAGATAAAGGGGAACTATGGTTTTATTTCCTTTTAACTACCCATTAGTCTCTCTTCCTTGCAGTGTTAGGGTTATGCATAGGGTTCATCTGATTACCTCTGACATCCAGCCTGCACTCTATTTCAGCTTCACCACACTCATTGACAGCTTTGCAGGTGTAAATGCCTCCGTCAAAGGGAGTGGGCTTGCGGATCTCCAGGGTCAGCACCCCCTGCTTACTGAACATGCGGTACTTGGCATCCCCAGAGAGATCCATTTTGTTTTTGAACCAGAATATCTTTGGCTGAAGAACAAAAAAGAAGATTTTTAAAATAGAAGTTAGAGAATGGAAGCCTTACACCCGATCTTGCGGCCTCAATGTAGCCATCAAAGGCTAAGTAGTATTATGAGGTGTATTATAGGAGTGTTGAAAAAGAACTGTTAATACTTTTTCAAGGAACATCTCATTCAGTACAAATTCATGAAACCAATAATTCAAAAGTTCAGTATTTTTGTTAACTCAAAATAGCATATAGAAAATGTAGGGTTTTGCCCTGTTTTTTGCAATTAAAAAAAACCCCAAACCCAACCCCTATTAACTGTCTACAAGTTCATTAATTTAGGGGTTATTTAGGTGTGCTTATTAAAATCTATTTGAATGCTACAAGTATCTTATAGCAGGGGAATTAAATGTCACAGATTACTAGAACAGAAGTGTCATAAAAGTCCACAGATGCTGGGTGGCCAATTTAGGATGCCAAGGTTTGGTCCAGAAAAGAATTTTGCAAACTCTCTAGCATATCTTTAGCAACTTCAGGAATTTAAGCATGAAGTTCCTGTTGGCTTCTGCTATGGAATGAAGTGGTTGCTTCTATACCAGTTCAAGCTTTTATGTTTTGTTTCCAGTTCCTGAAAATGTGCCTTTAATTTTTATAAAGGAAATTTAGAAAATGAAAAATCTGAAACAAACTGCTTTTGTTTATTTCAGGCTCATTAGTACATACAGTGAAGAAACAGTGTTTAAAGAATAGAAAACCAAGCTTTACATTTATCTGTTTTTCTTTCAGACCTTATTGTCTTCTGTTTCTTCATTCCATAAACCCCAAAACTACTGCACTGTTTTTACAGAGTGCTTTCAAATCTACTGAATCACTTTAGTGTTTGACCTGTGGTATATCAATCCAGTGCATCCCACCTGCCACTTGCTCAATTTTCTTGTCAGATCTCTGCTGGATTTTTTCCTGCCTTAACATTTTTTCCTTGTTTCTCTATAGCCTCTTTATCTTTCTGGTTATATGTCTCTTGTTATACTTCATTGCTGGCAGGGCATGAGTACTGTCTCTGCTTGCAGTGGTAACTTTTCCATGACATACAGATCATCCTGAGGTGTGCTTGAGAATCTACAATTATTAAGAACTGGGAACTTCTCATCCACATAAGGTAATGAGAGCTTTTGCAGAGCACTGCTGCAGGTACTGAAACATTTTATCAAGGTTAATTTGGGCAACGGAAGTACAAAAACATATCTGGAAAAGCTGCTTTAAGAGCATTAGGTGTACTGAAGGTTGAGGACTACCTGGATCCTTCAGGCTAATGTGAAGGAGGAGCTGGCATGCCTGAATTGCAAAGCCTTCCATTACTGCACAAGAACAGCTGTAAAATTGAGAAGGTTTTTAAAGAATCTTCTTAAAACCATGGAAACAGAATGAAGTGGATGCAGATGCACAAAAATGTCAGTTAACCAAGAGGGAATATTGTCAATAACACTGTCATTTCTAAGCTGAGGCAGCTACTGGAAGATGGATTTTGCCTACAGTTGCTGGTGTTTATTCTGTAATGTTCTTGCTTTTTTGAAGCTGTTTACATGGATATGCTTCCTTTTTACTTTTGAGCTTTGTCTGGAGCTCCATCCAATGAAAGCAGTAAATTATTTTTTTAATTTGGACTGAGTGATTGTTACATGTTTTGCTCTGTAGCAATCAGATCCCTTCAGAGGTATGAGGTAGTGAAAGAAGCTGAAAATAAGCAACCAGACATGAAGGGATTGTGCTAATTTAAATTTAGGACAAGATTATGTCATAATATGGTAAATTCCTTCACTGCAGGCAAAAATCTTATTTCCCTTTTCTGAGAAGTCTAAATTTAGCTCCTAGCCAATACAGTTTTTACTGCTTGTTCCCAATTAACAAAATAGTACATCTTTATGTAATCTTTGATGGGACTTTCATAAATATATTTAGAATGAGAAAATATTACTGCGAGATTAAAAACCCAAACCAACAAAACCCCTGCAAAAAAAGCTTCACGCGAGACCAGGCCTTATTCTAGTTAGTTTTGCAAAATAGCTCAGCCTGTCAAAAACTTCTGTGGATGCACTGGTGTTACAGAAAGACTGCTGTTCCTCTGTGTCATTTGGTTAGTGGAACAGTAGATGACATTTAGCTGCTGTTTTCTTCCAAGTCTGGAGAGAGCAGAGTATAGATAGCGAGCAGACCATTTTGTTGTTGTTTGCCTTCTGCAGTGAGTGGGTTTTGTGCAGAGGGGGGTACATTTCCAGTGGTGTGGTGCCACCAGGAGCAGTGAGTGCCTCACACCCTCTGTCCCGATCACTGTGCCACCCCCCAGCTGTGCACAGACCCACCCAACCACTCGCCCCCTCTCTGCAGGCTCAGGCGTGAGCGAGGTGGCCATGACCAGGTGCCCTCTGCTGCTCCTCTGCACAGCCATGCCACACTCAGCCACCCTGAGCTGGCAGGAATTCCTGCCTTGGCGCAGCAGTCGCAGCGAGAGTGGTGACTGTACCTTGGGGATGCCTCTGACAGCGCAGCTGAGAGTGGTGTTGTAGCCCGCGATCACAGAGCGGTTCACCAAAGGGTGGGTGAATTTGGGGGCTTCCGAGAAGTCGTGTTCTTTGTAACAAGGGGGTTTGTAAGTGGTGCCTGCAGTTCAAAGAGACGAAATAGTAAGAACTGTGTTGGCAGTTCTGCTGACTTCTGCACAATCTATCTGTCATTTATTTTGTCTGTATGATTTTAAGAAGCTTCAAAACTTTTGGCATTTGTGATATAAAAAGTCTTTAAATACATTTCATTCTAAAACATGTCTCACGTTTAATGTGTTAGTTAAGGTAAAAGGTCCTGGCAATCATGAGTTTTCAGCTTCTGTTAAAAATATGACAGCCATATGTGTGCAGAGAAAGTCTTCACCACAGACATCTTCAACTTTTAACCCCAAAATAGAAATAAAATACCACAGCTGTATTATTTACTTCAAGTAATATAGTTTAGGAAGACTCTATGATTAAATATTTTTAACTAACTTTCGTATTAGTACAGGAGATCTTCCTAGATAAAGGCTCTTTATGCTAAAATTCTTTATAAGTGCTAGTTAGTAAATAATGAAAATATCTTTAGGGATGCAGCTAGTAAAACTGTATTTTCCATTTGCCAGTGTAAGTATTCTGGTACTTAGTGGCTTTTGTGATCTTTGGTTTGAAGAATATGTTACCTGTTTTTTGGATATGGGCAGGATTTTTGGTGGTTGCAGCAGTTTCACTCAATCCACACAAATTTTCACTGAAGATTCTAAAGAAATAGTCATTTCCCATAATGAGGTCTGACACGATGCAGTTTGTGCGACGATAGTGATCAAAAACCGTGTACCATTCCTGTAACAAGACTGTACTGTTTAGAAAGATGTTGTGAGAGGTCAGGCTGGTGCTACTTTTGGTATGGAGAGAAATTTTTTGGTACAAGGAAAAGACAGGAAGACAGGTATTTAGCACTAACTTGTGAAATTGATATTATGTTGCTCCCTGTGAAGATCAGCTGATCTATTTTCTTACTTTTATATTCTGGTGGTGTGATAGGTGTATTAATGCTTCCATTTTGAGAAAAAAATTCTCTCAACTCTCTACCATATTTTAGCCATACTCCTATCTGGGGAATCTGGTACAAGATGTGTACTCAGAATACGACTGGTTAATGGGGTCTTCCATGAGAAGATATTTTCCAGTTTGACAGGCATACATACCTCTCCCAGGACATACCCTGCTATGCCTAGCATGTCACTTCAACTCTAACTCCTCCTCCCTCCCCTTCATTTTTTTGCTGCATTTATGAAAAATATAATTGCAAATAAAAAGTATAATTTCACCTTCTAAGGAGAGCTGTCTATGCAGTTGCCACCTGATACTGCACAAGCTTGGTCTCCCTTCCATTTTGTACTGATTATTTAAATTAATCTTTCACCTTTTGGAGGTTTTTTAGATTCTATTTTTCAATGTTTGATTGTCCCTGAGGTGCCACAGGACACCTTGGACATACAAATGAGTGTCATGAACTCAGTCATTTCCTCAAGTCTCTGTGTTCCCAGAGCAGGTGCTGGTTTAACTCCCTTCAAAGCCACAGACCCAGCCAAGTTCTTACCATTGTTTTTTTGTCAGCTTTCTGAACTGTGTAGCCCAAGATCTGAGCATTGCCATCGTCCTGGGGAGGTGACCACTCCAGGGCTGCATTAAATCCCCAAACATCTACAAGCTTTATATTCTGAGGAGGACCAGGCTTATCTGCAGAGGAGATATAAGAAAACATCTTAGCTTTTAGTTCAAGATTCAGGAGCCTTGTCATTTCCCCATGCAGGGGAAATAAAATAGAACCTGATAGCAATCTGTAGCATTCCATAGCAACACACTTCATTAATGTGAAGTTAAAACTGTAAACAAGAACACTGGGAAATTTTCAAATAACCTTTGAATATTCTTTAGAGAGACCTGAATCTTACGGAGAAATAGAAAACACACAAGAATTAGTTAACATCTTTAAAATAGAATAAGAAGTTTGTGTTGTTTGGATGGATGTGATTAACTCTTTAACTGCAGTTTTATTACTTACTTCGTAACCTCAGTGCAATTTCTTGGCCATTTATCTACACTGCTATAACTACCAGGGCAATGGGGTGTGTGCCTTCCAGCTGAGGAAAGCCAGCTATTTGGGAATATGCCTTTTCCCTCTTGGATCAGTGCTTGCTAGCTTGCACACTAGGTGATTTCTCTGAAATAGCTAGAAAAAGAACAAACTCTCAAAGAGATAGAGAAATCTGTGTCCTTTTTAAGATACATGGAAATATAGAGAAAAACAACATAGTATGAAATGATAATAATTTTACTTTTTTCTTTTTATACCATGTTGTTTAGTCAAATGCTGTAAGATTTAGATTAGATTTATTTAATAATATTTCTGTCTTTTTAAACTTAGGACACAAGTCCACCTTTTTGATGTTAGATTGTGTTACCCAGTTGTGGGGCCTGCTGGGGACAGCTGGATAGTTCATCTTGTTATTGAATGAAAAACAGTTCAGGATCATTCTAGACAGCTGAAAGGAAACTGTCTCCCTATTGTGTAGATAAGCTGGAAAAATTAAGAAAATGGTAAGAACCTGATGGATGTAAGTTTGAGATGAGCAAAGCACAGAGGAATGTAATTATAGGTGGCTTGTGATTTAATTCCTTAAAGAAGGATATTCAAACCAGTAATAAATTAGCCTTTGTTATTGAGGGAACTGTGACTTTCTACATCAAAGCATAATGTGCTAATTCTCTTTTTACTCACAAACTTTGGAATTGAAAAACTGTTTTATAATTAGGTTTGACCCCTACTGTCCTCCTTCAAAGGGGTGCCTACTAGAACACTGCATGATGTCTGATAAGGGATATGGAATGCATGGCTCTCATTCCACTTATCATCCTCTTTCTGCCTATCTTAACTAACATTTCAGAGAAAAATCTACCATCCTCTGTGTTTCTCAGCAGCCATCAACCAGGTAAAGCCTTCTTAAATTTTCTTCTCTGTTTGTGAAGTAGGGAATGGCAATATGTTGTCAAATGAACAACATTGCTTATGGAGAGGTGGAAATGCATTTGTTGTTAACTTGAATCACAACTTAGAAGAAACAAAATCCTAGTTGTTTTGTTAATACTAGTTGTTTTGTTAGATATGTATTTCATTTCACAGAAATCAATCAATCTATTCTGATTTAAGAGAAGAATTTTTCATACTACATACCTGTCTGTATATATGTGAAGAACAACCTTAGAAAAGGCAGAGATGGATAAATTTGCTACATGAATTTTTATGTTCTTGATATTTGTGGTTCAGTGGGATAATGCAATCTGCAAGAAGATATATCCAAAATTCCTTTGTAGAATGGTAGAATATTTCTTTCTCAGTAATAACCAGTACAACTCTAGCTTGTGGACAGAGGATGGGAAAAGTTAAACTTACTGATGCTTCTGACTCAAATTATTTTCCTCTGTAGGGCACTGTGTCGGAGTGGGGAATTATATTCTGAGGAAGTACTCTGTCTTACCCTCAGCACAAGCTCAGCTGAGGAGTTTTGCAAACTAATGAAATTTATACAATGGGAAGAAGAGATAGTGTGAATTATCTTTCAAAGATAAATTCTAATTTATATTTTCAAATAATACATGATGAGGAAAAGAATTAATTCCAGTTAAAAAAATAAAGCATAGAACTGAGGTTTGCTTCGGTCAATAGAAGTCATGATGAAAGACATAATTTACTGATTCATGCAGAGGGTGAAAGAAGTTGAGGGAACCATATTCTCCAGAGATTGGAGATATTTTCATTACCTTTTCACTTTCTAAAAGTCTTCAGTAAATACTCTATTCCCATAGAAAAAGTGCACATTCTTTTGATCTCTAGAGTAAAGGGCAACAACTGTTTTGGCAACGAGGGAAGGTGATGGCAGTAACAGAGTTGTTTCCTCTTGTTTGGAGCTGACCTGACTCATCACCACAGCAGAGCTTTTGGCTACCTGCACTCTTGCCCTACTTCAAAAAGAGATAGGTGCTGAAGCCACAAGCATTACTTCTTCATCAAGGAGACTTTTGCCAAGGGAAGTTAGCCAATGAAAAGACACCTCAAAAGATCACTGATTGACTTGTTGTGCCTCTGAAAGCCAGGTTGGCTTTTCAGCCTGCTGTTCTACAGCACCTAAAGCACCACTAGGAGTGTAAAAAGAGTGCCTGAAACACCCGTATTTCTGTCGTGCCAAGAGAAATAAAATCTGGGGAACAAAAAGTGCAGTTGACAGAATTGAGAAGAGGTAGTTCCTCTAGAATAATACAATCAAGAATCAGAGTAGATGCCCTGATTGCAGAAGTATCTGCATATGTTATAAGCCCTTTCTCTTCTTGGTCATGAATCAATGAATTATATGTATTCCCATTCATTTGAGCAAACTACTCAAGAAGTACAAAATTAATGTCCTCCATCTCTTACCTGTGTGATAAGATTAGTTCTTTTTTTCAACTCTCATTTTCTGTATTGTATAACTCTCTGGCAATGGTAGATGGATATGTTTTTGTGACTTTCTACACAAACAATTGGCAGAAGATACTTGGTGCTACGGCCTAAGAGCAATGGCCAGAATCTAGAGTCACTAACCAGTTTTAGAAAGATAAATTAGAATGTAGGGTGCATTGCTACTCCTCTTTACCTGAATCATAGGGTCAGAGAATGGCTTAGGTTGGAAGGGACCTCAAAGATCTTTCAGTTCCAACCCCATGCCATGGGCAGGGACACCTTCCAGCAGAGCAGATTGCTCAGAGCCCCATCCAGCCTGGCCCTGAGCACCACCAGGCATGGGGCATCCACACCTTCACTGGGCACTCTTGGGATTATTTTGGTTTAGCTGCCATTTACTTATTTTGCTCTTGCAGAACTGCAGTCATCCTTTCAGCAGAAGCTGCTGCTGGTATTAAGACATATTTGCTCCAATTTTTTATGTCGTTTTGTTTGCTGTTGGCACTGTTGCATACACATTCTGCCAACATAATTAATAAAACTTTAAGTAGAGCAAAGTCAGCATTTTTAATTCCAAAGCATTAGGAGGTGAGCCAAAACACGGATTCTAAAAATGTATTGATACACTGGAAGAAATTTGGGATAAAAGTGTGAAAGCGGGGAAAGAGAAATAAAAACAGTTATCAAGAATGTTAAAAAGAGTGCCAATGAGGAGAAACAGAAAAGCTCTGGCTAAACATTAATGATATCTGAATAAGCAAGATCTCAGAATATCTCTCACATAATCCCAACAGAAGTTATGGAAACTTTGGCAATGACATTGGAGAGTCAAAGAGTCATATTTCCTTCCTTAAGTACAATATGGCTATGCCTAAGAACACCAGAACTCTGAAATTCTATCCCTCTCAAAGTGATAGAAAGGATTCAATATCAAAGATTGATAAGGATGATCAAAGATATGGAACAGCATCTGTTTGAAAATAGTCAAAATGAAGAGAGTAAAACTTGAGAAAGTTAACTGAGGCAAGTGGGACTGAAGGTTATAAAATCATGAGTAACATGTAAAAGCTGAATGATTATTCATGTTTTTTTCTGATACAAAACTGTATGGATGTCAAATGAGATTGTCAGGAGACAGACTTAAATCAAGACAAATAGGTATATGTCATTAAAATGAGATTCCTTATAAAAGGATGTTTGGATTCTCAAACTAGACCTGGATTAAAATATAGACTGGATAAAATTAGGCAAGAAAAAGATCACTAAAGATCACAAAATAGCTATGGAACACAAAGAATATCCCTCATCCTCTGAAGGTCTCTAGGACACAGATAATTTCAAGGTGGGAATGTAGTAGGAAAATAAGGTCACATGCTCTTTGTCCTACCATCTGCAACCAACCATTGAAGGAGAAGGGATTCTGAGGGAGGTGGACCTTTGGGTTGCCTCAGTCTGGCCAGTGTTTTGTTTTGCTTGATCTGCTTAATTCTGATGTTGTCAGGATCTTACCTATGATTTGTATTGTTATTGCAACTTTATCAGACATGTTTTCTATCTGAAGAGTGACTTCATATGCTCCTGAGTGATGAAGCTCTGCTTTTCTGATGAAAAGGATTGTGTCCGTGCTGCTGTTCCGAATTCCCACATCTTTGGAGTCTAGAGTTTGACCATCTTTCAGCCAAGTGATTTTGGGTCTTGGTTTACCCTAAATAGATGAAAAAAATTTTTTTTGAGGCTTTAGTATTTCCATTTTTCTCTTAGCAATAATTCTAAAGGCTTAATATGATACACAGAGTTGAGATAGTAAACTCTATAAATACTTGACAATTTCTGTTTTCCTCCAGACAAATATTTGCTACCATCTGTGTGGTTTAGTGGCACCATGCTCTGAGGATGCCATTTAGTTAGAGACTGAAATGATACTGAGAACAAATCCAGAAATACTATACATGTGCCGGGCTGGTACCCTTTCCCAGGCATCAGTGAAGCCAACAGGTGATCTGACTTATTCTGATTGTTATTAGCAGAATCTTTACACACCTGAGGACTTTATTAGCTTTGCTCCCCTTCTCCTTCCTTTCTTAAAATGTTTTGATGCTCTGTCCCCAGGCATTTTAAAGATTTTTTGAAAAATTATTGTAATCTTGCAGTCTTGGGAAGTGAAATTTACTGTATAATTCTTTCTGCACTGCAAAATGATTTTGGTGACTGTCAACCTAAGCAGTCAGTGTTGCTGCACCCATGGGAGATGGCATTGTGGAATCAGTGAGCTATCAGTGGCGTGCACCGCTCTCATCCAGCCATTTCCAGGAAAAATGGTAAGTACTATTTAGTTCTTCAAAAGTTATTGGGGTGCTACTTCCACAGTACAGCTCCAAACAAGGAATCCCAAGAAAACAGAAAATGGCCATAACATATTTATTAAATGTATTAATACTTAATCCAACAGAAAATAACTCAGTGGGGGGTTTTAAGTTTCTGCCAGATTACCAAGGTGAAACAGAGCAGCCCAGGCCTGGAGTAGTTCAGAGGGGTGGGGAGGGAAAGTGGGACCTTGCAGGGTCAGCAGTCAGCTCTGCCAGGCTGCCCTGAACTGGAGCCCAAGGCACTGAAATGGGGACACTGCCTCAGGTAAACAGCAGAGAAAGCAGCTCTGGAAGGTTCCTCAAACCACTGGAAAGACTCTCTCTCACTCTGAAACACTGTATCTCTTCCCTTAGCCTATAGAGGGAGATTAAGATACTCAGACTCTTTGTTTTGGTGCCTAAAGGTAGACAGAATAATAATGAATATTTGTGCATTGCTACACCTTTATTTCAGGTTTGTCTGGTATTTGCTCAGAAGGTCTGTGTACCATCACTCTTTTTTCCAGTGGTATTAGGAAAAAAACTTCACCTTTTATAAGAGTCAGGCCAAGATCTGTCCAAAATTATGCTTAAATGTTGTCTAAAAGACCTAGAAATTGCCATTTGTTCATTGATGCTCTTTTCTCTAACTCATCAGATATATTGTAGTTTATTTTACATCAGGGCTGATAAACACCTTGAATGAGCTATGGTTTTGGATCTTGCATTCTCTGATAAATTATTTTCCTACAGCCTTCTGCCAAGGAGCATAGTTAAGAGCACCTCAGGGCTGAAATAATAGATACAAGATAGTTTTTTCCTGTTCTAGTGTACCTGTGCCCTAGTCTCATTTCAGAGAACCCTCACAAAAACCTGTTAGAGCAAGAAATGGCTTCCTCTCTTCAGCTAGAATGTATAGTAGAAATTCTGGAATAAGTGAAAGGGTTTGGGTTGGGTTTTGTGTTTTATTTTCCATATCTGGTTATTGGTGAAGAGGCCAAGAACTGACTCTATTTTACTTCCCACATATGGAATGCCTCTATTTTAAAATGATATGGAGATCCTCCTTGAATAATTTGGCTAGGGAATGCTTTCAAAATAAATATAATCTGCCTAAATAGTATAGTTCTATGGACATTTATTTAAATTTCTACTTTGCCAAGACAAATACTTGACAGGTTTTCAGACTGATTACAAGGTTGTTGCTGCTGGTGTTCTAGTGTGGTTGATCAGATATGTTCACTCACAGCTCCTCCTTTTCTGAGGTGCTGCGAGAGCCAGTGAAAGATTGCAAGTGTTCAAAGTGTTGGTTTTCATATACTCTTATATTTATAGACTGTGAAAAGCATAATCAGATAGAAAGCATGTTCCTAATACATATGTCAGAGGATAGGATTTCTGCAATGTGTAATAGATAATCTGAGAGAGAACAGTGAGTGACAGAGTGGCTAAATAGCACCAGAGAAACTCAGAGAGTTCACAGCCAGTGAAGAATGAATTTAAATGCTCTTAGATATTTATATTCACACATTTATGATGGACAAAAAGACTTCTCAGTACTACTGTGAATTTTATCCATTAATAGCACATAATACCCCTCCAATCATGTGCCGCATAGTTAATTTTGAGGCAAGAATGTGTTGATTCTCTTCCTTTCACCAGAATGTTCCACCTGCTTAAAGCACTCCACCAAAAAATGTTAGCAGCAATGTTTTACTTTCTTTTCAGGACGTTTTGATCTAAAGGTTTAAATAGGTCTGCCAGTAGCATTAAACCCAGAATACCTTGACAATGTATTTCACAGAGTTTTACTGTAGTGACCACAGAGGTCGCAGGAAAGGTTGCACAGAGACTGTAAATAGTAGAAAACACTGACTTTCACTTTCACTAGATACCAGATTCTGTATTTATTTAGGATCTTCTTCTGCAATAGAAATGGCCAGTGACTTAAAATTTTTCAAAATGCCAAGGGAAAAGTTCTTTTTGATTTGCTTTTTTTGAACGGTCATCTGTATTACATATTCCAAATAGCTATAGCCACAATTCTTAATACTGTGAGAGCTGCAATTCAACACTATGAAAACTTTAATTCATTCAAAAAAGTACTTCTTGAATTAAAGTCTTCTGGCTTTGTTCTCAGAGTAAAATCTGGTGTTGCTGGATAGATTTTAGCTTTTTTTGTTACCCTTACCCTTTAGGAGACAAGAGCTTATACCAACACATGATTCGTCAGTCGGGTACTCAAATCACGTTTTGATCAGTTGGTTCAATTTGGCCAAATTTGCCAGAGCACCTGAAGTCACTAAGATTAGCTTAGTACAGTTCTGCAAAAGATTGATGACTGGGGGAAATGCCAAAACCTCAGTTAGTGTCCCCACTAAGAAAAGTCAGGGAAAGCTCAGTCTTTTAACTATTTTGTTTGGCAACAGCTGTATGATGAGGCAGGACTAAGTGAAGCTCTGGATTAGTTTCCACATGCACTTAGCCTGGCCAGGGAACTGAGGACGTGCCAGTGAGGGGAGGAGGGCACAGAACTGGCAAATCTCTGGGAATATTGCAGTGAGGCTGCTCTCAGCACAGGAGGTGCTGCATGTGCTGGGACAGTGGTGATATGGGGCTGTCATGGTTTATTTAGCACCTCCCTCCCTGGCAGAGTCTTGTGGGGAGCAGAGAAGGCCTTGACTCTGTGTATGCACTGCTCTCAGCAATGGCTAAAATACCCCAAAATTATCAATACTCTTTCCAGCACTAATTCAAAACATGACCCCATAGTAACTTCCATGAAGAAAATTAACTGCCCAGCCAAAACCAGCACAAGGGGACACAAGACACAAATCTCTAAAATGCTAAACTTTATTCCCCTGCTTATGGGACAGCTTGTCAAATTTGTGCAATTTTTCTTCAACTTGGATATCGAAGCAGGAAAAATATCTGTTTATTTTAGGGTTTTTTAAAAATAATTACATAACTCAGAAATAGCAGATGTACAAATCTTGAATTTTGTGTGTGGCTACACATCAGTAAAAAAGTCATTTTAACAATCTTGGAGATAAGAAATGTGAAAGAAAAAAATGCCTTATGATTATGCTGAAATAATTCAAGCATGCAAGTCAAGAAAGCTAACCATGAGCGTGCAATTGTGTGCTGATCAGATATATCTCTGTGAAAAAGCAACTTTTCATGTGACCCAGTGACCATAGTGCTAAAAGACATGTACCTTTAAGTTTACATAAATTTTTTCTCTAATAATTTTTTTCCTGCTGATGCTACTCAAACAAAAAAATACAGATGATGTGTGGTTATTTGTCTCCTTTGTGGAAAAAATGTTTTGCATATCTCCAGCATCTTTTATATGGGAATTTCAAAGCTCTTCACTAATAACAGGATTACGTTTCCAGAGATGTCAATCCTAGACTGTAGAGAAATTTCAGTGTATTGAAGTTTTTACTGAGGACTTGATTAAGTGATGTATCTGTTATTACTGAGGAAATCTGTGTCAGAGCCAGAGTCTGTAATTTACAATTTCTTTTGCTATTTCTCCCTTAGGAAACCATTTCCTTACACACATTAATTCTTGCACTCTATTGATATTATAGTCATGCATCTGAAAAGAGGCATGTGGGGTTTTAGAAACAGTCAGATAGTTGTCTGTACAGCTCTAGAAAATGCCAAGATGAGGTAACTGGTCAGGTCAGTCTTTGTGTATATTTTAGCAATTTTGTGCGTCCCTTAGTGAAGTGTAGTTAAATACATGCACCCTTGATAATCCTCAGCAAGCTCTGGTTTTTATACCTTCATGCACAGTAATGCCCAAGGAGGTTCTTATACACACGCTCAGGTTCTGCATCCCAGGGCCAACTGGGGTCTTCTGTTTATGTGCAAACTCTACTTTTTGCAGTCAGCCTTTCAGAAGTTAACACACACACTTTTGCCAAAGAAGTTGCCCAGTGACATCATATGCCTTGGTTCCAGAAGAGTAATTTGTTGGATTCTTACATTTTTGTCTACTTCTCTCTAAGGTGCCTCTCGTGCTCAGTAAACAGGAATGGGCTTGCACTTACTTAGACCACTTTTTTCTTCTTCCCCAAAAGGTGGGATTAAGGAAGGAACTCTGACTGTAAAAAAAAATTACTGAAAAAAAGAATGATTCCCTCCCTTTCTCAATTTTTTGAGAAGGTTTCATGAATCATCAGCCATATTTATGTAATTCTGCTTAAGCAGTAAGTTATGGGAACTTACATTAAGGAAATCACTTTAGGTAAGTAATAATAAATAACCATGACAAAATAGAAGCTGATACATACCTGAAAAGGGATCACAATATTGATTGTTTCACCCACTTTCTTCACCAGAGTCTGTCTGAGGTGGCGTGGCAGCCAGAATTTGGGACGCTCTGCAGTTAAGCATTAGCACACTAAATATATAACTTTTGATAATGTGCAACATTATTTATAGCAAAAATAAGGCAATGAATAACTTTAAGCATAAGAAAATTGTGGAAGTACTGTTTATACTTTTAGGGACTAGCTCAGTCTCTCAGTAGTTTCAAAAGTATTTGTCTACTGGATAAAAAGTTATTATAATCCTAAGTCTCAGTTATATATTTACGTCTGAGCATGTTTTCAGTGACAGCAGCATTATGAAAACATGTCACATCTGAAATGCGAATTTGGGTGGCTTCTGTTGGATGTGAGACTTCTATATGGACTTTGTTTCTTTGGAAAAATTGTTCAGTTCAGTAGAAAGGATGGGACAAAGGATGTATTGAAGTAAAAGTCATGATAGATTATGATTAGCTATTGCTATATTGCACCAGCTTGTAAATTGCCACTGGGAGATATTTATGGACATACTCAGAAAGCACAGCAACTGATGGATTCCTTTATCTTGCTTTATCATTCAGTTACAGTTCTTTCTTTGAGATGGATGTAGTGGAATCTTTGTAGCATCTTACTTTCACTAACGAATAAGGATCTTACTGCATGTTTTTTTCATTGGTCTCTGCTTTCCTCTACTTCACTGGAAAGCTTTCTAGGCTCTCCTTTTATCCTTAGTCTTTCCCCTATTATTTACAGAAGGAATTTCTTAACATACAGTTGGAGTATCTGTCTTCATGACCATTTGGTATTGAGATGCATTAAACTTTGTTTTATTTACATTGGCTCAGTTTACTGCCAGTGAGACTCTGGCAGACACTTTGTGTGAGCCAAGTTTGAGGAATTCACTATGAGCAGCTCTTGATGTCTTTTGGACTCCAGTCAAATGAATTTTAATCTGCTGCTGTTGGGTGATACACAGGGTGGAAATTAATAATCTGCGACAATGAAGTAAATAGATCTCTTGCCATAACAAACACAGTCATTTTGCAGTAATACAGCAGCTTTTCAAGCAGAGAGATAAATATTAAATAAATGCTTCTTAAATTCTGACAGTGCCATTGCAAGAGGTGAAATGTCCATATTTTGAAAGTAAGAAGTAGAATTTTATTTTAAGAGCTATGCTTTACAAATATAAGACCTGGGTGCTGTAGAGCTGTTCTCAGAGTCAGAAGACACTGGGCACCTAATCAAAGTGGAAGAGCAGTTTGTGTGTTATTCTCAGATAAAGGCAGAATTTTGGCCAGAGGAAATGAAGAGTAAGATTTATTCAGTATAGATACTCACGCAGGATCTCTTGAACAGTAACTGGCTCTTTTATTGTTGCTGCTGCACTCTCACCAGCCAGGTTTACAGCCTTGATACGGAAATAAAGTTTGTCCCCTGTGACCAGATCTTTAACCAGTGCAGACGTGCGCTCGGTTAGGCCAGGAAGGGCAGGAATCCATTCTGTAGCTACAAGTACAGTATGTGCATATTGCAATAATACATTATTTTTCCAAACTGAGGCCTTGTTTGCAACTGAAAGAAAATTTCTATTGGGATAAAATGAACTCAAGTTACAGCACCATAATTAAAAGAGAACAAAATAAGTAGGAAGGAGAACTCTGGATCAAGGAGATTTGTTTACACGTGGAGTTAAGCAATCTCTAGACTTGATTACTCAAAATAGCTGGAGATAAGGGAATCATCTTTGGGTAGTTCCTTCAGCATTTTGTTTTATAGAGCTTTGAGCTGTGGGATTTCTTGACATTTATTTCACTACATGGGAATGGGGAGAACTTTGGAAGTAGCTTTAGCAAGAAAGTGAAGCCTTAATTGAATTTTTTTTCTTGGAGTAAATATACCTTCTGTGACTGTCCAAACAGATCAGTGAGAGCCACATATGCTGAAAACAATAGTAGAGCACATAACTGTTGGAATTTATTGTTTAATTCTCAATTGACACAGTAGAACAGAATTCTTAGTGCTTCCTTATTATAAAGCATAGAAATATGACTGAAAAATCATTCTGCTCTGACAGTGACAGAGATTCTGGTAATTCTATAGTGATGTCTCATTAAAGACTCTAAATTATTTCTGCATAAATTATGCCCTACAAACCCCCTAGTTTAGATTATTTGGCAATCAAGCCTAGTGTCAGGGAAAATGTCAATATTGAAGTGACTATAAATTTGTTCTCAGACTGGTGACATAAGCATTATGTTGTAGCATCACAGAACACTGAATTTTGTAGATATGGTGCTGTTACACTCTTTATTACCAGTAATGGTATTAAATGAGGTAAGGTAATGGTTAATTTAAAGTTTGACTGATGTTGTCACAATCATGTTATTTTATGTGTTTTAAGGAATATGCAATTCATGAATGATACACAAGTATAGGTGGGACTATAGAACAGTAATGATATTTTGTATTACTAATGTTTATTAAAGCTTATGATGATTGTGAAGATGACATTATGGATGTGATTTCCATGGTTTTACGGTCACATCGTAGTTAGTATGGTGATGGTTGGCAAGGATGGTAGACACAGATTAGAGTAAAAATTTGGTCATGCTGGACATGGTTAGGTTGTTGGTAGTGTATTGGGGTGAAGTTATTGCAATTGTAGCATTTTTAAATGCTCTGTTGCTGCTGCCTAGTAGTCATGCTTACTTACATCCATCTTTGCAGTATTCCACCATGTAACCATCTAATCCCCCAGCCCCAATCCGCTCAGGGGGCCTCCACTTCAAGGAAACAGTGCTGTCAGAAACATCCTCCACTGTGAAGTGGGTTGGTTCACTTGGAGGAGCTGTAAGGAAATACAGACAAGTAGATTCTGAGAAATAGCAATACATCTATGAGAATTCGAAGGCTATACAAGGAGTAATTAACCACTGATTTATGTACCACTGTCTATATTAATAAAATAAATCTGAAGCTGAAGCTCAGTTGGAAAGTGTAACACCTACTGCATCATTTAATAAAGACACAGCATAAGATTCCTATAATAAGAAGGGGAACAAGATAGTAGTTCCTATTCACAGATGCTCCCTTATGAAAAAAGCCACTGGAAAAACAAAGACTTGTAGAAGGGAGTCAAATTGTCATCATAAGTCTGCAGAGATGTTTAAAAATGAAAATATATACCTTTTATATTCTGTACTTACACCCTGACTGTAACTGGACAAAATTTGCATGGTCAAAGAAGCAAACTGACAGTGGCTGAATTTCACTTCACTCATACAGTGAAGAAAATGACCAAAAGTTATGACTGCATGTTTTGAGAAACACTACTTCTGATTTGTGCATATGTAACAGAGACATACTTGAGAAAAATATTTTAGGGATAAAAATTTTTGGATTAGATACAGCTTTTTAATATTTCTTCAGAACAGGTGTGTCATGGCTTTTTATAAACCCACAGTTCAGAAAGACCACTAGCTAAATTCAGTCCTCTGCTGCATGACTATTTTCTACTAATTTAAAATAATCAAGAAAAGCCCTTACTAGAGGATCCAAAATACACATAAATGTTACTGTGAATTAGTTTACATCAAAAAGCAAACAGAAAACAACTTTTTCAAAATAACATTTAGGGTGCAGGACCATAAAATTTAGTATACATACCATAAGAGCAATCATATTAATGATTCTATTTGGCATAATCTGTGTATTTTTGTATTATAAACTGAACATCAACTGAATATGCATAATAGATTTACCAAGGTAAGTTAAATACAGGTTCACATACTGTGGAACTAACTGAAATCAGTCTTAGTTCCCAAAGTTATTGTTAAAAAAAAAAAAAAACACCACCAAAAAATATCACCTAATTTCATGTCTGTAACTGTCAAAAATTTTTGTATTCATGTGGTAGCAAGGACAGCACACAGGAGGAAACGCAATTGGGAGCATACACAGCCACACAGTACACGATCAAAACCCCAAACCTCTTCTCTGAAGAAGTAAGTGTGAACTTTATCCTTAATCAAGTAAAACTCTGCCTATCCCATGAAAACTTTGGACCTTTTTTTTCAGTAGCTCCACTTGATGGTTCTTGTTTGACCTCTTTTGTTGCAGACCAGCCGTTGTGAGTTTGAAATCCAGAATTAAGAGACCCTTCTTGCAGTTCAGCCTTCCCTTCTGACTCCTTCACTGCATCATCTGCTTTTACATGATCTCCGTCAGCAGGCTGCCCCCCTTCGCTGTTATTTGTAGATTTAGAAACTCTAGTCATTTTAATCTCCAGCTATTTGTACTTTTGTGGGTCTTCTCCCTAAAAGTCTTAGCAGGCAGGCTTCCTGAGGACTCCTTTAGTTTGCTCCTTGCTCAGGGACTGCAGGAGACACTGCACTGCTGTGTTGGGAAGGATTATTTATAGAAAATCATTCCTCAAATATTTTCTTAATCATCTATCCTTTTAGCTGTGGAGAGGGCTGGGATTAAGGGAGCACTGGACGGGATACTGTGATATTTGCACCCATAAGGGAATGGGAGAAGCCGAGAGGGACAGGGAAATCTCTGTCAATTAGTTCTCCTCCTTTTTTCAGATCCAGCTTGACTCTCACACTTCTAATTATAACAACTAAAATTTCATCAGCAATTTCATGAAACTGGAACCTCTGTGCTCTTCAGGAAGAGGAATGAGAGATAGAGGAACATTACAAAGGAGAATGTTGATTAAATATAGAATATAGAGATGGCTGATAGCCTCTTTCCTGACACATTCTTTTAGCTGTAAGAGCAGTTGAAGAGAAGAGATCAGAATTGTCCTGTCTTGGTTTTATCCTAGAAATACCATGGAGTATCAGAACTCACCAATTGGCATGAAGGGTTGTGAGGCAGGGCTGGGCCGGGACATGCCAATGGAATTCACAGCATAAATCCGCATCTCGTAAACCACTCCTTCAATCATCCTCTTGGCCTCATAGGTCAGCTCCTTTAAAAGGTCAAAGTTCAGCCTCATCCATCGATAGCTCTTCTTCTTCTTTCTCTCTAAAATATAGCCTGGAAAGGACAGCTGTTATGTGGTAAAAGAACTGGAAATTGTTATCTCACATGCAGGAAAAAAGAAGATCCTTTTAAGTGAAGGAGAAATTTCCTTGAAATGTCTAAGATGTGGCATGGAGTTAAAAAATTAATTTATTTCTTTTATTCTGCTTCAATTCACGAACCTTGACTAACAGCCTAAATCCCCCACAAACAATTAATTGGATGAACAGTTTGAAAATTACTTTTATTTTAAATTAATGTTTTATCAAAGAACTGATGCTAGATCTCTGTATTCTTTGCAAAGTGATGGAAATGCAGAATGCTTCCCAGACAGTGCAGATCTCAGGTTGCTTCAGCCCTACAGTGAGTGAGATACTGCCACTCACCATTTTTCTGGCTCTGATTTCCTTGGGAAGGAAAGAGAGCCTGTATGATAGCGGAGAACAAAGAGAGTCGGGTGCACTGCAGACCAAATCTGCAGTACAGCTTAAGGTGTCATCTGTATGCCTGGAATCCATGTCTTAGCACTTATCCAGAACATCCATAGCCTTTCCAACACTACCATGCTGTTTTCCATAATGACTAAGTGAGGCTGGATTATCAGTATAAAAGATAAACTTCTCATTTCCCCAAATTGGGAATGGAATCTGTGATTCCTGATGCTTAATATGGAGGATGGTTGTACATCACATTGGAAACATAGATGTCAGATATTTTCCAGTTGACCTGCTACAAGGACTACTGAACTGTTTCTTTCCATTTAGCTATATTAATTTCTGCTGCTTCTCTGTGTTGCAGATAAGAGTGACTGAAAGGGATCCACATAAGCTTCTTTCAAACAAACTTTGCTGTGAAATCTTTTAACTACAGAATGAATATCAGAGAATAGTGATGTACACATGCCATGTATCTGAGCGTATTTTGTGGATGTGCTCCTACCCATGGACTGCAGAGGTCTGTACAGATGTCTGTAACAGGGGGCAGCTACAGCAGTGTGAGTCCACAGCAAGGACTTATAATTGAGCCATGCAGGAGAATGATTCTGTCCCTGCAGCTCACCAAGGTCAAACTTGGAGAGGTTCCTTTGGTAAACCTGGGAAGTATGATTCACACTTCAGGTGTCTCCAGGGATAAGGAGAATGACAGGCGCATTTCATTTACTGGCATGCTGTAGGCACAGACACCACAGCAGCCTTTCCTGTCAATGCTGAAATGCAAGAAGAGCATGGGAGTCTACAGAATGTTCTGGGAAAAGAACAGTGGAAGTATCTTTAAGCTGACAGGTTGTATCATCACTTTAAATGCATGAAGATGTACTCCTGGCATACTTGTTTTCAGTAACTTTCAGAGTTAAATGATGTAAGCGATGAACCTATGGCTCCTTTGGCACATTGCTGTTTTTCTCTCTCTCTTCAGTGGGGTCTATGAAACTGAGAGAAGTTTCATCAACTCAGTTTCTGGGGTTTTTTTTGCTTTTATAGATAACCAGTGTTAAGCACATAAGTGTCAAAATGAAGAGGTTTGCAATTAAAAGAAAAAACAGGCAGAAAGGAGGTAAAATAATACTGGTTGTATTGGTGACATTTGGTAAAGCAGATTATTTTCCCAAATGCGTGAGAGTTAAAGATACTGTTTTAGTAATACAAAAAGCACACAAAATCCCAGGAAAGGTGAAGATGGGGTGTGAATTTCTTTTTTATATCTGTTGGATATAGCTAATAAAGACTGTATCTGACTGCCTACAAAGCCATCTGTAACAATATGAAGACAGATGAGAATGAATATGCCTTTCTCCCCTGCCTTCCTGACTTGTTTAAAGCTCTGTGTGAAAGGTTAGTGCTGCATCTCAGTTTTCCTCTCCCCCTGCTGCAAGTGTTTTACTGGAGCTCTAGCAGTAGTGCAGCTCTGTGCTACCTGAAGGAACCTCCTCAGGTAGTGTGAAGGGTTGTTACTGGAACATCAACAAAATCCTTCCTTTGACAGTGAAAACAAAGCAAAGAATTTTTCAAAATATGTGCCCTGAAAACCTTACAAAACAAAATCATAGCCTCTATTTAGTCAGTGAGGTGGGGGTTGCCTGTGGTAATGACACAACTACTGGTAAATGTCTTTGCATGTAATATTTTGACTTCTTGCTTGCTTCCTGTCAGAATAGATGAAACCACAAAGCACTGGCCCAGTAGTTCCTTGTTTATTCCTGCACAGGTAAATTATTTGATTTAAATGAGACAGACCTTTTGGAAATGAATGAAGTCCAGACATCCAAATGCAAATACAAACTCCCCTCTTCCAGATACTATTCAGGGGATTAAAAGAATTTTAGACATTTCTAGCTCTGCCATCCCCATGGGAGTCCATATAGCTTTCAATGTATATTTTTTTCAAAGAAACTCAAGCTCCAGAGATCTTTATTAAGCAAATTGCTAGATATGGACTCCAGAGGAGTTTTTTTCCCTAAAATTGGTCAAGACCCTGCACTATTTTCTTTTTCTTCTGAGGATCACAGAGATTTCTGTCTAAAACTTACCATGCTCGGTGCAAAACTCAAAATGGCATCAGTGATAATCTTGATTGTGCCTGCTGATTTCCTGCATCACATGATAGCTTTGCATTCTAGTTTTTAGTGCAGGTTTTAAGGTCACTAAAATGACTGAAACTGTTTTATGACCCATTGTTTTATATGAAGTAGATTTATGAAGCAGTTTTCCGCTATAAAACATGTATTACATAAGTGCCTGAGATTACAGATGTCTGGAGTTGATGACTGAGGCGGCCACAGATCTGTTTGGATATTCCTAGGTAAGCACAAAGGCCTGTACACTGACTTATAATTTCAGCCTTGAATGAGGATTGTTAGCTTTAGCTATTTTTCATCTCACCTTTTCGTGCTTTGGTAACTTGTTTGCTGAAATACTTCTCTGCCTCAAATCGCACAGGCAGGGGGCACTCTCTGCTCAAAATTGCAGGCCCGGCCCTGGGCCGGTTTCAAGGTTCAGTGCCTGAGCGTCAGCCTTCCTTGTCTCTAAACAGAGAATCCCTCTGGGCCATTTCAAAGGAGCAGCAAAGAATATGTGCCAAGCTGCAGGGGACTTCATGTGTTTGCACTCTTACCGAGTACTGGTTGCCCACCATCGTATTTAGGGGGTTGCCACTGCACAGTGCAGTAATCTTCTCCAATGTTGCTGATTGTGGGAGCTTCTGGAGGGTCAGGAACATCTGAAGAAAGGGTGAGAATGAATGAGAGTTTTTATTGTTTCAATTTCTTTATGCAAGTAAATTAAATATTTTTACCAATTTTTTTTTTTTTTCCTGTGTGATATTGATGTAATGGTGTCCCCCAGGAATCAGTGTTGGGCACAATCCTTGTTCAATATCTTGAGTGATGATCTGGATGAGGGTATTGAATCTATCATAAGCAAATTCATGGATGACACCAAGTTGGGTCTGAGTGTCAATTTTCTGGAGGGCAGGAGGGCTCTGCAGAGGGTCCAGGACAGGCTGGATTGTAGGCCAAGGCCAATGGCGTAAGGTTCAACAACATCAAGTGCTGGGTGCTGCACTTCGGCCACAATAACCTCCTCCTGAACTACAGGCTGCAGGAAGAGTGGCTGGAAAGTGGTCCAGTGGAAAAGGACCTGGGGATGCTGGTGAACAGTGGCTGAATGTGAGCCAGCAGTGCCCAGGTGGCCAAGAAGGCCAATGGCATCCTGGCCTGGATCAGCAACAGTGAGGCCAGCAGGACCAGGACCGTGATTGTCCCTCTGTACTCAGCACTGGTGAGGCCACACCTGAAGAGCTGTACCCAGCTTTAGGCCCCTCACTACAGGAAGGACACAGAGGGGCTGGAGCACATCCAGAGAAGGGCAGTGGAGCTGGAGAAGGGTCTGGAGCACAGTCCTATGAGGAGCAGCTGAGGGAGCTGGGGGTGTTTAGCCTGGAGAAAAAGAGGCTCAGAGTGACCTTATTACTCTCTACATCTCCCTGAAAGGAAGGTGTAGCCAGGTGGGTTTTGGCCTCTTCTCCCAGGCAACCAGAGCTGGGATGAGAGGACATGGGTTTAAGCAGCACCAGGACAGGTTTAGGTTAGACAATAGGGAGAAATTCTTCGCAGAAAGGGTGGTTAGATATTGGAATGGGCTACCCAGGGAGTCACCACTCCTGAAGGTGTTTATGTAAGGACTAGATGTGACAGTCAGTGCCTGATCCAGTTGACATGGTGGGGTTGGACTTGATGAGGTCAGAAATCTTTTTCTCATCCAAATTTATTATCTGATTCTGTGATACAGCTTTGTCAGATAGCAGCAGTAGGTACAACCACATTGTGTTAACTTAGTCTAAAGGGAATCCTGCTCTTTGATGCTTCTTTGTTAGGTTGATTTTCTTTAAATAGCATTGATTATTCAGCTCCCTTTTTCTTCCGAGACATAATAAAATTTTTGCAAAAATGTAAGGTAATTCTGTTCTGTAAGATGAGACTTGCTCCAGGGTTTCCTATTTTCTCTAGAATAAATTTTATAAAATACAACTGCATGTCTCACATATTGTGTCACTTTGGAGATATTCGTAGTAAATATCCTGATTTAATATTTATAAAAGATGGAAGAATACTTAGTATTTATCAAGCAATTCTAAATTTTAATACCGTAGGTGAAAGTAATTTTCTTTTATCATTTCTGATTTGCTTATAACTTGTTCTTTTGTTATGTGGGCCAGGGTATCAGCAAATTAAATATTATGAAAAATTTATAAAACTTACTGACTCAAAATCATATCCCTCCCAGGTCTTTTGTGACTCACTGAAGAGTCTGTCAATCTGTTCTATCAGATATATCATGTTTCTTTATTCCATTAACCATTTACTGCTTATAGAATGAAGTAATCTCTGCTTAAAAACATAACCCACGACAAAATTACTAAAAGTTTTCTTATTTCTGACAAGCATGAAGCATGTACTTCAGAATGAAATGTCATCCATAAAATGATAGAATCACCTGGAACTGGGAATACATGGATTACTACTGGGAGTTCTTCTCTTTTCACCTCTGAAAAAACACTTCTGGTGAATTTATGGATGATAATGTTCCTCTCTTTATGATCCTTTCCAATTTTGTTAAAGCTAAAGTCAGAACTTGTATCAGAGAGATTTTAGACTTTTTGAGAAGGGTGAGCTTTAGCAGACTCAAGATTCTTTCATGTTCTGGCTGTTTCTTTCCTTCACTTACCAATAACTTTGACTGTGATATCAGCCTTATCTTCTCCAACTGGATTCTTAAGTATAACTCTGTAAACTCCCTCATCCTCTTTTTCTGCCCCTTCAATAATGAAGACACAATGGTCTTCATGCATCTCCACACGGACTCTGCCTTCAGATTCAAACAGGAGCTGTGGGCAGTGAAAAGGACAGATAAAATCATTGCAAATTGTGCCAGGGACAGCCTGATGAGTCTGTAAGGTGGTGAAAAACTAAAAATCATTGAATATTGCAATAATTATTGAAAAGCTGTAAAATGTTTCAAGTTCTTTTTGTATGTGGAAGAGAGAAAATATAGACCGGTTGGCTAATATAAATATCATTTGGGAAAATTGGATCTGGAAGTCTGCAGGTTGTTGGGATTCACCACTAATAACACAAACTCAGTTATCTTTCAAAGAAGTTACTGGGTACTTCCAAAACTTCCTACTTGGGACAGCTGCTAACATCACTGTGAAGAGTTTCATGGATAACAGTTGGTTACTGTATAAATCAAACCAAGGTTCTTGTAACTGTTAATGGCATCAGTGTGATTTCTGCCACTCAATGGCCACAATTGAGTTGTACATGTGTAATGCTCTCCTTTTTTCCTTATGTGCCTGTGTATCTTTAGATTTAGAGCAGGAACCACTAGAAAGAATCCATGCCCAAATACTGATTAGTGCAGCAGGATCCTAACCCTGAGAATGGTTTATTGCTGTATAATAAATGTAAAATATTTTTTACTCTATCAAGAGAGAAATAATTTATGTGAAAAATGAAAGTTGCTGCAAAGTGAGTCCGGTTTCACTTCTTTATAGTCCATCCACTCTCTTGACCCATTGTCATCTTCCCATGTGTCGTGTAAGATTTTGTTCTAGTTATTATTGGAGCTTACAGGTTACTGAGGGGAAAGAATCACCACAAATAAATCTAAACGAGTTTTCAAATAACTGCTTTGATTCCCTGTAACCCAGTCTCCATGTGATGGTGATTAGAAAGGTTTTCTCAATCAGCTTCTTACTCTTAAATTATTCACCAGATCTCTTGAGCCCAGTAGGGGTCTGGTAATTAATTACCACTGTGAGGCAGGATAGTGGGCCTGATGTACTGTTTCACTTTTAATATCTACTGACTTAAATGTTATTTCCTTTTGAGTATGACCTTATACCTGGAAAACTAAGAACATTTGTGTGTGGTTGCATAAATAATAAGGAACTTACCTTATTATCGGTATTTAAATCACTGCTATTTTCTGAGGGAGTCATGGAATCATCACTGTTTCGAAGCAGGTCGTTTCTCTAGATAAGCAAAGAAACGACAGAAAGTCAGCTAAGGCTGAGCAGAGCAGTAAAGCTGTTTCTGCAAGACAGACAAGAGTCTGTTGGGGGGGGTGAATATGGAGGTGGGAGAAAAGCAAAGTTAGGCAGCAAGCAGACCTGGGAAGGAAATCTTCCAAAACCAAAGTAAAAAGCAGAAATGGAAGAAAAGGTATCAGGATGCAGTGAATTAAGGGAAGGATAAGTCAGCTAACTCAGAATTGCTGCTTAGCAAAGGAAGAAGAATGACATTCCTGCAGTATTATTGTAACTGGCTGTGTGCTCTCGTACTAGTTACTCTATATGTGTAAGTACAAAAATAAGGATTACTTCTTTCTGTAACAGTGGGATAGTAAATTGATGTAAATATTTTGACACTCAGAAATAATCAGGTCTGTAACACTCGTTGAACAACATCTTTTGAGGCTGTGCTACTCTTTGTTTGGAATTTCATTAGTAAATATATTTTACACAACCTTCAATCAGGACTGGCTGCTTTTCCTCATGTATTGAGACCTGCCACCTCATAAGTAATGCTGTACAAAGATTGTCTGATACTCAGTCATCATTTTATCACAGAAACTCCTGTATAGAAGAGTCAATTTCTTGGCTTTTTAAAAATTTGTTTCCATACTAATTCTGCATTGAAGGAAAAAGTTCTGAGTGCTATTAGATATGCTAACCTGAGCAAGAATGCAGCATAATAATGAAGAAATAGGAGATTAGGGGAATTAACATAATTGGCAATATTGTTTTTTCTGTATCTACACATATGGATGTGTAATGATGCTGTAGAATGTTATGCAAAATATTTCTGTTTTGTGCTAGTTATAGCTCAAGAGCCCACAGATGGTGAGGGGTGGGGATATTTTGAGATACCCAGAAAGGAAGCTCACTTAACATTTTAAGTCTAGCTTCTAAATTCTTTCTCTGATGTTTTGTAATCACTTTGATAAGATAAATAGCAAAGTTCCTCTATTTTTATTATATGAAATTCAGTTTTTTGCCACTAGTCTGCTAAGATGACATTTACTTCACAAATGGTAGGATCGTTGATAAAGAGTAAAAAAAGAAGCTGCCACCTCCAGAAAATGTTCGTTCTATCAGGTGAAGGTGATGGGGATGACTCATAATTTATTTATTTTTCTCTGAGGTAGGAAGAGAATAAATATGTCTGGTATCCTTCTATCTGCATCTACATATGTCTCCTCGTATATAGTCAGCTTCTTCTTTTGGACTAAAAAAACGGGGAACAGTTCATAAAAAGGAACAGTTCAGGATGAATCACAAAGCCAGCTATGTCCCAAGCAGCTGCAGTTCATGTATTTAGGTTTTTTTCTCTTGAAGTTTAAAAACATAAAATTGAAAGTAATATGAAAATACTTGTAAGTAACCATAAACCAAAGTAATATTTGAGAAGGAAAAATAAATTTGTAACTGTGACTTGCCTCAGACGCTGTGTCAGGTTGCACATTACCTTGTTCACTTTCTGCCAGATGACAGTGGGCGTTGGATCTCCTGATACAGGAACATCCAACCTCAGTTTGTTCCCAGCCACCACGACAATAGTGTCAGGGGATTGGCCCAGACAGTCAAGGTGGATTTTCGGGGGTTCTAGTGAAGATAGAGAAGATAAGTTTTAAATATAGTTTGAGTAATCTGAATGGAAAATGAAAAAAAAAAAAGAATATTCATGCATTAAATAAAAAAAATTCTGCTTACTTTGCTATTGAAAACATTCTTTCTTGCATATAAATAATGACTGCTGTTCTTACCTTCTCTTGGTACAAAATCTATCTTGACCTCTGAGGGGGGAAAGAAAAGAGGAGACAGGGAAGAAGAAATAGATCAGAAAACAGAATTTACATAGCATCTGCACAAACAAAGTAATTTAAAAACTGATTGAAACTTCATAATGCATATTAATCAGCAGATTTATACAATAAATTAAAAAACAAGTTCTGTAAACCCATGTGATAATGGTAATGCAAAATAACAGGGAAAAGCAATGTGTCTACGTTGAGGTATCAGAAAAGAGATTGGCATTCTCTTGCCTGGTATAACCATTTTATCCCTGTGGAATTCCCATTACATGTTCTAAAATAACTTACCCAAAAACTGAAGCTTGGCAGAAAGGTTATAAGCAAATCCTTGAGGAATGAAGGAATAATCAGCCTCGTCCTCTGGTGTTACATCCTCAATAGTTAGCTTATGGATTCTGGAAACATGAACAAATACATTGCACTCCCTTCCCTTGCCTCCCCAGGAGAAACAGGGCTATCTCGAGAGAGAAGGTGCAGGCCTAGGATACTAACAGAAATTATTATTTCTTCTTCCCATGCCATGACACAAGGCAACAACCACCAGGGCTGTAGTCTGCTCTGCTTTCAGTATTAAATCCAATCCTATTAAAGCCAGTACATTGTCTATGAAAGGATTTTTTTTTGCCAAGGTAGATAGTTTGAAAAGACGTAGCATTTTCCTTGCTCTAGTCCAGTCCTTTGCCATTACAAGGGCAGTTGTAACGCTGCTGACTGGTTTCATTTGATCCAATTGTGAAACAGTAACTCTGACTAAACAAACTGAAAAGTGATTTTCCATCCCTGTATTATTTTAAGTTCAAAACAGAATACAGAAAAGAGTACCAGGAAAGACTTCACCTGATATTTAATGCTGAATCTTCTTGGTCTCCATTTCCATTAGTAGCTAGACTGCTAGGAAACTTGAGTGCAGAATTACAAACTGTATATGTTAATATGAATGCTAATTTTTCTGTAGGGTTTACTCACATGTACTATCTTAACACTACTGTTAGATTTAAAGTTCTCAACAATGTGTTTTGCATACCAAAACACCATGTAATACTAATGAAAACTAAGATTTACTTTTGCTGATGCACTGCTGAAGTCATATATAGAAAATGCACCAACTCAGAAAGACTGCAGACTTGCCAAATCAAGTCTGTCACTAAATGTTGGTTGCATATGAAAAGCTTCTAAACTTTTTACCTGTTAGCTGGAGCCAAGACAAAATCTCTCTTTATATTCTTAACCCCTGAAATAACAATTCTTATGGATGGCACTGCAAATCCCAAGCCTGTATCTGCTTTCTGGAACAAGACTGACCTGCCAATATGGGAGATCTTTATCCTTTCGTCTGGGATCACCTCCTTTCCGTTTTTCAGCCAGATTCCTTTCACGTTTTCATCTGAAACTTCACACTTGAAGACTGCCTGGTCACGTGCCTTCACTGTCAGGTCTGCAATGCTCTGATAAACTTCCAGCTTTTTCTCTGATATTGTGAGAATAATCGATACACACATCAAAAATCAGAATAGCTCTGTAAGTAGATGATGTGGATTTACTGACTAGAAAAGGCAAGGGCTGAGCAAGCAATATGAAGGGAAATAGACAGCCTGCAGGGCTTTAACAGGACTGATAGCTAAGCACCTGTTGTTATCAGACTATCTGCTATATCCGGCACACAGGTCTGAGTTCTCCTCAAAGCCTTTATTATCAAACTCTATGCCCCTTATTGCATCTCCTTTTTCCCTGTCAGGGGGATTATGCTACCATTCTGCACTATCTGGAGAAGGTTACCTTCAGCCTATTCTCATTTTTCAGCTTCTCTGGTTCTGGGACATTCCTTGTGCCTACCTTGCACAATCAGTTCAGCGACTGATGCCCCACCATTGGTCTTCACAGTGTAGTGTCCACTGTCCTCCTTGGTAGACTCATTAATAATGAGATACTGCTTTTTTCCATCTTTCTTGAATCGGTATTTAAATGTTTCTTCTCGTGTCAGTTCAATTCCATCCTTTTCCCTGAAATACCAAATAGTGTTGAGTCATTTTTGCTATGGTTGAAAGAGGAGAGTAAGGATCAGCTTGATGTTACTAGGGATTAGAAGACACAAGGTGAATCCAATCTTTGTAGCATTTCAAGCTGGCAAGAAAGGGGATTGTTGCACAAATGTCAGTGCAACCAGAATGCCTCTATCTTGACCATTAATCTTCCCACAGGTATTTGACTTTTGGTTCAAGAGAATTCACCACAAGTAATTACTTGATTTTTTCTATTTATATGCTACAGATAAATATGAAAATATGTTAAATGCTGTAGGAGATAAAAGGTTGAAAACACACTTCACCAGCAGGAAATTTACTGTCTTAAAAATGGCCATAAATTAAATGGGACTTGATGGGATATTACTTAAAACTCTTAATTTTCCTGATGTGAAATATAATTGTTCTAAATCCATGATTTGTGGGCATCAGCAAAAGGAGAAAATTTTAGGATGGATTCAAATGAATGTGTATTTTGGATTTTGTAGCTCTTTCCATTCAAGGATGCCACAGTATACTTAAGACTTTACTAAATTAAGCTTCACCATCTAGCCCAGGAGGAAATTTAATTATTGTAATTTCCAGTCATCATGAAGGGAAATGCACAGGGAGGACTCGCGCTGTTTAATCAAGGTCATACAAAAATACATAAGGTGTTTCAAGGGTTTCCTGTTCCTAATCCTAAATAACATAAACAGCAAATACTTGTAATTTGTTCAATTTACTAATTTTGCAGCATTACATTTTTTGTTATTACTTGAATATATTTCTATTTGTTACTTGAGTACTGCTCCAGTTTGTAAAAGAAAAAGGCTTTCTCTTTGATAGCTAGTCACATGGAAAACCAAATAGAAAATATGTGTGATTTTAATAGAGTAAAAATATTCTTTCTACTTTTTTGTTATTTCCCTTATTTGTGACTTATTTGTGACCAGTGACTCAGTGACTATTCAGCTTACAGAACAGCAAATTGAAATGCTACTTGGGACTCATTAAAATACTATAGCTCTAATTTCTAAGTAGATATATGCAAGAAAACCTTTTACCTCTATCAGAGTCTGCTAATGTAAATCACAAGATCAAAACTTTAAGCAGAAACAAAGATCCTACAACTTGTGACTTAGATGTTCCTGATGCAACTGCATTTCAGAATACCTACAGGTACTCTGTACATGACTGTTTGTTAGAGCAGAGCTCACTGGAACTCAGAGCTGGTTTAGAGGAGGACTGGCCTCCCTTCCAGGTCACACAGCGGTGCTAGTAAGGGAGGAAGCAGAGGATGCCTTTAACAACTACTTGAAACACAGCACTTGGTATTATTGTCAGGATAATGTTTCCTTTTCTTTCCTCTTCATTACTCTTCAGACAAGAGTCTGAGACAACGTGTAAGATGATCTCTTAGGGCTGTTGTGATTCATGCAAATTAGTTCTGGAACAAGTGCTACAATGCTTTACAGAAACCTTTGCTGAATTGCTGAGAATGGACTTTAATCCCGAAGCTGAGCATGCTGCTGTCACTAAATGCAAAGCCAAGTACACACACTGTGCCTAGACTTTTGGAGCTGAACTTTTAATTTTTTTTTCCATGGTCTATTTTGATACGGTGCTCATGAAAAATATCTGAATGTTCTATTCACCCATTGGTAAAAAAAGTTCTCTTCAAATCTTGACTAAATAATGAAAATAGGCTTTTTGTAATGATTAGTGTCTTAAATCCCTAGGAGGAGAATACTCTCTTTAACTTGTGTTTGCTTTACTGACTGGCACATGGCTGATCCTGTGGATGAGTAGAGAGTTTGCAGAGGGGTATAGTGACAAATAGAGATTGTAAAGCTTGAAACAGAACTCCAGAGAGCATTTAGCTTAAAATAATACTCTGCTGCTGTGAAAAGCAGAAAACCTCTTTAAGGTAATATTACAGGCCTTCCTTTGGCAATTGGAACTATAAAATAGAAGAATCTGCTGCTATTAAAGTGTAAGTGAAGCATTATATAGAGTCATAGAAATGCTGGTTTACAGAACACCACAGGTCAGTGGCCCAGCCTCACATTTGAAGCAGAACTAGTGCAGTAATAGGTAGGTCAGCTGTGGTTTTGTCTTTCCAAGTCCAGAACATCTGCAAGGTCAAATATCTGTTCTCAACTTCACCACTCAATTCCTCTTTGTCTGGAAATGCATTCCTATTTCCTGTTTACATTCTGAGGATTAATTGCTTAATGTCTTCTGAGATATCACTGATGTAGGTGATAATTGGGACACACAGATTTATTGCTATAAATATATATTACCATGGTTTCTTTTGATTTGGAGCTGATAAGATGGTACATCCAGCATTCAGAGATGGAAAAATTAGATCAAAACTATGTATTTTATAATATCTTTTTCTTCAAGTATTATCTTATTTCCAAGACATCTGAAGTTTAGAAAAAACCTGTTCCATGCTAATGCATGAGATGTAATTTGTGAAAGCTTCCTTGGTGATCAAGAGAACATTCTTTTCTGATTGCTCTGAAGACACCTACATGATGAATTCTCCAAGCCTTAGTCTGATGGCTGTGCCTCAGCCTTATTTCTGTCTTGTGCAAGTCACATAATTGCCTTTGTTCATGCGCTTGTGGTTTTATATCCCGGATTTGAAGACTTAAGAACTATAACAGGTGCTCTGAGTTAGTGCCTGTTACTTGGCTTAAACTGTTGATCATTCCCTAATGAGCCATAAAACTGGAACTCTTTCTCCACACTGTTTTTAAAAACCTGTGTTTCAGGTTTTCCCTGGACATTTCTCTCTGTGGTCCAAAATGTTCCCTTTTGTTGCCAAAGAGATTTTGTTGACAGAGTCTCACATAACAAAACCAGTAAGATACAGTGTGAATGTCTAACTGCTCAGTTTTCCATTGCAATGATTTGATGAGTTTCTCTGACCACTTGCTGCATTTCAGACTGAGACAGCTGCTGGTTTGCCCTTGTCACATCAAATGCCCATCCCACAGATAACAGCTCTGTGAGATGTAGGGGAGTTGTTCAAAGGCACAGGATCAAAGTGTGGCAGCTGCACTGTGTTCTGGGAGGGACAGATCTGGTTGTCCCCATCTCTTGTGACCAGGCATCTGCAGTCAGTTCCTGAATAATAGAATCCGTGTCCCTGTGCTTGTGTCTTTAATAGTGTAATGCACACCCTGTGCTAGCTCTTGGACTCCATTTAAATTCTCAGTTCCTTCCTTTGGGGCAGCAGATCATTAGTTGGCACTTTCCAGGAATGTAATGGGCATTGTGGGAATGCTTGATAACCATGTGTCTGAAGCTGTTAACAAGCACAAGGGAATTTCAGCTGGTAGAGAAATGAAGTGAGAATATGAGCCCTGCTTGTCATGCCTGCCCAAGCAGCATGCGCCTTCCAGATTCTGCTCAGCTGGAGTGCCCAAGAAAACAGGATCCATGGTCTAAGTGTTTGTCATCTTAATCTGTCTTGCTGCAGAAGCATAACAACCAGCTTTGCAGGATCACCACAGCAGATGTGTTCCCTCTGTGTCTCAAGAGACACTTCTTTTTTACCTAAGAAAAAATACTTTAGAAACCCAAATGCCTCACTGCAGTTGAGAAGATTTCAAAAAGTACATCAGTCACCACAGTATGGATCTGATTAGTCTGGGCAATACTTAGGCATTACTGAAGTGTAAACACTGAGCAAGAAATTCTAGAGACACTATAAAATATGTATACTTGATCTGGGGTTTTGTGTCATAGTTTTGCTTCTCAGTTCCTCCTCCATATTTGACATATAGGAGGATGGACAATCTTTTGATGAAAACAATTATGTAGGATGTGTTTTCCCTTCTTATTCCACACCTCCTGGTATGTTCCATGGAGGAAGGTGTTTCATGTTGGTTTGGTTTGCTTTGCTTTGCTTTGTTTTTCTCTTCTTTTCCCTTACCATTTCACAGTAGCTCCTTCCTCAGACACTTCACACTCAAATTCCACTCTCTCTCCAACCATCACCATCTGGTCCTCCAGTGGGTGAGTGATCAGGATTGGAGGTTCTGAAAATAAAGAGAATTTTATTAAAACAGTATTCTGAAATAGTGGAGACCAGAGGTAGATTTCACCATTCTCTACTCCACAGGAAGAATCCGTGGACAAATAAATGGTGATGATCTCTGTCTTAGAACTTAACATTTACTATGCCAGACCACCTTATCTGAGTTTCCAAATGACATTTTTCTTGAATTGGAATAAAAATATAGAATTAAATAGTTTTCATCTATATTGTAAATTTCTAAACAGGAGGCATTACTTTTCTGTACTATTTGGTCCACTTGTAGAGCTTGGGCAGATGTTTGTTTTCAGCAGAATCAAATTTTTAAAGTAAGTTTCTAGCGCCGTTGTTGAGAGGTAAATGAGAATTAATGATAACTATCGCTGTTCTGCTTTCTTGGTTGCTCTTAGGCAAAATTTTCCTCAATTTAACTGTAAGAAAAATACCTACTTCAATAGATCTCGGAATTTGTTAATATGTTTGAGAATTTCCTTTCCTGTAAGATAAATCTGTGAGTAGAGAAGATGACAGTAATTCAATGCTAAATGTATAAGGAGATCTCTTTCCTTTTGCTACCATTGCTCACCTTTTACAAATAATTCTGTGAAGCTCTTCTCATCCCCTACCACACATTCATATGCTGCATCGTCAGCCAGGGAGCAGTGGTTTATGGTCAGTATTCTCTTATTCCCAACAGCCTCAAAAATATATCTGAAAAGAGAACCTAAATGTAATTATCAGAGAAAAGCCCTTCTAGACCCAGACACTGTTTTCTCCTGCCTGGAAGAAAAAGATTCCTCCTCTTTTTCTGATATCAGTGGCAAGATTTGTAAGGACTGAAGCCCAACAGGCCTGTCCTGGTGCAGTGAACAGCAGCAGTGTTTGAAAAACTAGCATAGGAAATTGTGGGGAATCTTCCTTCAAGTGTGAGATGTGATCCTGTGAATGATTTTGGATGCTGTCCTAAGATCTAGCATGACTGCCATTAAAAACGGCTTCAGCACAAAATCACTGGAAATTTGTTTTACATACAAGTTACACTGAGGTATATCCCAGATCAGGAGAATGTACATTTGTACCCATCAAGAGCAGAATATAATCTCAGGACTTACTTGCTAAGTTGGTAGATGAGGGCATCCAGTCCCACATGTAGATATATAGAGCAGAGGGAAGAAAAAAGAAAAAGTTATGGCAACAGCACACTGCCCCGGAGCCATAGCACTACATAGAGTCTTTCTCAGCCCCTATTTCTCCCTGTTTATTCCTTTCTTTCTAAGAAAAGCTAGATTTTTCACTTTGTCCAAGCTGTAGCTCATTCCATTTTGGATTTCTCATATTTCTAATTTACCTGCCACTCACTTGGATCTCCTGTCCATTCTTCAGCCATTTCACATCAGCATCTGGATTGGCAACTTCAACCATTAATTTAATCTTTTGCCCCTTGTCTACTTGGTAAGCTGGATCCAGTTTCTTGAGGAATGCTATGATAAAGAATGATTAAAAAAAAAAAACCCTTATCATTTTTGTGCTTGTGTTTTTTTCATTCTGGGTCATGAAACAAATCTTTATTCCCTTTCATGTTGTTTACCATAATCTTAAACGTTCCCCAATTTCTGCATCCCTGTTTGAATTTTTACCCTTTCTGTCTGTTCTTCATCCTGTACTGTTTTTCCTTAATGTAGGATGACAGGCATGTGTTACAAACCAAAATAAGCAAAGTAGAATATTCTAAATAAGATGTGAATATGTACTTCAACATATCCTAGTTACATCTGTTCATATGGGAAAATTATACTTGGTCTTCTCAGTACTGATGAATGAAGGCTGTTTGCCTTCTCTGTTTCAGACTTTTTAAGAAGTCAGTTACAATTAGGCAATTAATACTTGACAGGAAAGGTTCAAGAATTTCAAAGGTATCATACCTATGAAAATGAAATTGTTCAAATATATCACTGTTGCCTGACATACTGACTAACTGGGGTGGAGAGCAAGTAGGGGATGTTGTTTTATGTTCAGGGACATATTAGGGGCCAATCTTGTGGAAGTGGTGAAGTGAGGGTGTTTATTATGTCCAGGGTTTCAGAGCAAGGTACCTCAGGATGTTGGACATAGCTGCAATCTTTGGTAATCAGTATTTCATGTGTAAACACTGGGTAATAACTGGGACAGGAAATTACTATTTCTCATGGTCTTGTATCTTGCTGCTGTAAAGAAGATATGAACACTATATTTGGAAGAAAAGCATCTCACCAACCTGTGCTTTTTTTCTCTTCCTTCTTTATGCGTTTGAGGCGTTTCAGCATCCCACGCAAATCTGTGATACCATACTGGAAAGCAATTTTCTCATATTCCGTAGGAGGAGCTTTCCTCAGGATATCCCAGACATCAACATCAGATTGTGATTCAGATTTTCCTTCACCTCTGCAGAAAGGGATTAGAGTTTCTGAGTGCTACTATTAAGAGTATTTAAAGAAATCTGTAGGGTTGGCAGCTACATATTGTCTTGATGAAGCCATTTCTTAAAAAAATAATTAACAGTCTAACTTTTTACTATATTATTATGTAAAATAATGAAATAAAACTGGTGCCTCATTTTAATTTTATTTTTATATATAGGGATTAAAATTGAATTCTATCCTGAAGGGTTTATTTCTAACAACCAAAATGAATACATTTTAACTTCCTTCAATGATTGGTAATGGAAACATAAGAAAGCTTATTTTCTTGTCATGGTCAATGGACAAAACATGGAACGTGGCAAAGCAAGGAGTTGAATGATATGCTGGTAACATCTTAGAAAGAAGGCACTTGGTTTATGTTTGTAAGTGGCATATCCTTTTCTACTCAGGACAATTTTCATCTTTACTAAAAAGAATCACAGGTTATTAAGATGATTATCATCTGTTGTGAAGAAAATTGTTGTCTGTAGTAATGTATAAAACATAAAGAGACTGGTGAGTAGTGGCAAACAAGTGAACTGCTTTACAGTGAACTGCTTATTTTATATTTTAGCCAAAGAACTAGTGATTATGAAAGAATGAATGCTTGGTTTAGTAAAACTAGGGGAAAATTTGGCTGTCTGGTTTTGGGAGAGGTGTTGTTTTTTATCTGCCATCATATCTTTGTTTGAAGATCATAAATAGAAAAAGAGGTTGGCATGACCTTACCGGTTGGAAGGGCGCAGGAAGCTGCTGTGCTCCAGAAGGACGCCAAGAACCGGGTGGGAAAACACGCAGCATCCCAGTGGGCAAGAAAAGGGCATCATGTGTTAGTACAAAAGAGCCATGAACCTCATCTTCACCCTTAGCAGAGCATGCCTGTGCTTCAGTAGCAGGGAGATGGAGGAATTCATGCAAATGCTCTGAAATGGGCTTGAGGAAAATGTTGATCCATACTGAAATCAAACTTGCTCCCACACTTTGCACGTACAGGTCCACTGTGGGATTTATCTGCGAAGTGCAAGCACTTCTGTTTATTCCTACTTATGGCTGATCACCTTCCAGGGAAACAAATAACTCTGCTTCGCCCTGCCATCATGGCATTTTTGCCTGTCATAGTTTGCATTTTGGTAAATAGAGAAATTATAGAAGAAGTAACATTTTAAAAAAAAGTTTAAATTAAAAAATTCTTAGAAGAAAGAATTTCCTGTAACTTGTTTCTAACTATCACCTGCACCAAGCAGATTCTGGTGCAGCAGAACACACCCTTATAATAAAGTCATGTTCAGAGGTAAACGCCATCAAGAAGACAAGTTAGGCAACAGATGATGCATAAGAGAGAAAAGTGGAATGTTATTGGGTGTATTTCTATTTTTTGCAGGAAAATAGCAGTCCAGTTAGTCTGTGAGAAATATTGCTACTTAACAAATATTGCTGTAGTCAGTTCAGACAGCAGATATAACCAAACATTTCTGGTACTGCTTTTATTGCAAAAAAAATGCCTGCTTGCAATAGGAACACTGTGTTTATTAAAGTGCTGCAATCCAACCATGGAATTTCCAACACCTTGTAGCTCTTGAACAGAAACTCAGCAAGAGAAGGGGATTTCAGCTCAGTGAGACTGAGCTGAAATATGGCAGGCAGTATCTCATATCTTCAAAGTAGTTTAGCACTTGCTAAGCCTGAAGCCCTCACCAGCACTCAGTGAACTGATAGGAGGAGCTCAAGTTTGGAGTGCCTGTGATAAGAGCAGCACACTGGATAATTGCTTTGCTATAACACTGCAGCAAGGTCACCAATAAATTTTACCAAATTTTACTCTTCTATATACCTAGCATTTAGTTTGAAGTTGCTACAAATAGTTTTTAGTTTTGCTTAGCAGGAGACAGGAAAACTGAACTGATTTGCCACGTAGATCAAGATTTTTTTCCATCTGCAGTTCTTGGTCTTGTTGCCCTGATCATGTCAAGGAGTGGTTTTCAAGTATGTGTAAATACATGTAAATATATATATATATATATATATATATATATATATATATATATATGTACTAAATATTGAGTACTATATAAAACTAAGGGCATATAATATTTCTAATATGTATTTAATTTTTGTACCAATACAGTTAAAGTTCTGTGGAGAAATTGTATCTTAAAAAATATAAAATCATAGGAAATAAGAAAGACTTAAGAGATCAAATATTTTAATCTTCCTAAAGATATTATATAAACGTTGGTTGTTTCTCTATCTCCCTACTTATAGGCTTGTCTGTATATACACACTCTATATCTGAAAATTTGCAGGTAGGACTATTCATGGAGATTTCAAAAATGCTTTCTGAGAGTTATTTTTAAGTACATAATGAGAAAAATCTTCCAATTTCAAAGGAGTTCCAAAGGAGTCTAATATCTCACTATTGAGAAGAGTTCCCTAGTTTTTGCTTTAGCTTTTCCATTACTGAGTGTCATCCCATTGTTTTATCTTGCAATACGGTTCTGGCGTATGCAATATAAGAAGTTGAACATAAGAAATAATATAGTCTCTCCCTAGGAAGTACTTTTTTTTTTTTTTAATTAAAAGAAAAGGCTTTTGTGTTTCATGCAAAATGGGACTAAAAGCTAGAGTGTGTAATTCCTGTTTAAATGAGTTCTGAAAATGAAAAGAAAAAAATGTTTGCCTTTGGGCAAAGTTTTCCCCATTGCAGCACTCCTTTTCACTATTTTGCATTTGTTAAAATATTCCCTTTGATCCCAGAAAGACACCGAGTTTGCCCAGAGAAGCTGTACTCCTCCACTACGAGCAGGAACTAAGCAGTGTGTGAAAAGTAAGAGAGCACTTGGACTCATGAGGTTTCTCCCCCTCCTCTGCTCCCCTCCCTGGTGCTGGGGATCCTTATATACAGGGATCACCTCATAGGTTAGCTATGCACTTGGGGGCATCAAGATGCAGCTCAGTGAACCTGCTGTAAATGGAATATGCAGCTGATATGTTTTAAACATATGTGGAGGGGTTAAAAATAGTTTTGTACATCCCAGAAATGGTTCCTTCCTATCCAGTTACTGTCAACTGATTGGACCCTGTCAGCTGTCACCTCCTTCAAGGTCTCTGCTCACTATCCCATTTAATAGTCCTGTGACAACTGTTCCCTTCCTCTTCCCAATGACCTCTCCTTGGCCCATGACATCTGTATGTCAACACCAGTTAATTAAATTACAGTGATAGGAGATACAGTGTTAAATGAAGCTCTTCATTATAGTGAAGCTATTTATTATAGAATGATCATTACCTGTGGATTGAGAGACACTGGTAAAATGGTGTAAGAAAGCAGAAATGGTAAAAGAATAATTCTCGATTCTGTTTGAATCTGCAAAGCTCCTGAGAGTTCCCCAGCATGAGATCCCTTTTCCTGTTCTATTTCAATGAGGAATTATTTCATTCCATTATGAGATTTTATGCCTATCTGTTCTCATTAATATAAATGGTCTTCAGCCTGGGGTGTGCAAAGACTGAAGAGTCCACAAATTACTTCTGAAGTGGCTGTGAAAACCAACTAGGAGCAGTGAATTGATGTTCTTAAATTCACTAGGCAGAGATTTTTTAAGTCAAGAAATGGCAGAAACACTGCTAAAATGCAGAGAAATTTATAAGCTTCTTTTAATAAATTACATTTCTAGCCTCACAAATAATGAATAGTTAAATCAATAAATTTAACATTTCTGTAAATACTGAGGATTGTTACTGCTGTTTTGAGTTTGACTATTGCTCAAAACTAATAATGAGAGCAAAAGGGAAAGGCATGAGGAGAGGGGCTTTTACTACCCAGCACCTCATTCCAGCTGGAGATCCTGTATGAAATTATGCAAATATTTTCATGCTGGTTTTCATTTATTTAAAATTTTATAAAGAAGATAAGCAATTGCTTTATGCCTTACATCTTCTATGGAAACCAGAGTGTGTTTACAACAATTTGTGTTCATGCTGGAACAAGAAACTTAGTTATCAATGTCAGCTATAGAAAGTTTGATAGGTGTCTTTTCTGTCTGATCTGTCTGTCCCCCTGAAGTGTTCTGCTTTTGGTGTTACTGCAAAACCAGGGTTCATCTATAGACAGATGCCCTGCATGGGGTGTAACACAGGGCTTTGTGCAGCATGTGGCCTTGTTGGCCCCACTGAAGTTTGGGTGAGTTAGCCTGAGCCTATTGTGGCTTTATTGCCTTCTGTAGGAAGTTACTTCATGTGTCAGCACAATCCTGTACTCTTTGTGAGGATAAAACACTTTTTATAAATGGTGAAACCACTGCCTGAGCAGAGACTGAACACAGATTCACAACAACACTCATCCAAGGAGCTGATTGTGAAAACTTAGAGTAAGAAAGTTTAGACTTGCAAAACATGAATCTAAGTGACAGTTTTTATAGTAGTTTCAGGTGCTGGAAAGACAGAGTGAGTGGTCAGTGAACAGAAAGAGGCAAGCAAAACTTCATCACCTATTTGATAGGCAACAATATCATGTGAATGATTTTTCTGATTCTAAATACTGTGAAAACAGGAATACAAAGCAGCAGGTTACTGAGAAAATTTAGAAATTCAAGGAAATTTTAGAACTGGTTGCATGAAAGAAAGTGATGGTAAAAGCCAAATGACATTCAGAGAAATACATTGATTGTATGAAATTGTCTTAATTTTAACCTTAAAACTGTTTAAAATAATTTCTGTCTCAGAAATTAGCAGTCAATAATTTTCTTTCATGCTATGCAATTTTTGTCAAGTTCTACACATAAAGAAGACAAAGATGCATGCATTATTTCAAACCAAATGGTTCTTATATTCAGTCTGACCCATGCATTTATAATACAATTAAATAGAAATCTTACTCTCTGTTGGCAACAGTGGAATCCAAAACATTCAGATTAAGAGTTTGGTAAAAAGAGAAGAGCATAAGTAAACAGGTTATGAAAATAGAGACATCAAGGAAAGATGGGAATTAGAGAAGAAATTACAGCAAAAAAAAGTGAAAGTAAAACTAACAGAAAGAAATACAAATTACAACTGGAAGAGTAAAACATATTTGTCATATTTATGCAACAAAGAATATCTATATAATAGATAATAATAGTTGAACAGTGTAATAGTTACATTTAGCTATCTAATAAAAAATCTTGGTTCTTAATAAGGCAGCATTATAAATTGGTATTTTTAATCCCCCCATTCCCCCATGAAAAGAGCTGCTGGAAACATGTAATTACCTGAGTCCAGGCCTTTTCTATCTTGGGAAAGATTTTTTTTCCTTTTTTTTTTTTTTTTTTTCTCTCCTGTATAAACCTAGCAGCAAATGCTGTGTATTTCAGGAAGTAGCCATAATTACCTGTCATGCTTTTTCCATTTAGAGCTGCTTTAGGAAAATGACAAGGATTCTGAGTTTGTGAAACTTTCACTTATTCCAGTTCTGGTGTTTCCGAGTTGTTCAACAGAAGCCTTATTTCTCTAAGTCTATGGATTTTTTTACTCACCTTTTTTTCAGTAGGGAGCTGAAATTAAACTCTGCCCCATCATCATGTCCTTCAGTACTGTACAGTAATAGAAAGCCATAATTAGTTTCAGAAGGAAATGAGAATAGCTTGTGAGACTATATCATAATATAGATGGCATATTTTTGTAGAGGAGTAGTAGATGGGTTTATAATTAATTAGAATGTGCATTGACATGGAAAGTGACTTAAGTAGGCTCTGTGTTCATATTAATTTGCATTAGGTTTAAAAAGAAATGTAATGAAATTGTATTTTTTCTGCGCCAATTGTGCATGAAGTTGTACAGGGTATTAATTTGGTCATCATATTGATTTGGAATATATTCATTCTCACAGAGGTGTTGCAGAAGCTTCCCTCTTTCCTCTGTCTTTCAGGAGTGTGGATGTTGTTTACAGTTGGGGCAGTATTTAATCAAGCTTTGTGTGGAATGCCTCACAACCTAAAATCATTGGTTTTATCCTTAGCATTATCCCAGCTGTAATTTTTTCTTGAGGCTGTTTGTGTTACCAGAATTTATAACACTGAAAAAAGTGTCACATCATTGGTGCCTGGGAGAGTTGAAGGAGGAGTTCTGTGCTCTGCCTTTCAGTTCAATATGCCTCTGCTCAACAAGTATCATGACAAGCAATGTTGTGGGGAGTTGCTCTGTGAAAACAAGGAGCACCAGGCAAGAGTTTTTTGATGTGTAGCTCTGCCCATTGCACACAGTGAACTCAGATAGAATGCAGAATGTTATTTTTGGTGTTCTGAATCCAGTGGGTTTTAGCTGTGCTTCTGAACATTTGTAATACTGACCTACACTGGAAACAGCATAAAGTCACTACAATCACTTCTTTAGATTTATTTCCTAAAAAAAGGTCTTCTTTGCATTCAGACAGGATTTAGAAAGCCCAAATGTATTTTCTTCATCTCAGCCAGTCTACTATCATCAATGACCAGCTGCTCTTTAACATCTCTGTTGTCTTGAGTGAAAGAATCTGGTGACTCCACCTCACAGCATTAATATTCTTCCAGAAGCAGCACCTTGCATTTAATTATTGTTTCATGAGCAGAAATTTTCCTTTCCATTTGTACTGGTGGTAGTTGTAGACCATAATGCTGCCTCTGTCCACACACAGTCCTAGTTGCTTCAGAAAAAACCAGTCCCTCTATAGAATGCAAATTGAAGTGTTGGGAAAACTCAGTATTGCAGGAACAAGAATTTTTAGAAATAAGAAAACAGCCTCAACAGAAAAATGATGGGCATTTTAACAGTACTATTAAAAAAATGAAACAGATACAAGTACAAAGTTCTTGTGCTGCTGGACAATATAAGGTTAAAGAACAATTGAGAGTCAGTGTAATTTGAAATATGGTGTGAGAAGAGATCTTTTCTTTAAGAAAATACTGGCTTTACATCTTGGGTTACTTTCAGAATAATACAGTACTGGAAATTATAATTTCCTGGGTATAAGGCTCAAACAGAGAAGTGTGGTTTTGGCCCTACTTTCACAAGAATTTATGTGTTTGCAGGCATAAAATGTACATAAAAATAACTATGGTAATCCCAAATTTGGAAAGGATTTCCTGTGACCAAATATTCAGTAAAACAGGTCTACAGCTAGCAGAATAACTATTCACCTTATTGTTTCACAAATGGTAGTTAAAGTTTCAGGAAAGAACAGCAATCAAGGTTTAGCTTTTTTGAAGAAAAGACCCTAATAATTGCTTTAACATGCATATAGTTAAATCTAATCTCAGAACTCCAGTTCTTGCTATAGTATAACACATTAGGAGCAAAAGGCATGGAGTGAAAAATTTAATGATGATATGATAAGGAGTGTGCTAGGAAACAACAGATTTTCAGTTGTGTTGATACATTTCTGTGAGCAACAGCAATTTTAGTCAAAATGTGCTCAGTAGAGAGGAAAACATGTAAAACAGAGAGGGCAGACATGCATATAATTTAAAGTTACTTTTTTTCTTCTGACAAGGGTGAGAAGATGTCACTTGCCAAACACATGCATGTTTTCTCTAGATGAATCTGCCTCTCACTGAACTACCAAGCTACTCGTTTCTTTATTTATCTGTTTTTATCTATCCTTTTATGTTCTTATGTTTTGTCTTTTTAATTTTTCTTTTTTTGTCTTACATTATTTCATATTTATATGTATTAATCTCATATAAATACTACACATTATAAACAGTGATTTATTTGAAATTTAAGCTGCATCCTAATTCTTTGGGCTTGTTTTTTTTTTTTCTTCCTAAGCAGAGAGAGACAGTTCATTGTAAGACTTAACTTTGTCTGCTGACACAGTCAGTGACTACCTGAGAAAGGCTGAAGTCATCCGTCTCCCCCCTCCTGCTAGGCTCCTGAGCAAGGGTATCAAAGACAAAGCTTCAGATTTAAACAGTTCAGTTCAAAATCTGGCTTCATTCTTACAGGAGAAACTGACAATCTGAACTGCCTGAAGCTGCTCACACTGCACTCCCTTCAAACTGATTTGGAATTCTTTTAATTGTGCTAACAAGAAGAGAAACTCTCCTTTCACTGCAGTGAAATAACACAATGCACTTAGTACTGAGTGGCCACCATTTTACAGTGAGGCTGGTGAGCTACCTATAGATGCACTTAACTGCAGACAAATTCTGCTAGCCTTGTTTAATTATTTGTGAAAGATTTTCTAAGATTTTCTAAATCTTAGAAAAATTCTCATATAAAAATAGGACTTGTAGAGAAATACTCAAAGAGTTGCCACAGATGATTTGTGACCTATAGAGAAATAGATGTCAAAATATTCTTGGTCTAGTAACTTTTCAAAAATACATATAAAAACTGAAATAGAAACTTATTTATTATTGCATGAAGGAAAAAGGGCACATGTATTAATGTCTAACACTAGAAAAAAATCCAACCAATTTTGTGAATCTTACTAATAGAAGGGAACATTATTCCATTAAGAGAGACATCAGAAAGTATTAAAGATGGGGGGAGATTGGCCTTTTCAACACCAGTCTTTAATATCTGAGACTACATATACCTGAGTTTTCACCACTCACAATGTGATTTTCTTCATTCAGCTAATACAGGTATAGAACATGAAAACAGATACAATCAAAATGCTTACAGGAATGTTATCAGTCATATGCTGCTTACAGAGCTCACACCAAACTCCACTCTCCTTGTTTGGCAAATGCAAATGTTTGTACTAAGATACATGTAAGCCAGACAAAATCAAGACCAACATCACACAGTATCTTTTCCATCTCTATTGGTCTATATCTGGAATGCTCTTTACAGGCCTGGAAAAAAGGTGCTGAAGTTCTTTTTACAATTATACACATTATGGATTGCCTAGTTGAAGGCAAGCATGATTATTACACTAGTACAAAGTCCAAACTCTCTTAGGTGATTTCCAGGAGTTGTATAGTATTTTAATAGTAGAAATATTTTCTTAGTAGACTCTCTATCTTTGTGTTTGTTTGTCCAACAGCTTTGCTTTTAGCTAGTTTTTTGTGGGAAAGTGATGAATTGCACAAGGATCTGTAGCCTGACCTAGACAGGTTTCTGCTGTGCGTACTCACGTGCGGCGGAAGGCAGCTCGGATGTCCAAGTCTCCACTTACAGGTGCTTCTGATGTGACAAAAAGTAATGAGGAAAAATGGGAAAGCAAGTCAACAAAATGTAAAAATACGCTGCTATTTTTAAAGTTTTCCTTTGCTGACGTTTTTAGAAAGAAATTCTTATATTGTAAATTGTGATTAATTGCATTGAAGATTGAAATTTTGAATAATTGAAAGATTAACACATCATCTTTAAGCACATAACCTTCACTAATTTTAGCTTTCAACATCCAGTGGTTTTAAATTATTTCTGTCTCATGTTTCATAATAACCTGGATCCTGATGGACTGTCTTATCTCTTGCTTGTCAGTTCTCCTGCTGCAAAATTTTAATTTCAATAGTGTCTTCACAGAGTATTTAAACCCTAATGAGAATATGACTGGACATCAGCTGAATACTATTATTAATAATAAATTATAATCTATCTTCTGACAGCAGAGATAATTTCTGGAACTATGTAGAGAGGTACAGGAACCTAATTGATGTTGTTGTATAGAGAGAATTCTATTACATTATTGGTATAAATTGGTGTGCTGCTACTGCTGGGAGAAAACCTGTTCTCAGTTGCTGCTCCTAAGTCTTATGAGTCCTAGCTAGTGAAACTACTAAATTTACCACTGCTGATCAAATAACTTAATAAACCTTTGTCGTTAGGTTCAGTGGTAGCTGGAGAGAAGTTAATGTTGCAGTCCCTTCAACAGAATTGCTGAAACCAGAAATGGTCCAAACACTCAGTTCTTTCAGTCAGTCCGTGCTTATACTCTTTTACTTAAACTTTTCCAGTCAAGGCCAAATTGATGTTGAAATGTACTTCCTTTTTAATTTTTATAAACTTTTCAGCACAGCACTTGTGAGGGTGGCACCATGCATTAAGTAAAATGAGTCATCTGCTCTTAAAGCAATTTTATCTCACAAGGTGCTTCTGTGCAAGTTGAATTTATTTATATAGGAAGGGAAAAGGAATTTACAATAGTGTCACATATCTAAATCTATCTTTTTCAAACATCCATTTTAGTACTGAACTTTTGCCAAAATAAGAATGAACTTATCTTCTATTCTAGTGGAATTGAGCTTAATGAAAGAATGAATCTGAAATCAGAATAAAGCCAGAGAAAACGTGGGCAGTTTTGCATCTTTGCGTGTGCTTTCTTTAACAGCATCACAGTGCTCTGACCAGAGTGACAACCAAGTGGTATTTCTAATAATCTCAATCCCATTCTCCTCTCTAGATCTTCAGGTCTATACTTCAGATTTGTGCTTGTCTAGTAACCATTATGTACCAGAAAGAATTGTTGGTGGACAGGGAAAAAAAGTACAGGGGCAGGAAGAAAAAAAAGAGAGGGAAGGAATTCACCTTACCATTGACTGTCAGGCTGAAATTAGAGCTATCAAACTTGTCCTTGGTAGACACCTCACATCTGTACCCTCCTGCAAAAGTCATGTTTGCTTCTATGATTTCCATTTCAAAGGTGTACACCTAGAAGAGACACCAGTGATACAATAATTAAGTTAGAAAATGAAATGGTGAAACCTGAGAGGGAATACATGGAGAGAAATAGACAAAGGATGAACTATGTCTTTGTTCATCCTTTGAACTAAGAACCTCATGAGTGTCCAACTCATTACTGTGACAAAAAATTATCTGTAATCCCCAATGCAGTAGAAACAGCTGAAGAGTGCTGTCAGTACAGGTATTCTTGAGGATAAAAAGGTGTATTATTAAACTGTGCTGGGGCATACACTAATTCCACGTGCACTGGAGACAGGAATAATGCTTTCACTAAGCAGTTTTAGCCTCTTCCCGGAACGTGTGCAGAAGGGGCCAAAATTCAGGGAAAGGAGTGGCTCATGTGAGCCAGTCTGTCCCGTTCCCTCCAGGAGAGGGTGGTAGTGGTTCATGTACCACAGTGGAAGCAAAGTCGTGGTACAGACTCGTGTTCCTGCTCAGGTACCTTTGGACAACATTCTGGTAAAAAATGGGTCTTATTCAGCTACTTAAAGCAGTCTAGACAATGCAAGAGAGCAATGAATTCCAGCACTAATAGCAGAATGATTGACCTATTAAGAACAAGATAGACTATGCTTAAATAGCTGATTGTTTTCTCTTAAATATACCAAGTTTCTTGAAGGAAAATGAAGGGAATCCTGCAGTAGAAAGTGCAAAACTACTCCCCCAGTCCTCTAGATGTTTTCCCATTTCACCACAGATAAAGTTTGCAGGAGTATGTAGAGTTTGTCTCTTGTCTGTGTGGTCAAAACACAGACTTCTGTGAATAAGTATGGCCTTGTGTGTTGCTTTGGGTACCTTAACATCAAACTATTTTAGTTTCTATTTTCCTCAGATTAAAGATTAGTACCTAGAAGACCGAGAACCCTGTTCTGCCAATTGTACCTTGGTATTTCGATCATAACTGTCACGTAGCTGGAGATGTTTCCCCACTTTGCTTCCCAGGTCCATCCACTTTCCTTTGAACCATTTCACTGATGGCTTCTTCAGCAGGCTCTCACCAGCTACTTTGGCAGTGAATGTGATGTTTCCACCTTGTAGGAGAAGTAGATTAAAGTAAGATTATGAATTATGTTTATCTGTTGTGTCACTGCTGTCACTCTGTACTTAGAGAGCTAGTGATAGTCAAGCATCAGGTACAGTTTACAAACTTCACTTGACCAACATGCACTCACCAACAGTAACTTCTCCATCCTGTGGTCGTGCCACAAAGAGCCCAATGGGGTCCAGAGGTTCTTCTGAGTGTGTCTCAGCTGATGAAACTGAAATAAACATCATAATTACTATTTAGACTTTTTTGTATCAAACTATATAGTGAACTACTCAATTAATTTAAAAATTTCTCAGTAGATTTCTTCTGCCTCTGAGATTCTTTATTCTTTATGATCTGCTTTCACCTACTGTCTCTGTCTCACATTAAGGAGTTCCTCTGGATGTTCTTCCCTTCTGCTAATAAACCAGACTTGATGTCAATGTTAATTCTCTATTACCTTGTGTGTTTTGGCTGCTTTCTGCTGGTGGAGCAGGTGACTCTAGGGCAGCTGGGGCTGGAGCAGCTTCTGCAGGAGTGACTGTCTCACTCTTTTCTGGAAATGAATGTAAGCCAAGATTAGAGAAAGTCTATTTCCTCTTTCTTTTTGAAGAAATTTTGAAAAAGAACAGCCTTTAATATATTTTAGGAAATGCAGAGAAATTAGCTGTTGTTTCCTAGAGCCTAGAGGATGCGCTGGAAGCAGAAGGGGCTCCCTGAAGCTGGATGATGAAGCTTTTTCTTTTGATGAGCTCAGAAAGAACTGATGCCTGGTTTTGAAAATTCTATAGTCTTGATGTGTAAAAACTTGTCAGGTGATGAATAATGCTATTATTTGTTGCAAATGTCAGCAAACTAAAGTAACTACTGTCAGTTTCTAAACAGAAAAGGTAATGAAAAATTATGTAATTATTATATTTGTAAACAGTTTGCTTATTAATGAGATTTTGTTTAATGGTGCTGTTGGAATGTAATGTTACAAAGCCTATTGTTGTGAGCAGCTTGGAAAAAGCTCTAAACATTGCTAGTAAGCAATATGGAGAAAGCATTTTAAAAATCCATCTGTATTGTCTTCCCCTGGCTTATGGAAGTTTGTATCCTCTCAATTAAACCATGACCTCAGAGACAAATTTAGGCAAATGCATTTGGCACAATGGAGAAGACAGAATTGTCTGAAAATGGAGTAGGAGTGAGCAACTGGAGCAGATGGAGGGAGGTAGAATTTCTTGAAATAGATCAGTTGCAGAAAGATATTTTTTCTCTGTAGGTAGTGGAGCTGCTTCCAAATAATAATGGACAATCCAGTTACTCTGTGACATTACACACTCCACTGTGCTCCATAGCATTATTTGCAAGTTTTCTGCCTATAGCAGCCTCTGCATGGAACTAACCTAAAAGACAATGAGGAAAATATGATGAGTACTATATGGCCCAGTTTCCTTTCAGGATGAGATAGCAGGACCATATTTCTGCAGCTCTGACAGCTGTCAAATTGTCCTAATCCATACCAGGATTTTCCCTCACACATAATCTGTCATGTCCTGTCTTTGCATATGGAACAGGACACCTTGAAGCATGTTAAATATTCCTCTATTTATTTTCAGCTGACCATAAGTTCTCACAAGGTCCCATCATGTTGCTAAAACAAACAGTGATAGCAAAGAAAAGGAAGTGATGTAAACAATCTGAGTTTGAGGCTTTTCACCAAATTGAAAAGCAAAAAGTCAAATACCAGAAGTGGTAAATGGATGCCATTTTGGAGGGGGAAAAGGGATCTGGAAGGTCAAAATGTTTCAAAAAATGAGTGATTTCATCTATCCTAAGTGTCTTCAGATACTTTTCCATGAGAAAATTCCAGGGAGTTTGACTCTTTAAATTTATTCCCAGGAAAAGCCTGGGAAAGTTTTTGAAATTTCCATGTAACTGATCTTTTAATGTGTACAAAGGTAGTAATAATGGGAGGTACACAATAATACAAAGGTTACTCTTCATATTCAAGCCCCTCTTGAAATACACATTTTTGGTAGCAGGAGATTTTGAGACAATTTTGGGGAATATATGAGCTTCTAGAAACATTACAGTATAACTTGTGTTTTGTCAACTGTTACAATTTTGTTTTTAAATTAAATAATTATAAGAAAATTTCAGTCCTAAGGTCAGGCATTTCAGTTTAGTTCAGGTTGAGGGTTAGATTAGCTTTGCTTTGCTTTTCAGTAGTTAAGTGTAAAAGTTTGGCAGAATTCTGAAGATGTACATTGACATTTCCCCTATGATCTCTTCTCTGTGGATTTCTGACACCTGGAAAGAGGTGTCTTAGCCACTGGAAATGTATTCCTCAGCTTAATATGAATTAGCAGCTTCAAATAATTGGGCAAAACAGATGTATTGCTGGTAGAGACATGTTATAGTGTTTATATAGGCTAATTTCCATGGGCTTTATCTGTGAAGGTTGCATGTGGGACTAGAAATACTGACTAAACCAGAATTGCATAGGAAATTATGTACCTGGTTCCTTGACCTTGAGTTCAAATTTGACCTTGGAACTTCCAGCTATTACAGCATATGTCACATCATCTTCTTTTCCTACGTTATTGATTGTCAGTGAATGCTTGTTGCCTTCTGTCTTGATGACATATTTTTCACTTTCAGTAATTTCTGTGCCAGCTCGCTGCCATTTCACCTTGATGCCAGATTTTTCTGTCTCTGCTTCAAACACAGCTGTGTTTCCGGCTGTCACCTCTGTTGTCTTTGGCTTCTTGGTAAATGCAGAAACTAAAAAAAGAGAGAGGGCTCACTAAAATCTGTTTTGCAGTTGTGGCATATCTGGTGTAGTCAGCTGTTGTGGCTGCAGCAGCTGCCTCCTTTCTCTCCCATCTGCCCATGCAAGTTATAAATTACAACACTTTCCCCAGAGAAGTTGTGGAATTGTCTTTGAGTTTATCAGGTTCTGTGTCTCACTGGGATGTCTTATCTCCTCCACATTGTCATGAAATAAAGTGAAATGGAGAGCAAAATCACCCCTCTTTCTTTTTCCCCATATTGAGCTCTGGTTTTTCATAAGTGAATGTTTTGGTCGATGACAAGATGGCATGGCATATATTCTTACATATCTAGCTGTCTACATTAATTTGCCATGCACTTTTATCTAGAACTATTAATTTTGTCCTAACAGCTGCTTAATACAGTTGTTACAGAGGATCAGGACCTGTTCTTCAACCACACTGCACTTTGTGCAGTAACCTGTGCCCTAATAGACCACAAGGAATTAATGGTTCATCTTTAGTCCTTCCGTTCTGACTGATGAAGGCTTTAGTGGAAAGGAATTCACATTCCTATGATGACCCTTTCATTCCAGCTATAAGGATATAAATTATTGTTTGTATTCAGAAGTTTACTTCAGCATTAAAAGTTGAAGTACTTTCCTATGTGACACTCTACAACAATTACTTCCAAGGTGTAGATTAAAATATTTCCGCAATGTGTCAAGAAAAGCTTGGGAAGCTTATAAGGAGAATTAATGGCATTATTAATATATAGGGTGAACAAGTGTAAACCAAACGATGTTTTACTTCATATGCAATCAAAGTAGCACAGCAGATAGGGAACTGTAAACAAATAATGTATCATGATTTTCATCCATGGGTATCCTAATCTCTCTCAAGACTTGGTTTTAGTAAAGTAACTTGTTTTACTAATTTCTTTAACCTGATTTATTTATTTATTTACATTTCTTCATCTTTATTTGGAATCAAGTTTTTCATTTCATGTTCGTGTTTTTTGTCTTAATGAAATCTGTTATCATTTGCTAATTGCCATGAGCTATGTTGATGTGTAAAAATACCAGCAATTAACATTCTGATTCATACACTGCATGTTTTTTTGCACATCATTCTGTCATCTTTCTATTGAATCACCCCTGTATAACTACATTTTATAAAATACTAGTCATTTCATCACATCTAATTTTATCAGTCACCTCTGTGGCAAATTGTCTATGGCTCTACTCCTCCATACAACACAACAACGGTTATAATTAGCTTTGAACTTTTAGTTCTGCTTTATAAAAATGAAAGAAACATGGCATGAAAATGGTTTAAAAGAGAAAGCTTATATTCATGTTCAAACAGGTGCTTAAGTTCATGTAAATGGTATATTATTAAAAATACCACCTATTATTTTTATAAAATCTCTACTCCTGTAGCATGTCTTCAGACTGCATAATTTAGTTGACCTTAGTGGAGTTACCTCTGCAAAGATTTCATCTGATGGCCTTTGGTCTTTAGCCACAACACAATTCATGCTTCTTGCATTATTTTGCAAAGGATTTGAACCTTCTTAAGCATCAGTTAAAATATGAACTACAAACACTTTTAGAATTTAGTAAAGATTGAATTTTGCTTTTCTTCATTATATGAAAACCAAAATTACATATTTTCAATTTCTTTTTCTCCCCCCCCCCCCCCTTTTGCATTTCTGATGAAAACATAATTTTAGTTTTCAATGAGCCTAGAAATACCTTGAAAAACCTCCTGTTTTATTCTTCTGCATGGTTTCCTTCCCTATTAAAAGTGTGGAAAATTTCCCCTGGGAGTGGAATGTTCCTGCATGTTTATAATTGAGGTTTTTTGTTTTTTTAATCTGGTGCAATAGTTGCTTAAAAATGTAGTGCTTTGTAGAATACAGGACTTTGTACTGCAGTGTCCTACAGCGTGCTGCCTGTTACCAGCTGCACACCTTTAGGTACCGTTCTGCACTTCTGTAAATGACACAGCAGGGTGTGCATTGGTGCAGTGTATCCTGAATAACTGCAGGAGAGTGACTGTACACAGCAGGCAGGACATGCAGGATTCCAAAGACCTGTGAAGGTGCCAGGCTGCTGCACAGTGGGAGACAGGTCAGTTCTGGGAGCCACTCTCTGCTGGCTGGCTGGCTCCTATGTTTCTACAGACAAAGCAGCAAAGAGGCATGTTTTCAGTCTTTGAGTGCTATTATCATCACTCTTCTGTTTAAGCACAAAAGAATCTATAAATATATTAATTACCTAACAGCAAAGTGATTTGTAAAGGTTCCAGCCTACAGTGTCAGGGTTTCATGACACGCATACTTGCAAGTAACTCTGTGATCTGCTGCGCACCCTGTGAAGTGATTAGGTTTCTTACATTTGTTTTGTAGATGACTCAACAAGAACAAAATTGTTGGTGAGAACACAGTGAGAAATCTCTACCACTACATAACATTTCTGGCTTTAGGAAATCTAAACACATGTGCAGAAGTTTATATGTAAGACTCCTTTTATTCCCATTTTTCCTGCCAAAAGACACTTTAGTTCCAACTTAAAATGATTGTGAATATTTCTGGTAAGTACAGAATTGGAAAAGCCCAAAATCTCCCATGAGAACAGAGGCCCTCAAGAGCAGCTGCTGTGCACCCACTTTTTCACTGGTAAAGGAGACTCAGGTTTTAAATGAGTATTTTTCCTGTGGTTGTGATGCAGTCAGGGGCAGTGTCCGGAGTGACTTCTCTCTACCCAGCTTTTCTTTCATCTTTCACTGCTCTTTTTGCAAAGGAAAACTAAAGATGTAGGCCTGGAGATTTTACAGGATATTACTTTGCTGCAGAAGAGAGATTGCTGAAGAAGCATCTGAATACTGTATTTTTTCCTTTTGGGGAAGAAAAGGGGCTGCTTCAGAGGTTAAAGAGTTCAGTTATTCCCCACCCCTTCATTGTGGCTGCCACTTTAAGTAACATGTAAATAAATCCAAGTTGACCAGAGGTTTTTTCTCATGCAGTTACACCAATGTAATTCAGGTATTTCCCCATTAGGAATACTCCTAAACACCACCATCCAAAACTTCTGGTCTGTCCTGAGAACCACACTTCTGCCTGCTTTTGTCAGAAACACATTCCCCATCTGACAATCTTTCTCACTACAACGTTTGGCATACACCCCTCTGAGTTCTATATATCCATCCCATACTCTAAACACTCTTGAATGTGACCACCACCATGAGGCAGTGGAAAACCCAATGACTGTGACACCTCTTGTGTGATGTTGTGGAATGTGTCTGTCAGCCACTGACAGATCTCAGCCGCTGTCCTGTGTTTATCCAGACTCCAGGTGCCCATGAGTTACGAGCAATAGGGCTGGGGCACCTGATATCCTCTGCTGCTCACTGTGTTACCTCTCTGATTCCTGGTATGTTCTAACCCAGCCACACAGGGGGACAGAAAAGTGACAGTAGCAATAGCACACCATGGCACTTCTGGGGAGAGCAGAGAGCCATGTGAGTTACCAGGGCTGATGAAGACAGAAAGTGTTGAAGGTGCTCTGTGTGTTTACTGGGGATGGAGTTGGTGTTGCTGTGGGGATTTAATGAAGGGAGAGAAGAGGGACATGAAGCTAATAAAAGAAAATGAGCCTAGGGCCACTTTGCACTAACCCATTTTTCAATACTTCACCTCTCATAACCCAGGCCTTCCTAATCACTTCTAGCTTCCATAACGCAAACACACTCACATAATTTCTGAGCAACATAAACCAGCAGATTTTACCCCAGGCAGAAGAGGAAACAGCTGTATGTGGTCTGCAGTTATCTTGCAGAAACTTTTTGGTGGTTAAGGCTACAGCTACCAGAACTTGTATCCTCTAAAACTCTTGAAACACCTGGAGAGATAGCATCAGCCATACACTGTATTTGTTACACAAGTTTCAGCTTAACTGGTCAGTAATAAAAACCTCTGTTTGGAGATCTATGATCAGATTGCATTTTTAAAATTTACTGGTAGGTCTTTCAATCAGGAGGATGAAGAAAAAAAAATACATTTGCTTTGCACCAAATTAAACTAGAAAAAAATTATTTGGGTTCCAAAACTAATTTTCCATAATAGTCACCTAAATAAAATAACAAATTTAGTATTCTGCCTTCATTCTGCTGCCATTTATAAAATCTTGATACTAGCACCTTCATGCTTTCTCCTTTACTTTCTGACCTGCTTTGAAGCAATGTCTTTCTAACATCCATCATCAAACAAGTTTACTATTATGATTCAAGTCTTTTTCATACTCTCCTATGCAAACCCCAAGAAATGGATAAGCTACTACCAGGGTCTCTATCTATTGCACTAAAAATTATTTCCTTTGCTCTCTTGTTGAGCTGTCAATCTATTTACTGGGGTTTTATTTTATGAGTGTTTTCAGGCAGAGACTGTTTTTCTGTTGTCTTTGTACAGCATGAAATTGTTAGTAGGTAGCTGCCAAGTACTGTTGTATCTCTAATAAGAATAAAAATTATTATTAGAAGCTAGAAGAGCAATTCTTAATTCATTAGGGTCAGAAAAAATGGAGGTAAGATGTACAGTAAAATAATGTTCAAATTACCAAAAGGATTTCATTTGCCAGCAACATTCTCTAAATAATCTGGCTTAGAGTCACAAGCATCAGCTGAAAACCTATTCCTGAAATACTAGAATTTCAAAGTATGTGTGAACTATGTGAAATGAAAGTGAGCAAGAAATGTGTTTTCTACACAGAGTGGTAGAGGAGAATATGTGTTAGATGACATTTTCAGATGATATTTCTTCCTTTCTGAAATAAAACCTGTTAAAGGTATAAATTCTTGAGGAGAATCTAATGTATCTGGTTGAATGCAGCTGCTAGAAACTACAACAGAAATTTGTGATGAGTGAAATTAGACAAAATAATCGCAGGTTTCTCCCACAAAGCTGAGTTATCTTATTGCACATTCTCTGTACTTCAGAGAGTGTTAAAATATGTCGGTATGGTCGATATATTTAAATAATATTACAAAAGCAGTAATAGCTTTTGGAATTCTTTAATTTGTTGGGACTTCATGTTGAAAATTGACTTTTGCTTGCACTTGGCATCTAGTTTTGCTTCTATATCATTTGCTCTTCCATTGAGTTAAAAGCTCAGCTGAGGATAAGCAGAGTTCAGTAATGGAGCTTGTAAATTCCTTTCTGAGGAACTATATAAAGATGCTGCACATTCCTCAGTCAGGACCTAAGTGGCTTCTTGCAATTACAAGCTTAATCATTCCATGATCCAGAAGCTATTGAAAGACTCAATCTTATCATTCCTTGCCTACTTCAGCAGCTGAGATTGCAAATTCCTGCAGCATGAGCAACAGGCGAGGAATAGTTTCACTAATCAGTCACCTCTCTCTCCATGCATCCATCACACTTGCAGTAAAAGGGGGATAATAATGTTCAGCTTGGTTTGAATCTTAACTTGCACAAGAGGAAACTATGTCTGTATGAATTTAGGGTTTTTTCTGCATTCCTGTGGTGCATAGAAGTTTGTTGCAGTACTTTGTTCTGCTAGGTGCTTGCAAATGTGAAAGAATGATCTCATATTCAAACTAAAATTATGTGGTTTACTCTTCGTTATGCAATTATTATTATTAATATAATTGTTATTTTTAGTAGTAGTAGTAGTATTGAAACCTCTGTTTACTTACAAGTTATTTGTAAATTTTTGATGAAATTTCCTAATCAGAACTGCAAAATCTTGACTCCTCAATCTATAAAATATGTGAGTAAAAGCTGGCTGATCTTCAGAGAAGGTGAGTAATATAGACTTCTCCTTTCCCAGCTATAATAAGCACACACTTCCCATTAAGTCCCATTTATCTACTAAATTTGGTGTTTAAAAAGTCAAGTATTTCCTCCTAATGTCATAAAATATTTTTAGGGAAATGGTTGGATTTTTTTAAACATTTCTGAATTTTCAGAACAAAAAAATGATCAAAGTTTTCAAAATAGTGAGCTTTTGAACATAGATACACTATGAAGTGTTTAAATCAAAGGGATAAAAACATAAAGTTTCTGCAACAGAAACCTGCAAAGAGTGGTGCTTTTCAGAGTTTGATTGTTTGCTCTCATACAAAACTCTTACAGGTCTTATAAATTCTGTTTCTCTTGTGGATTTTCTAGAAGGTTAGGACAGTTCTTTTGTCATTCTTGAAATAAGTAGGGAAGTGCTTTATCCTGAAGTATTTTAGTTGGGCATTTGAAAGTGAAAGAATGTCTGTTGGAAAATGTAATTCACTACACCATTTTAAGTTTAATGGTTTATACAATGATTTTGGTTTTTTGGTGGGATTTTGCGGGGGGGCGGAGGGGTTGGTGGATGGGGTTTTTTTGTTTATTTGGGGTTTTTTTGGGTGTTTTTTGGTTGTTATTGTTCATTTCTTTTTACATGTTAAAAGCCCTGTTAAAACAGCAGATATAAGCAGAGTATCTCTGATCATTCTTTGACATGAAGAATTTTCTTTTGCCTATACACCAGATGCACGAATTTCAGTAGTACAGACTAGGGACTTCTTTGGGCTCTCCAGTAATCTGGCTACATGGTGTGTGAAAGGCAGGAATTGTGATTTATCCAAGTATGAATTGCCCAATGGTTATTTGGCCCTCCCGAGATGGTGCTCAGCATTATCCCATCTTGAAATGGCTTGAACTGTATAAACAACATGAAATAGAAAACCAAAGGGATTAGTGTCTCCTGGGAGACTGAGAAGATCCTCTCTAAAAGTTGTGGGGCATGTGACTGGTTCTGTCTCAGTCAGAGTGTGTAACAAGAGCTTTTCCTCCCCCTGCTGTGATAATCCCAGTGTTTGGTCTGGTTTGTTCATAAGAACTGTGTAGGACTAGTGATGTTAGACACCTGTTAGATTTCTCTGGAGAAATAAGTTGGGATAGAATTTCTCTTCACCATTAGCCAGCAAAAGTGGGTATCTTTGCAAACAGAGACATTGCCTCTCCCCCACAGAGAATGGAAATGTTAATTTAAAGGCAGTTAAAGAATTAGAAATCAGAAGTCATAATGCCAAGGTGTCACTGTCAAATTTTGCCTACTCTGTTGTATTTCTTTTTGTCTGCATTCACAACAATTAAACATTTCAATAAAACTTAAAAATCATATGATTTTAAAACCAGAATATAAGTATGATTTTCTCATTTTTGAGGTGATGACTGAAACTTTCCAGCTTATATTTTCAAGTTTTTGTCTACAATTACAGGATCTAATATATATTTCTTTTTTATATACAAATCTACACTCATTAGAAAAGGCAGCCTGATGAATATGAAATGATGTTATATTTGTAATACAATGTAAGGATTGCTGACACCACTGTTGCTTTAGGGTTATCACACAGAGGGAACACAAAGAATCTTGTTGGAGTTAACCATGCTTTGATGCTTGGCAGGTTGTAATGGGGGAATCTCTGGGTGTGTAATTGGTCTGCCTCTGGTAGTGGCTGATTTCAAGTATTTTGGTCAAATGAAGGTTCTTAGCAAGTTCTCCTTTTGTTATTGTGACAATAGGAGATTGTCTCAGTGGCCAAACTAAGAGCAGACCAATCCTGCTCAGGCCTTTGCAAAGCACAAAGGCCATTATTAATAAGTCTCCACAGCTGGCACTGGCTAACTCTGGAAACTGCACATTTCTAAAAACACGTGCACCTTGTACTGTACATTCAGGTAGTGGTGATTCTGGATGTGCACTGGCATCAATGAAATGACAGCTCTGAAGTGGAGAATCCCAGATTTAGTACAAGTTTCTCCAGGCCTGACTATTGAGCTTGTTCACACTTGACAAACAATCAGAAATTCAGCTTTTGTCAGCTTTTTTTTCCAAACTTGTCGATGCAAAGAGCTTCTGAGGCATCTTCCTCTGCAGGTGTCCTGAAGTTAGCTGCCTCTTCCTTTTCTTCCCAGGCTCTCTTCCTCCTACAAACACCAGATTCATTGCACCTTGCACTCCATTCTAGGCCTCCTCTATGTGGGCAGCATCTGAGTGATTCCTTATTTGAAGATTTTTAATTAAAACATTAATAAGTTTGAAATAGCTTCCTGGAATTTTTCTCTGTGGCTTTGTGACCTTGGCTTTCTGAAAAAGGCTAGTTATATTCTGGCTCAAGGGGAAAAGATGAAGGAGGGCAAGGAAAAGAAATTGCCATGTATTCTTCACAGTACAATGTTGCCTTTTTTTCCTAGAGTTCTATTTCAGTGGTTAAAAGAAACAGAAGGAATAAACTCTGACCAGGCTCTGTTTGCTTTCATTTTCACAGAGATTTCATTCACAATAAATACCATCAAATTTTGCCAATAATACTTCTACAAATTGTCAGGGGGAAAAACCCAAACCCTAAATAAAAGCAGGAGAGATTTATACTATTTAGCTGTCCAAGAGAGAGACAACAAGCCTTTATTTATTTTTTTCAGAGTCCTAAAGGTGACTAGGAAAGGAAATGAGAAATTAAGCACAACTGAGAATCAAATGAGTTTCACCTCTATTTTTTCCTCATCCAAAGTCTCTTGAGAAAATTCTGTGGCTGAGGATTATCAAAGCAGTTAGCGATTTCTCTTCAAGATCACTCAGTATCTCTTACATTTATAACTTAATAAATTTTTTCCCTGTCTATTTATTTTTTCCTTTGAGGCATCTAATTTCTCTAGCATACATAATCTACTCACTTTTTTCCTGTCAGGCTGTTCTCAGTTTTGTCTGTCAGTTATGATCCTTACCTGTTTTCTTTACGGGCTCTGGCATCTTCCCTTTGTTTCTGGTGGAGCTCCCAGCTGTATCTGGAAAGCAGGGTATGAGTCACACAGGAATGGGACTGCAGGGCTTTTGAGACCCCCTAAAGCCCCATGGGGTGGAAGCCCCCATCCTGCTCCTCCCCCTTGATCCCCCCCTGTTGTCGGCTACGGCACCTTATCAGCAGCAGGGCACTTGACAGGCTACATCAGCTGGGTTAAATATAGCCCAGTTCCAGGAGCCAGGGAGCTCAGGCCACCCAAGGCTGGCTACCACTGATCTGGTGCTATAAACCAGAGCACAATGTGATGCTGCACATGGGTGCAGAGCGTCTTCTGGCTACAGGCATGTATTGCATGGAGAATTCCAGCACTGCCATGTTTACAGCACATGCAGCAAACTAGATCTGGTAGTTACATCTCCTGTGTGCTGGTTCCTGCTTACTCTAAGTGTGCATTTGCTTATATTCTTACCACTTATTTCAGTTTTTGTTTTTGTCATAATTGGGTCAGAGCTAAACAGCCCCTCACACACTGGTTTTCTTGTTTCTTTTTTTAGCTCTTCAACCAAAGACTGTATTTGTAGAACTAACTGTGAACTTTAAGGAAAGAACTTTCTTTTGCAGAGACACTTACACAATACTGACATTTGCAGTCACAAGTAGAAAGCATGACACTACTTAAATAGTTTTAGTCCTCCCTCCCCATCCGCCCACTTGATCCACAGCATACGTTTCTTGATAACTAGCAAGTTTTTTTTCTTCTTCTTTTAAATATCATTTAAAAAATAGTTACAAGGTTCTGCTTTATGCCACTAGAAGTTTCAATTTTGCTTAATCATGTAGAAAAGATCTGGGGGAAAATCTCACTAGAAAATTATTGTTGTATGGCCATTTCATGCTCCAATCATTGCTTCCTATTTATTCCTATATTTAGCAAAATATAGGAAAAAAAATTATATATATATATATAGGAAAAAAATATATAGGAAAAAATATATACTATATATATATATATATATTAAGATTTTGCATATTCATATGCATATTATTTAGCATATTCATATATGGCAAAATAGTAACTGTGGACAATCATTCTTTTATTATCATGATGGTTTATCAATTTTGAGTTTTAAGCTTTATCAAAAAACTCTGGAGGCCAAACATTGAGCATATTTTAGCCACCACTTGTATTGACAAAATAATTTAAAAAAAAAAAAAGAAAAAAGGTGTGGTTTTCATTTTTTCCCCCCAGATTTACTCTCCTGTAAAAAAACTCATTTTTAAATGATTTAATATTTTGGCATGGAGTTCAGAACAGACCAGTGTGCAAGCAGCTCATCAGTCACTGTACTGTGTGTCTGTTTTTCACATCTAACTCTCTTAGTAGGCTGATGCAAGAATCACAGCTGATACATCTCCTGATTTGGGGCCAAACACCTCCTCCCCTTCCCTTGAAGCAATTTTTAATGGATGAGTGAGGAAGATGAGCAGGATGTCGCCTGTGTTTATTTTCCATTGCCTGGTTTCTAGTGGAGCACAGCTACCATGATATGTATTTGCTACTATCCTGTGCCTGAGATATTTCACTGGGAGTCAGGAAATTTCCTTTGGCTATTTGCTTTGCCTTGAAACCTTTCAAAGGGCTTGGGTCTCACTTCTTCCCCACAATGAAACACATGAGGATTTAATCTGATGCAGGGAAAGGATCCTAACCCAATAAAAACTGGGCAGATTTTGTGACTTTTAATGTTATTTAAAGTAATATTTCAAATATATTGCTATGTTCAAGACTGGGAAAAATGAATGTTTTGTCTGCTATTACGCATTAGGTTGCCAGGTGGCAGCATTGTTGTAATAGTAAACTTTTTCTAGCATTTTCTATATTACATTACATTATATTATATTATTTGACTACTTTTAATAACAAAACTGCTATGCAAATGAAATGTATAATTTCAAGGGCTACCCTGACTCAAACCTACACAGTTGATTGTGATAACTACTTTGTAGTGCACTGCAACACTAGATAATTGTTTAGCAAGTGTGTGAAGTTTCTCCTGTGTTCAAATGAAACTAATGTACAAGAACAATGAAGCAACATGTAATAAATGTCTCAGGGCCTGTGCTTAAAAAGTGAGCGAGAGGGAAAATTCTTCCTTGTCAGAAGAATTACTCTGAAATTATTGCTCTGTGCTTCAGACAGTGTCTTCCACCACATAATTCAAAATCAAGTTCAAAAATGACAGAAATTGGTGCCCTGCCGTGACATGCTGTGCAATTTTGGATAGCTGCACCATGGCTTATACAGAGAAAACCAAGGATTTATTATTTATAGCCAAAGTTAACAGCACCTCCTTCTAAAAAGACTACACAACTTCTTATTAAAAATCTATGTATTTGGGTGCTTGTGACTCTGCTCAAATTTAGGTATCCAGACAGAAAGTCTATATATTACTTTTCTATTTTGGACTTCTTTTCCTGGTAGTTTCTGTCATGCCATTTAATTTCTTGTCTCTATTTCTGTTTATTTGTTTCTCTGCCTTTTGTTTTGTGTCATCAAATTACCACCTCCTCAGTGGCTCTGCAGTTTCTGAGGACAAGGCAGTAAAATTGCCTCAGTGGCTGCAGATTTGCTGGTGGGAATGGTGGGACAGCTGAGGTGGCTCAGTGCAGAGCACAGGCCCAGCAGGACCCGTCCACTGAAGTGCTCATAGAATCATGGAATATCCTGATCTGGAAGGGATCCACGAGGTTCATCAAATCCAGCTCCTGACTTTGCACAGGACAGCCCCAGTACCCACACCAGGTTCCTGAGGGCATTGTCCAAACATTCCTTGAACTGTGGCAGGTTCCTGCTGTGACTTTCCTAGAAGTTCTGTTCTAGTGCCCACCCACCCTCTGGGTGAAGAATCTATTCCCAATATCCAATCTAATCCTCACTGTTTCCTTTGAGTTTTTGAATCACAGAGCGCTTGTGTGTACAGTGCAAAGCCACTTGACCTTTCTGACAGAACATGAGTTTACAGGGATTTAGGAGATTTGGGTAATGCTTATTTGAGCTTTCCTTTGCACAACCATTTTGTATCCCTACCCTTTGCACTCCATACTTGAGTTCTTTCTGTATATTTGACAGCAGCTTGCTTTCATTTCAGGGATGTTCTTTTAACTGGCTTCATGCTAAACAACCTGAGTTACTGCATATTCTAGACTATGTGGAAAAAATGCAGTCTCCATATGCTCAGAGAACTTTCTACATTTCATCCTCTGAAGAAGTTTTTTTGGGTCATTGAGGTCCAGTGAAGGGGTCAGCAGAGTTTTCTATGCATTTATGTCAGGGCTAATGTGGGACTGGCACTTAATCCAGACACTTAAAGTAAAAGCAAACAGCCTTTGTGTCCTGTGCTCCAAACATTATCTCCCTCAGGCATATCAAAATAAAGGGGAGAACCAGCAGGGTTGGGGGGCAAATAGTTGGAACTTCTGAGGGGGAAGGGATCCCACCATTTTGAGTGGGAGGAGGAAATAAAAATGTGTGATTGAAGGGCATGGATTGGGGGAGAAAATTGGTTTTTCTAGGTAATATGGGAGGGATTTAAAACAGATTATTGAAGGACAAGAATATTAGATGGGGATCTAGAATAGAAATGGGGCGAAGGGAAGAGAACTGATGATAAGACTGAAACTGTAAGAGGATGTGGGATGGAAAAACTATAAATGGCTGAACAAATAATTTGGAACTGAGAACCACTCACATAAAGAGAAGCTGACTGGAGGCATTTGTGAGAAAAGTTGGCCTGAGAGGAAGCAATGAACTAGCTGGGCAAAAGTTGAAAAGGGACATTGAGAATAAAGCAATTGGAATCTACTAAATATGGAGGCATCTACTGGCTGAATCTAGGTATGGAGAAAAGCTGACCGAAGAGCTGGGAACTGATAGCTCAGGTTAGCAGAGAAAGGAAAGCACAGTGTGGGTGAGTGGGGAAAAAAGGGAAGAGGGAATATCTAGAGAAGAAATCTAAAATTATGTTTCTGAAAGCAGACACACAGAACTCAGAAACGTCAGTAAATCTAAAAGAACCCAAACTGATTTGTATACGCAAATGCCCAGCTCAGCACCCAAACATTCTTCACTTTGCATAAGGCAGAGGAATTGAAGCATTCTGCACAGAGGCACCAGTGGTCAAAGGGCTTCTTATACCTAAAGCACTGCTGCTCTGCTGCTGGGGAGTTAAAACAGAAGCTCAGAGGGAGCCCTTAAGGCACAGAAACTGCATTCCTTCCTACCACAAAGCCGCTTCCCCAATCCTTTGCATAACCTTGGTCTCCCCAATACCTCCTCCCACCCTTCTTTCTCCTCCTCCACCTCCTGCTAACCCTTATCTGCTCCACCACATCCTCATTCCCCTGCTGTCCATAGACTGCTCTGCTCATTCTCACGTACTGCTTTGACTCCCCAGTAGCAAAAAGTAACACTGTGGGGAACCAAAGGCATGAAGGAGGATGTGGCTGGATGAGTGGAGAGAATGGAAAGAAACACAGAATGGAAAGAAAGTTGCCCTGAAAAACCTGATCTAATAGGCCTGCTTTGAGTAGGGGGTTGGATGGGGTGACCTCCAAACATCCCTTCCAACTCAGGTTCCTCTGTGTGCTGATGTGAGGTGTTCAGCTAAGACAGACATTGCTGAGTTATGAGTGAGGAAATGAGAAAGGATATCTCAGCCTCCTGCTGTTTCCATGCTCCCTGGAGGACATTCATGTTCTCCAGCTCTTGTAATAGGACTGATTATTTGGTTTATATACAGACCTCTCTAATAGCACAGGCTCAGCTGAGCCAACTGAATTGCAATGTGCAATTTTTTTAGAGAAGAAAGGTGAAATTTGGTGAAGTTTTAGCTACTGTCACAGTTTCTTTAAAGAGCAAGCTCTTTATCTACTTAACTGTAATATATAAGTGGCTTCATTACAGTAGCATTTTTATTACAGGCACTACATGTTTAGTGTTTTAAGCATATGGGTATGCAAAACTATGTAAATCTCATTTGAGTGTTTCTTAGAAGAAGAAAAGGTGGCGAGATAGCAAGGTAACCCACAAAATAAATTAGAAATAAATGCAAAGTCTTGGAATTGGTACCACAGTCTGTGTCATACCATAGTCTTTTCTATCCATAATCCATACATTTTAAATACATAAGTGTGGGATTTCCATTGAGAACATACTATTCATGGCATTCTCAAAGGAAAAATGCTCATTGTGTTGTCATCAGCAATAAAGTCTTTGCTGTGAATTTACAATGTGCAGCTACAGTACAGGGAAAATTTTGAATAACAGTAAAAATACACTGAATTGAACTGTCATGTGGTATATGTACTAGTTATGAAGCTGTCAATATAGTTTGAATTAAGCTCGATGATAATGAAGGGAATTTTGTTGTGTGGAGGTCTAAATGAGGGAGGAAAAAAGTAGAAAGAAATGGAAGGAAGTAAAAGAGATTATGTGATACAAATAAACTAAGGCAAAAGGCTTACTGAGAAAAAGAAACCTGGCAATGTACAGAGCCTAAGCCCTGTTGTAGTCATAAGTGAAGACAAACATGGATTGTAAGACTCTGTCAGTGTGTGAATCTTGAAATGAGGGTATAGAGATAAAATTTCATGAAGGAGGAGACCAAAAACCTCCATCAGATATATTGGGATGTATGCATTTTTTGGGATGTTCGGAGGACTCAATAAATGTGGGTTTTCAGGCAGAAAATAAATAATAACACCTTTATCTGCAGTTCTGTCTGGTTCAGGTGAGTAGCAGCTTACATCTAGAAATGTCTAAAACTCTCTTTGACTGAGTAGAATTTAAAAATACATGCTACCACTGTAAATTATTATAAGCATATTATCTGTATAGCCAGTGCAATTTTTCTAACTTTGATGCCTCTGATGTACAGCTAGAGGGAGTCTATTGTAAGCGCAGTTCAGTATTTTGAATTTAACTCACTGGTAGTTTCCAGAATAATCTTTCCACAAGAATTGATTAGGAACCACTCAGTGGCTAATAAAGCTGATTATTTAAGCAGGCTGCAAAGGGCCAAATATAAGTTGAATATCCAGTTGAAGTATGAACATTTGCTTTGAAAGAGGATTGATGATCTCTAAGACCAGTGGGCTGCAAAATGTACTGATGAACTTGTCCTAATCATGGGTCATCGCTCCAAACAATAACCCCCCCCCGACCTTTTTGATCATATCTGTCTGTCTAGTACTTGGCCACCTTCACAGAAAGCAGCTCCTCTGTAATTTTGCAGAACCTGTGATTTAGTCATATTCATTTTGGTATTTTTGTCTAAAACAGCCAAAGAGCTTCTGTGTTTGCATGTGCAGCTGAAAGGCAATAATTCAGCTTGCCTAGACTGCCTAGTGTCCCGAGCAGTTGGATTGTGTGGCAGACAAACAGTACTCTGGCAGAGAAGCACCATCATTTGGTCTCTTTCACAGCTGCAACACATGATTATTCACTCTTTATGCCACAGATGAAAAACCTAACCAGAAACAGATGGGGAGTGAATATTTTTAGAAACAGAATTTCAAAGCATTAACAAGAGGAACAGAAAAAGTTTTCAGCTTTGGAGATAAAATTTAAACCTTCTTGATAAAGTATTTTCAATATTACTTTTAAAAATATTTTTTTTCTAATCCTACTATTCCCTCAAGATAACTTTCTCAGAATCTTCAATTTCCATGTTTCTTGTGGTCAAAATCAGTGTAAAATGCAAATTCTTTAATTCAAGTATAAGTAGTTGCTCTAAATTAGCATTTTAAAGTAATGCACACACTCAAACAGCTCATTTAAAGGTTCTTGTTGTTTGTTTGAAGGCTTACTTTAATTTTGTATTATTTCTCCAGCATCTAATAAGATTTTATGCAAGACTTGCTAGGGAAATGTAAAAATAGGTCTCATAGATCTTAGAAAGCTTTTTGGTAAGCTTGAAATGGCTTTTGTGATATCCTAAGCATCTCCACAATTAACTCATCAGTTGGCTCTTTTCAGTTATCACAGTTTTCCTGCAAGAGGAAATGATCCTTCTCCTTCAAATTACAGTGTCAGAGAGGGATCAGTTCTGCTTTTGAAGCTGTGTTTGTGATAAAGATATTTTTATGAAGCGAGGAATTATTACTCTAGTTTTCTTGAATATCAAGTCTGCAAATCTGATGAGTGAAAATGTCTTTAATCTCTTTTTAATTCCAGGCCAGCAGTGCCAAACATCATCAGTACCAAGCCGAGAAATCCTGAGTTTGTAGCTCAGCAAGAAGGAACCTTGTGTCAGTGTTGGGTGCTCTAGTCTTCTGAGAGCTGCCTTCAACAGCTTCCATCCTGAAACTTCAAAATGGATGCAGATGGAATTATCCAAGTCTAATTCAGTGAGTATTACAGTACTTCCTATAGGAAGTAAATAATTTCAGTACAATTTTAGAAACAAAATGTCTTCTTCATTTGACTCATCCTAACTCTAAGTGAATGAAAAATGATCCTCAAAGCACAGTAACTAAAAGTTGGATTACAAGATTTTTAGAGGCATGAAAGATAACTCTCAGCTAATTTTTGGCACTGACTGATGTATTTATCAAGTTCATAAACAGGGAATAAAAATTGGGAAGTAGTACTTTGGGATGTTTTTTAACCAGGAGCTTCTTTCTTGTTTGGCTCCAAAGAGACATTGTAGTCCATGATGCCGCCAGATTTTCACTTCCACAGTGAGATTGTTAGTGCAGATAACAATGACTGGTTTTAGATATAGTTTTGAGAACTCAGGTCTGTAAGAAGCTCATCACTTCAACTATTTCTGATTTCAGTGAGGAGCAAACTCTGAAAAATTTCAGATTATTTAGTGATATTTGGCATGTTGTACTGCATTTCAATATTGCTAAAAAAATTCCTTCTCTTCATTCTCTATCTGCCTCATTTCACCTCATCTATTTTGGCAAAGTCCTGATTTTTGAGTGATTGAAACACTTGAGATATGTTAAATAATGTTAAAACTTGAAGTGCTAATTTTCTTACTGTTGCTTGAATTTAGATTTAATTTCTGTGCTTAGATGTACTGGGTAAATTTACCATGATGTTTCAGGTATTGAATTATCATTTATTTTGCATTTTGAGTGTTATCTTTACAGTGCAGTTGTTATTAGTTACTATGAATTGTTTTACAGTAGGGCTTAAAATCCACAGTTAAAATCTTGAAACTCTTTTGTACTGGAACTCCACAAAAACATGATTAAACACAACTTACTTCCAAGAAAGATTCATGAGTGAGAATCAAGGTATCACTGTGGGGGAAAGGAAGACAAAAGAACAGGAGCAGGAAAATAAGTAAAACTGCAAAAGAACATGGTTAATTGATACATTCTAAATGGTATGGGGATATAAATGCAATTCTTAGTATATGTGACCAGAAAATGTTCAACAAGGTTTTTGCACAGGAAAAAATAGTGAGAAATATATACAAATATGTATTTTTAAATTTCCTTCAGTACTGCACTCTCTTTCATAGTAATGTATTTCACCTTGTAACATTTGTTACCGAGTTTGACGCCACTGATGATGTTTCCAGGTAAATTAAAAAGTAGCTACAAATGGATAAGGCCCTACAGCCCAGTGCATCTTTTGTTCAGACACCACACAGGAGCTGTATCTGCATAACTGAATGCGTGACGTGTGTTTGTGAAGTAATCATTTATTATGCAAACATCAAAACTTCATTATACCTAATTTTATTAAATATGTACATGTTATTACTATTTAAAAGAATGAGTCTCATTCCAAGATCTGCAAACTTCTCTCTAGCTCTGAGAGCTGTGGCAGAGCCTGTATTAATGCTAGTTTAAAAGCTGGAAGCTAACGCGGTGTCACTGTGGGTGACACAGCACCACCTCTGGAGGCAAAACTTCATTGGCTGTATTCTTTAGTTACAATACAATCAAAACAACAAAAAAAAAAAAAAAAAAAAAAGAAAAAAATGAAGAAAAATATATCTTTCCTGACAATATATTTGTACATTGTTTAAATTTCCCAACTCTGTCCAGCTTGGAGGATGGAAGCAAAGAATTCTGTCATGATTGGGATTCTCAGATGCTGAAGAAGGGGATTCGTACCAGAAACATCTGATGATAAAGGCTGTTTAAAGGCAGAGAAGGGGGCACAGGAAGCAAAGAGAAAGATGTGTCCATCTCCTCTGCTGGAATCCAGCCAGGAGCTCTCAGTATTTTTCTTGCTTAGGGTCCCATGGCCTCAGTGAGGATAATGCTTCCTATCAGTGGCCCCCCTTCCCATCACCTCTCCACTAAACTGGTAGGTCAGCTTCTTCTTAACTTTCTTGACCTCCCCTGTCTTGCCATAGTTTCTCAAAGCCCGTGCCATCTTCTGGTAGGTCATTTTCTTGCGGTTGCCTTTCTGGATGCCCCAGCGATGCGCCAATGCTTCTTTGTGTTTGGAGGAGAACTGGAAAGTACCCTTCTCCTTGTCCACCCACCAAATGCTGTCCTTCATGTCCCCACTGCGAAGAAGGTCCAGAAGGAACTGATACAGACGTATCTTTTTCTTGCTGCCTGTGTGAGAGTCAAAGAAGAAAGCCAGTGGAGCATTAGTATTTGTGTGTAGTTCCTGGAGAAACAGCAGAAAGTACCTAAGTATTCCAGCTAGCTTGGGAGACATAACTTCAGTTTGCAGCATTTATAACAGTAGACAATATAACAGTGAGAGGAAAAAATGTGGGTTTATATACCAAGAAGGAAAAGCAAGAATAATTCCAATGGCTAAACTTCAGAAATTCATTTGCTAATTTGAAGCTAATTGAAAAACATTGCTAATTCAAAATTAACTTAGACCTAATTTTGGTAGGTTATACAGAATGTGACTCTCAGATACTGAGCAAAGAGAGCTAATTTTTTTTTAAATTGGTTCTTCTTTGACTTTCTTGTCTTGGTTTTCCTGGCTGTTTTTAGAAATTGGAGTAGAAATGGCAAAAGCCATTTCCATTCAGGAAGCCCGAATAGACAAAGCCAAAGCAGGCAAGGGAGTACATTAAGAAATGACGTTTGAGATAATTATGGTTGTGAGATTCAGAGAACAGGAGAGTGCAATGAGTCAGGGAAAGAAAAGCTTTGGAAATGGCATAAAATACTAGCACAGCAGTTCTACAGTTTCATTCATTATCCTCATGGTAATAAAACACCTGCTCAGTTCATAGCTTGACAAAATCCTTCTGTTTTCACTGACCTGTTTCTCCATGCATAATTCCAGGCCCAGGCTCCACACCATCATTCTCCCCATCTGAAACCTCCAAGGGGGGGCTCTGCCTCTCTATGTCCTCCTCATCAGAGCTGGGCTGAGGTGGAGAGAAGTACATCCGAGGCAAATAGGACACCTTTGGAGAACAGAGCAGCAGAGGGAGAAAGCAGTGACACAGAGTAGGACATCAAGATTAAAAAAGGAAATGTTATGAAGAGAGGCACAGAGAAAAGGAGGAAGAAAGTTAGAGGTATGGGAAAATGTTTAGTGTAATACTGAGTGACTTAGTTGTTGACATTTATAATAAATACCATCCTATTAAGAAACACTTTCAGATAACAGTCAACACACATGTACAATGATGCACCTTTACCAGAGGGAAGAATGAGTAACGTAAATGCCAAACTTTCTCATACCTTATATCCTATGCAAGTAGCACTGTCCCTCTTTCCCATATCTCCCCAAAGCTTGCTTTCTTCCTAATGAGCTTCTGATCCTGGTTGTCTATCCCCAGAATGAAACTGCTTTTCAGAACAACTTTTTTCCTAACGCAGACCATCTGTAGCTGAATTTGAAAGGGATGAACAGTTCTGCCCTATCATGGCTGGCTTTTGCTCTGTTGTCCTGTTCCTTTCTCAGGCACAGTACCTCCTGATGAAACCCTATGGGAGTGCATCCAAATTTGGAGATGGGATTGTACCGGTCCGTCAGCTTTCTCTCATAAACTTCCCCCATGAGGAGAGGAGTAGCCTTAACACTAAGATAAGGATATATCATATCAGCCCATACTCTCTTTTCCCAAATGGCTATCTGAAAATTCCCCATTAGGGGGGAATTTTTCATCTGCAAAGCTAGCAAGCCAGTTTTTGTGTTAAATTCTCTTGCCCTTATATAGAGGTGTTGTCAGAAGCAGTGTGGAATATACCTCAGCTCTGTAAATTCTCACTTGTGGTCTGGTTTGCTAGGAAACATGACCAGTTGGCACAGATTATTGCATCTTCTTATTTAATAATGTGAAACAGGTCAGTCTGAGGGGCAGGGAATAAGAACCCAGTCCCTACATTAAAAAAAACCCAACCAACATTCCCCAAACCCAGCAGCATATCCTATGCAGCTTTCATGAAATGGGACAGATGATAGTCCTTGAAAGTGAGCTCCTTTTGTACTGCTCTTCTCTTCTACCAGAGAGGGATGTTTTGAGCCTGATGCCCTCCCCAGGGGGCCTCAGGTGCTGGGTGGGCAGTGGATGTTCATGAGTCACTCACCCTGTGCTGGCTTTGGCCGAGCGGGGCTTTTTGGGAGAGTTTTGCACCACCTTGAAGTGTCCCAATAAGGCGTGTGCCAAGGGCTGCATGGGCACTGCAGCTGGCAGTTAATGAGCTGGCACATTGGCTGAAGCTGATCTGTCAGGAAGGGCAGGATTGGGCAAGAGCCCCTGTAAGCTTCCTGTCAGATCCCCAGGACTGAAACTTCAGCCCTCACCACAGCCACCTTCAGCTTCTTACAGTTAACAAAGCTGCAGCGCTGGGGTGGAAAGGAAGGGAGAGACTGTGCCATGGGGGAAGGGGAATGAGGAGGGGGGACAGGGTCCTACAGGGGAGAGGAACAGAGATTGGTGCCCTTGAGAAAAGGGCTGTGGAAACCTGGAGTGCTTTGGGAGATCATATGGGAGTAAGGAACTGCTTCTCTGGGGCTCAGTGGGACAGTGGGAGGGGACATGGTGTCTTGCAGAGGCCAGCCCGGGGAGTTGAGTGAGCTTTCCCCACCTTGTCCCCACTGTCCCTGACTGCTGCACCTTTGCTTACACTTCCTCTGCACCTGAAATTCAGCAAGGGCAGTCAATACAGTGTCACACAGTTTTGGGACAGAGTCACAGAGGACTGGCCTGTGTGCTGTGAAGAGCCAGGTTACTAATGCAGCTCTGGAGAGAGAAAACTTAAGGAACTACTAGCTACTTTCCATATTCTGATGTTTTCCCAGGGTCTGTGGCCCCTACATGTGATTTTCCTCTTTCTGAAAGTTCTTCTCAGGGCTTTCCAACCTTCTCTTTCATTCTTCCTTCAGAATGAATTTTTTTTTCTCATTTTAGTATTTCTGAGATCCCTGTTGGCAGGCTAACAAAATTTCAAACAAATCTTGTTCATGAATATGTTAAACTTCAAATTTAATTTCACAAAGCAATGTGATATCCACAGAAAATTGAAGAAATATCTTTGCACCTTCCTTCTTTACTGCAAACAGTAACCCTGATATTGCAGGACAAGCATACTAGTTAAAAACTAGCAAATTTGAGGAGGATTAAAACTTGCTTCTTGCTTGTTTCTTTGCCTGGGACTGTGACTGAGACGCACCAGAAGCTGAACTTCAGAGCATGCCAAGTACTATTTGTATGAGCTATACATATAAAAGTATAGGAGGAATAAAAGTAAAATAAAGTAAAAAGCCAAAGATCCCCTGCTGGTAAGGAAAAGAAGGGTAGTGGTGAATTCTACATACTGACATCTGCAACTTGGTAGGGTATGGGGCAGGGAGATGGCAGTGCTCTTTATCAAAAGTTGTTACAAAATTAGTTCCCTGCCTTTCATCCTGAAATGAAAGACCATAGCTGAGAAGAATGAATGTGGGTAAGCAGAAGTGGCCTCTCTTGCCTTTTGGTTGTGCTTCCAAAGACACCCCTAAAGGGGCTCATTTTCTTCCTTTGCCCTTGGCCAGAGGTCATGGTTGGTCATTAGGTATTAGCAGTTGCAATGAGCAACTGAAACAACTTGAAGCTTCCCACAGGCTGCTGTTCCATGATGCATTTTTTATATTTGTAACTTTCTGTTCCTAATTCTTTGGTTGTATCTACATCTTAAATTCTATTCCTGATTTTTTTGATGGCTTGCAGTTTCCTGTTGTCAGTGTTAACTTACTCATTCTATTTTTTTCTCTTCTTTCTTTTTGATTAATACAGTATTAACATCCAATTTCGGTTTGCTTTGAGCAGAGAAACCCAAAATGCCAAGCCCATGCATGCAGTTTTTCTCACAAAGTTTCAGCAAGGGTACTGTTACATGCAGCACTGTAATCAGCAAACATTCTTTTCTCTGACTTCAGTTCTACTCTGTCTTGCATTTAGGACATTTCATGTACATTGGGGAACACTATAGCACAAGATCTTCCAGCTTTCTTACTGTCCCCAGTAATAACTTTGGGCATACTCTTGTAGGATCAAGAGTGATTTCCACATCTGCTGTGCTTACTATCTTTGCAGTATGATGGAATACCTTATAATTTCAGGTTCAGCGAGAATTCACTGGTGCTTTGGTGACTACTGCATAGTGGAGTATATTTTTTTTTTACAGGGAAATGCCTGGCTTAATGTAAAATCTGGGCAAAGACAAGACAGTGTGCTTTGGCTTGTGACTTATTTACTCACAGATAGAAGCACAAGTAGGGTCTCTTCAGCCTGTGGTAGAATTGTCAGAGACTTGTCTTTGTTGGCATTTCTTGTACAAGTCATATAAAATTTTCAGAGTTCCTTGGAAATATTTAAAACTTTACTACTACTTCAAAGCTCAGAATTACTTCTTAATAGCCCTGGGTACCCTTGCTATGATGATACAAAGTTTCTCACCTCCAGTTCATCTGCAGAATTGCAAACCAGTTGATCTTCATTCCAAATGAAACAAAAATTGAAATTCCAAACACCTCCACAAAATGCAGTTCTCATTTTAGACAGTGTGAGGAGCATAATTTCTCATTGGCAAAAAGAATGTTTAAAATACATTAGTCCTGACAATGAAGACATTACATCCCCTAAGAACCTGAGTAACTAATTCCAGAAATTTCTTTCACTTCATAGTATGCATTCCCAATGTATTGTTTTCTTTACCATTAATTACACTCTGAAGTTCTGAGCAGGGTTGGTGCCCATACCTGATGGTTGAGTCCGATGTGTGTGGTTGGGATTGCAGAATCCAGGACGTGCATTTGCTCGATCTCCATGTGCCTGTAGAGCTGCTGCAGCTGGGGAGGCTGCACACTCTGCAGCTCTGTGAAATGGTTGTCTCCAAAGGTCTCAAATTCACTGTGCATGTGGTGTGGATGATATTCCCAATAATGATCTAAAGAAAGTAAAAATAGATTGTCCATCACAGCAAGATGAAAAAACATGGCATTTACCTGGCTTTCATGGATTCTCACTCCTGTCACAGCCCTTTCTGCCCTCTCCAAACCACTCCTGTTGACCTGTTTGTCTCTGCTGACAATTTTTATAGATCCTTGCAAAGTTTCTTTTCCTAATCTCCTAAATTCCTGTGACTGGGGAGCATTACTTAGGCCACTTTTAGTAGGAAAATACTCTCAGATAGTGAGATGGATTTAAATGATAATTTAACACAAGATGCAGAAGATGTTAATGTTGGCACCTTTCTCAAGAAGGGACCATAACAAGTTTCAAAACATTGTCATTCTTAAGACAACAAATTCTACTGATTTACACACTGTCATATTCTTATTACACTCTTCCTCATGGCATGGAAATGAGGAGGTGGAAAAAATGTAAAGATTATTCTGCAGCTATCTTTAGACTTTATTTTACTATGCTAGCAAAATTTCAGGAATGCTGCCGAAAAGTCACTTCCTGCTGTTTTGCTATATCACACATTTTTAAGTACCAAGACTAGAGAATAAAAGGATAAACACTTGGAAATCTGGTGTACACTGTATACAGGAAGGCTGAATTCTAATGCAGATTCTTTCTCTACCTTTTTTATCTCTTTAGTACATTTGAAATTACTGTGATAATTTGGATTTTAAAAAAATATATAAAGAAGTACTTAAATAACCACTATAATGTTTCCTGATTCATTTGTCTTTGAAATGAAATTCCATATTATTCTCAGTTCTAGATTTCTGGATTTTTTAGTTCAACATAAACCTTCAACTTTTTAGAATGTCATATTTGCTGCTCAAAATGTAAAATTTTCTGCAAGAAATGTGAAGTAATTCTAATTTCTCATATGCAATAGCTGATACATAATTCTGCACATATCTATGTGCAACCTGTTTTTAAAATCAGTGTCAACACTGCATCCTCTGCTGTGACTGAGCTTGGAACTAATTTTCCAGGATTCATCTTTTTGTGTATCACTTTATGCATGGCTGAAATTTCTTTATGATATTCTGTGTAACAGTTCTAATTTATATCTTACTATTCCACATTCTCTTCCCTTATTAAATTATTTTCAAAATTTCTGTCCTCCCCTTTACATGTTTTCACGTTGCTGTCATGTACTCTCACAATCTACTTCTCTTCATCCCTTAAGCTAGCATCAGCTCTGGGTCTTTCAGTGTAAATCAGCATATTCATCCCTCTATTCACATTTGTACACTTTTCCAAGCTCCCTCCCAGCTGTTGACATCCTTCCAATAACACAGTGAACAGAATTGAACATGTTCCTCTAAATGTAGTTAAATTTATAGAGGAATAATTGTTCTGCAATATATGTTATTGTGCATGACATCTGGATATTAATGTGCTATGAATATTTATCTTAAATATCAAGTTAGTTCTTTTTCTCAATCCAAGGGAGGGACTTTGAATGTGGCTTCCTTTGGAGTGAACCCAGTGATAAGTTTACACCAAGCACAACTTGTACCTGAGAAGCTGTAAGCTCTTTCAGCTGCCTTTGTGCTCAGGCCAGTAGAATTTTTGTTGGAGGCTCTATGAGATCATGACACCAGCACTTACTTTTTTGTCCTTTCTGCTTTTCTGATTCATGAATAAACCTCTTCACTGCATGAGAAAGGGGTGGAAATGTGCTTATAAAAGATCCAGGGAGCTGCTGCATTGCTTGGTCATTTCTTCCCTTTGTTGTATGGCACTTTCTATAGGCTCTGTATGGATTTTATAGCCCTAAGACAATTACAGTGCACAGTAACACTTCTTCATGTTGCACTTCAAGACAAAAATTTCAGTTTCTAATGTAAAAAAGTGGGGTTTATGGATGCAAAGCACTCAGGTGTTTTTATATCCACATCTACTGCAACATCTACTGCAAGGAAACAGCAGTGTGTGAGTTGAAATGCATCATTTACCTAAGGCTGTGTCCTGGTAGGAAGCTTTGAGCACTTTCAGTGTGAAACCTTTCCATTTAGTTGGGAGACTGAGCCACACTAACTCATGTTTTCTCTAGGTTAAAATAGTGCAGATTTCTTTAAGTAGAGCCAGCCCTTGAAGTCCCATATACCATGGGCAGCCCTGCCTATTAAATTGTTGAGAATACATCCCAGGAATAATCTAAACTCCTGTTCCTTAGAGTGATGTGGCTCTGCTTGTTGTGTGGAAAGTGCTCTGTCAGAGGGCAATGTATATCCCCAAAGATCTCTTGTCACTGATAATCCACAACAGCAATTGAGATCAGTGCATAACTGGGAAGATGACAAAGCCCAGGAAGAAGTCTCTGAGGCTGTCCATGGCAGGTGGAATGTCTTACTAACAGCAAAGCCATGAGTATCTGTGTACCCTCAAGGTGGTCTACTTCTGATAATTTAGAAATATTTTTTGTGAGTAATGTTTTTATACTTTGAGATACCTCTTAGTTCTTTGGAACCTATGACAAGGTTACTGTGGCTCCAGAAATGTTTTAACTTTTCCCTTGGCAAATTAATTAGCCCATGGAACACTATTTATGCATATTCATGCTAATAACTAATTAGTAATTATCATATTAGTTTCTAAATTTCTTTTTTATGGAATTAGATGCTGTTGTAAAAATAAAGTAATAGAATAATACTATTAATACAGCATATAGGATTTAAAGTAGTGACGTCATAGTATTACACTACCAAAAAATCTATTGCAGAAATTACTTCAACACAAACTTATGTCCAAATGTTCAAGTTGTGATAGGGAGCAAAGTCCTTATTCTTTCCAAAATATCTATAATTTCCCAGTAATCCTTAGGAAAAAAAATATTGGTTTAGTAACATTAGAAGAGAAATTACAAATCTGTCCCCACAAGTCCTTCTGCAGTTAACTATCCTGGCTAAATTATTGCATATGAAAATTAAAAGAGAAAAAGTTAAATATCTGCAGATATTTGAGTTACCAGTAACTCTTTACTTCTATGCTCTTTGTTAGCATTATGTCAGTTACACATACCAATTTGTTCTTTTCTCTAAAACATGAAGGTGGAAGGGAGAAAAAAGATAGGAGATAAAAATTCTAGAAATGGAAAGTGCCTGTTCTTTGGGTAAAGGAAAATGTCATTAAAAGCCAAGCTATACCTACACAATGGAGTCATTATGAGAAATTTCATGTGAAGTGAAAGAGGATGTGAAAAAAATTCTCTCTTACAGAGGCATGGAGATTATGTTTGTTTTGGTCTTGTATGTAGTGAAAGGTTAGAGGAAGGACAATAATGAATTCTAAACTCCCTTTCATGACAGAGAGGATGTTAGCCTGTTGGGAAGCAATAGCTGACCTAAAGGCATTGTGCCAATATTCACCATGGAGATAGATCCTCACTCCACAAGTGAGAAAACCTGACTGAACGTTTCCATGCACCTTCTCATCCCTGTAAGTTGCTTTGCTCCTGTTTTAATAGATAAATAACGGTACAACCAGTGGTCAGAATATGAAACATGTTCTAGGAAGGTATTTGTAATAAGTGTGGAGCAAGAGGTGGCTGTGCATGATGCAGTGCCAAAGGGTGCGGGAGTGCTGAGGCAGCCGTGGAGCTCTGTGAGCTCTGTGAGCTCTGTGAGCGCCGTGCTCTGCCCGGCCGGGCGCCGCGGTGCCAGGGCTGTGCTGCCAGCCTGGCCTCGCGCCTCGGGGCACTGCTCCTGCTGGGCTCGCCTGCCAGCACAGGGAGACCCAGGACAGGGCTTCTGCATAGCCCCACACTGCACAGCTCACAAGCTCCCACTCTGTTTTGCACATCTGAAAAAGCAAGTCAAGGAAAAAAGCCATAGAGGAAATGAGAAAAATATTGAAGGGCACTGGAAACTCAATGTCTTGATCAGACACTACAGAGTCACCCTTGAGAAGAGTGTGGTGGTCCTGGGCCGAGCACCAGTCTTACCTAAAACAGTGTTAGAATCTCATTAGGTCTCACTTTACAAACTTCATGACTTCAATTATGCCAAATGTTCAAAAGCCGATGGGTCAGGCCCCATCAAATCATGAGAATAGCTTTGGAGGGAGGTGATTTTTTAATGAAGTTTGGAATTCTTTCCCTTTTTCCTGTAGCATTTAAGCCTAAGGTTCATACATTTGGACTTTCCTCCACTTCTATGTGGGCCAACAAAATCAAAGCTGAGATTCCTAAATGGTCACGTTACTCCAGGATGTGGGACAAAAATAAAATCCCAGATCATGAGACCTGGAAAGTTCCATGAGGCTAGCAACAAAGTGAACAAGGGTCAGCACTCAGCTTCATACAAAAAGTGATTTTTACTAAACCTTTGGTGACAACATAGAGACAAAGCTGCAGTGAAATTTTGTAATTACAAAGATTGCATTAGTGTTACAAAATATGCTGTTGCACTTACAGACTTACAAGCTCAGGGTAGGGTGATGGACTAATACATGATCACTCAAAGCAGTTTCTGTCCAGCATGAATGTGTCGCTGTGTTTATTACAGTATTTAAAACAGAGTTACACTGCAGAAAATAATCACACACAATGCTTGTGCTGATGAACATATCATGCTGTGGTTTTGCTTGTTAATTTCAATGTTCACTTAATGGAAATAATTTCCTAAATATTACTCACTAATGGAACAGATCTACAAATTTTTTGTGGACTTTACTACTTATTTGTGTAAATAAGTAAGTAAGGGATAGTAAATAAGGTGTAAGGGTTTTCTTCAGTACTATATTTGAGGAAAAGGGACGGTAATGCATGTAGCACCAATCTACAGATTAAGATATTGCCATCTCCCTTTCACAAAATAATTTTTCTAGCAGTGAGAGAGAGGTAGTCTGACACCTCAGGAAATTTTCCTATTTCTTTAACAGTCCCTTGTCAGCAAGATCAAAAGTATTATACTGTCTAGTGGCATCTATTTGCATTAACTGGTAGTATTGAGGTGCATAGTGGTACTAAATAGACCTGCAAAATTATTTTTATGTATTGCCAGTGATCTCACTGTACCCCAAGGTGAACTTCTCTCTTGCAATTCTGTTCTTGTTTCTTCTTTTTATACTCCTATCTAATCAAATTCTTGTCTCTTTCACTGCTGTTACTGCAGCACCTTTTTATTCCTTTCCCCCTCAATTTTTCAATCATTGTGCCTTTATCCACTTTGTTCTGAGCACTTAGTACATATTTCTAAATGTACTTTGTGGCATCCTTTTCCCGCTCTTCTGTATGGTTATCCTCAAGACTTTGTACTTCTGTCATGTAAACAAAATTAAAGCCAAAGTTGGGTTTTTCAGTGTTTATCAGAAAGATGGAAACTACAATAATTTGTGGGTTTTAGTCTCCATCTGTAGTTTTTGGTTGTTGATTGCTGTTTTGGACTGTGAGCAATTCAAGACAGCACAAAGCACAGATATTTATACACAACCAACTATATTACAGGTGCTTTCATAAATTAAAATTTGATTGAAATGTGCAGGCTGTGTTTAGGTTGCATCTTCCATAAGCACTTACTGTAGGAGTTAAAATGCTTTTGGGGTTTTTAGGACAAGTGCAGCACAACTTTAGGAACAGACAAATTTCTGTTTAAAGTGCATGTTTAGGTACTGCTTAGGTTATAACCCATACAGGTCACTGTCCAGGATGTGTTGTGTTCATCATCATGAGTAAAATCATGCTAGTGAACTCAGAAATGTAGCTTAGAAGCAGCCTTTCAGTAGAAAAATGAGCAGTAAATCAGATGAGGTGATAAAATGATGAAAGATAAAGGGAAGTTTTTGCTTGAGGTAGCCTAGACTTAATGACAGAAAAGTTATTTCCCAGTGCTTTTTCCTACATGGCATCTTTTATATTTATTGTTTAATTGTCACAATTGCCTTCTGAGATAATCAATGTTATCCTGTTTTATGAGTGTGCAAACAGGTATGGGGTATAATGTAAAAACCCTAAATTTCCATGTGGAATTTGCTGGGTTTGTTTAATGAGACTCGACAGATGCCATGAGATAACTTATAAAAACTGAATTAATTCTTTGTCTTCAGGTGTTAAGAATATCATAGGTGCTTCCTGAATGAAGTGTAGAGAGCAAATTTAGGTAGGAATCTCTTTCAGCTAAATGCTCAGAGCCATCTTACTCAGTAACTCACTGCTCTTTTGTTGCCACAAAACAGTGCTGTGCTATGATCAGTTCATGTCTTAAATTGTAACAGCAATGGGCCTGGTTGCTATATCAGTGGGATTCTTTCAGGGAAACTCCAGAACCTGCAGGGACTGCCACCACTAATGGAGTAGAACGGTGCTTTTCCTTCCTGAGTCAATATTGACTCTGGTATTTCCAGGGTGCTCTTGCTGGACCATTGTATTGCACGGGAGACAAAATCCACAAAGCAAGACTCTCGCTTCTGCATTGATTTAGGGTCCAGTGCCCAGACAACACTAAAAGACAAACACCAAGGCTTTGAAATCACATACATAAATTGAAGTAATAAATAATCATACAGCATTTTTACCTTGAGTTATGTTTATGTACAAACAGCTACAAGGAAGTTTTACATAGATTTAGAGACAGGAAGTACTTGGGTGTACTGGGGGAAGAGTGAAAGTTAAAGTTAGGTGTGGCAGCGTGCAATAGAGATCAAAAGAAAGAGGAAAATATATGGAGTCGAAAAAGGCTATATACCAAAGAAACCTAAGCACAAATAGATTATCTAGGACCTAAGTGAAATGGGAGTTGGACATGGGAACACAAGAAGAGGAATACAGTGTTGCAAATCCATGCTTTAAAAAGTTGAGAAGCAAGTTGAATGCTTTTGATCTGCAGAGGAAAATAAAACCACAGTAAAGATAATGAAGGATAGAGATAGTGAGATCTCACTTTCCTGGGAACTCCTTCTATCATAGAGTTCTTTTTAAAATGCTCTTTCAGAGAAACCATGTTGCAGTTGCTGGACTGGAACAAATAATATAATACTATTATATTATTAATAAAATAATTTTTGTTCCTGATTGGAAAATGTGTTCCTATACATTATAGATCACAGCAATAAATTTGTTCTTGTCTTGTATGTCCTAAATCCATTTCCTGTGATAACCCATGAGATTTTATGCTCCAAGGAGATATTTTTTGACTTACCACCATGACTCTCTCCATCACTGTTGAGATACTGGTAATAGTCATGGGGCTGTCGGTAGAGGTCTGACTCATAGGGTACCATATCTTCAGAGGGCTGTAAAAAGAAGAGGAATTTTTAGAACAGTAAGTTTATACAAATCCTTTCCAAATTATTCATATAGTTAGTGAAGGGCTGATGCCAACCCATTTTATATTGCTTAGGGAAAGAAAGGGGAGATTTCAAGTTATTACTGAATCAGCAGAAATAAAATGTGTGATGCCAAACACTGGTTTTGGGGAAAAAGGAAAGAGTTATCCCAGTAGAAGAGACCCAGCCTGTGTAGCAGAACTTGTCCAGTTGTAATACAGAAATCCCTTGTATCCCCCACTCCAGCCTTCTGAGGATACTGCTTTAGAGTTGTTGTAGATATTATGCATAAGTGCAAATATTTTCTTTGGTAGTAACAGACATTTTCTTTTATTGATGATAATGATGATTATTATTATTATTCCTGTTCACAAAAAAGAAAGCAGAAAATTGTCTTGCCTAAATATATTGTTTCTACAAGGTCTGAGTAAATGGTGGGAGTCTGTCAGAGGGTAGGGACACTGACAGAGGGCATAAACACATTTTCTTTCTCAGTTACTGTCCAAGGGGACCTCTAAATGTTTGCTGCCTCAAATCAACTGCACAGGGCTTCTAGATACACACAGTGAAAACTTAAAAAGTCCAAATGTGGGGCAAATAGTGAGTTGTGACCTGTTGGATGCTTAGCTGTAGAATTAAAGTCTTCTCTAGCTTCTCAAAACAGGTGACACAGGCTAACGTGCCCACTTCTCCTCCTCCTCAGGTCTAGTATTCCAATTGGAACACTGAGTAAGATCTTATGTTGTCACAATAAAGGTTGTTTACTATTAGTTGTGCACAATTTTGTTGCTTAATCTAATGTTTCTTCTTGTTTATTTTCAGAATAAGAGTTAGAGAAAAACAGTGTCTGTTTTGTTAAACCTTAATTCAATTAAGTTTGTTACAGTATTTCCTTCCAATCCAAACAAATTCTTGCACTGTCAACAGCAAAGAACTCAACCACCTTCTTGCCTTTTTTTAGGAAGGAAATTACTTTTAGTATTTCTAGGTGTTAATAGAAACATTTAATTCTATCAATGACTCTATCATAACTAACTTTGAAGGATAAATATTTTGAATAACATGATAACTATATGATCAGTGTATTTCTTGTGTTTATATTTCATATGCCTATCTGTATGTCCCAAATCCTTTCCCTCCATGAGCCTGTCACATTTTTGGAACATCTGCATTTTTTAAGCTTAAGCTGTGGTAACAGCATGACAGAAATACAGGACAGCTTCTCTTTTTCTTACTCCCCTAGACTGCTTGAGAAATGGAACCTAAGGTAGCAGCTGCCACTAAAATCCAGATGGAGGTGGTAGATAAGCAGCTAGCAAAAGGAAAGGACTTTTTTTTTTCTGGTTTCTTTAATTCTTCTGGTTAACTCCTTCAGTTCATTCTGTTGGAATGTGGGGATTTAAAGATTGTCCCTTTCTGAGGATTAAGATGCTAGAACACATACCAAAAACACCCCAACAAAACATTTTCAGAAATTACTTTGGAACTTGGTAAATCCTTAGCAGCAGCCATGTGTTCTATGAGTGTATAATCAAAAGGCACTGGTAAGATTGTCTAAAACTTTGTGACCTTCAGCACACACATTGACTGGGAGTCAGACCCATGGAATATTTAAAGCCTCAGGAGAAAATCCATCACCTGGCTACAAGCTCCAAATAGAATCAGTGGTGGTGGATAATTGCTTTGGGGAAATCTTGAGAAGATGATAACCCACAGTAAAGGTTTTCTAGGGGAAAGACTAAGGAAAAGGGACAAGTCATCCTCTAACTGCATCCACACAGGAATAGCAGTGATGGGACTCTTCTCTGGTCTCCAGAGCTCTACTGTAGGTACAGTCTCCCTTTCCACATCTATGTGATTACAGTAGAATTGCCCTTTATTCACACAGACATACAATAGGAAGTATAACATGTTTTCCAGATTTCAGGGAGGTGGTGAAAAAGTCATTACAGCATGTATCTCCTCAACATTTCTGCTTTTTCTCCATGTATTTTCTTGGTGTTCTCTCTGGTTATAGGTATTTACTCATCTTCATTCCTTCCACCTTTGGTGTACTCTGATCTCTGACAAGAAAAAGTAATGAGACTGTATTTTGCTTTCTTTAGGATAAAGTTCTGAATGGAATTTCTCCTTCTCATTATCTTTGCAAATTAGTTCATCCCATTCCCTCATTTCCTTTCCCTAAATATATGCTTCCTGGTAAATATATAAACTTATGCCTTCATATTCAAAATTTTAAATTATTATATTATAAATTAAAACCTAAATTTTAATTAATATTGTAAATTACTATAATTCAACGGAAAGCATTGATATTCTGTGAAAGGGGAAATGTCAACATCTAAATGGAAAATGCATATCATACTAGTTAGGAAAAACAGAGGTTAAAAAGTCATATAAATGTACATTGTTTGAAAGAAAAATCTGTTTCTTCTCAACTGAGATACTAGAAACTGGTACAAATTATTAAGATGTTAATACCTAAATGCATTGAAGTTTTAAATGCTGATAACAGTTTAGCCAAAAGTAAACTAATTTCGAAAGAAATCACTATCCTGTCAATATAGGCTTAATTTGCTAAAATTTCCAGTGGTACAGCAAGGCATCTATCACTCATATCTTTACAGAAGTATAGCTTGGCAAGAAGGCCAAGTGTCGGTCCAAAAGTAGATAAAAAATACATATTTTAGGCAAAGAAAAGAATGTTTGGCTTTTCCTAATTGTGCTTTCCTTTGTTGTCTTCTCTCAGTTTCCAAACTCCCCCCATTTCAATAGTGTCTCACAGTCTGACAACTGAGAATGAAGTATTTTACCATTCAAAAGCTACTTTTACAGTTCAGATGCATGTTCCATGAGCAGAGCTCAAGGGAGGTGTGTTAAATAGACTCTTAAAGCAATGACTCCCTTAATATTTACAGATATGACTGATTACAGAGTGAATTGCAGATACCCAACATCTAAAAACGATTTTACATGGGTTTTGGGGTACTATAAACTTTGGTTTGAAAGTCTGGGGCTTAAAATTTCTTTATCATGGATGCTTGGAATTTTTGTCCTTGGATTTGTTTCCTGTCCAGTGATCCTTTTGATAAAATACATGTGCGAATATCCTTGTTAACTCATGCAACTGGACCCATCTGTCCCACACAGGACTTGTAATGCCACTGCCTTCTATCTTGGTGTCTGGTCTTCAAGGGCACAGTAACTAACATGGCAAGATGTATTAAATGTTTAAGAGTCTACTTATCATCAACTTAATCAGATGGTGGTTAAAGGACATAGAACAGCATGTATTCTCTCTGATTATCCTATGGGAAAGTGGGAGATTTCCCTCTATTTATTAGAAAGGCTATATTCAATAACATGTTTTTAATTGCTTTCTGGTTTTTTGGGGAGTGGTTTGTTGTTTTGGGTTTTTTTAAGACAAATTTCTTTAGAAATGTTTTCTCTAATTAGAGAGGTTTCACCATGTATTGCTGTTGCCTCTTGTGTCAGTCTTTACCCACTTGCCCTGTCCTTCTCTGGAACCTCCCCACCCACACCCATTTCATCATCTTACTGACAGCTCTTCCATGACACTGAACTGTTTTGTTACCCCTGACAAAAAGCAAAGAATAGCTTATGTTTAATATTTAACTGATGTCAATGGCCATTTGTTCTATTGGTTATTTCCATGTAAAAGAATGACTGAAAGCTTTGTTACAATCCCATAGTTGTGGTCTAAAGTTGGTATCTCCTTGCATGCATGCCATGAGGTGCAGTGCACTATCTAGACAGTATTCTACACTCAAGTAAGAGGTCAACAAACAATACTTTCTGCCACAGACTTTTATAAATGAAGAGTGGCCTCAGTCTTCCATCTTTGCCCTGAAACTCAAGGGAAAAGCCACAAAACCAGTCAGAGAAAGCTCAGTTGGCATTGGTTAAGAGAGACACATTGGACTCAACTGAATAGCAGTCTGAAAATCTTGTTATTCCCCAAGACTTTGTCAGATGATTCCAAGGAATTGTAAAATCACTAAATGCTGATCTGCTGGTTTTTATCTTGATATAACTATTCACTGGCATGTGATTCAAAAATACTTCAGACAATTTCCAGTGATGTGCTGCTGAGACAAGCTTTAAGGCCAAGATTAACTTTATTTCCTTGGAAAAAAATTACAGTATAACTATTTTAGAAAAGATGAGTAAAAATATTAGCATGATTACTCATTGGGCCAGCCTCACTGGACCGTGTTGATAATGCAGTTATGTGGAACACAGTACTTCTGTGGGGCATTTTTGCTCTCATGCAAAAATACTTCATTCAAAGCTGTGATTTCTACAGGTGGCTACTTAAGGATTCATATAAAACTGGAAACCTCTTCAGGCAAAGGTGTTTGACTTAATAATGTTTTGACCCATAACACAACTGAATTCTATCACACACTGGAAGACACAGACCCAGTCTGCAGAACTTTTCCCCACAAAATTTCTAATCTTCAGAGGAAGATGCAGTACTCCCAGACAATTTAAACAGTGTTTTCCAGCTGAGGGATAAGAATTTCCTAGCCCAGGCAAGAGAAAGCAGTTACTGACCCACCCTCAACTGATCGGGGAAGGGTGGAGGAGGGAAGTGTTGCTGCAACCTCTGCCTACAAACAGGCTTGTGTCTCCCCACTGAAAAAGTCCCAGGAGACAGACTTGTAGGACTCTAGCTGGCAGTGCTCAAAGTGCTTAAAGACATTTTGAAAGTACAAACCACAAAATTATTAATTTTTTGGTAGTTAATTCACAAAACAAAAAAAGCCCAAATTGCTCTATCAAGAGCTTCCATAAGATGCAATTGGGTTTTCACTGCCTGTTGTATCACTCATCTGAACGCAGTACAGACATTAACTGCAACACAAATTAGAATATGGGCCAAACTGTGTTAGATTTTCACTCAAGTTATTCAACATATGTCCTGGAATTCAACACTGGGGAAAAAAAAGGCAGAAAACTTGGCTATGAGTTAATAAATAGACAGAAAATTAACAATTGGGTTTTTTTTTTTTTTGAATGGAGATGCAGTTTTCTGGGGTAGCTAAAGACAAGGTTTGTGTTTCTTTATAATTTATTTTTTGTTAAGCCCAACAAGTAACATACTGAGAAATCTCTAGACATGTTTTTTAAGCTCGTTTCTATTCAGATTTCTATTCTGTTGCACTTACAGGAGACCCACTGGGAAATCTTGTGTATTTAAGAAAAAGAATTATTTTTAGAGTCTTCTCACCCTTTGGGTAGATAGATGATTTCAGGAGAATTGATGATAAACTGAGAAAATAAGGGTTCTCCCCCAAAAATAAGATAAATACTTTCAGTTATCATGAATTCTGAACATGACAGGGATTCAAAGGCAATTTTTCTGGATGAAAGATTAGAAATGTCTTTAGTCTTCATTAAATGGGACAAGGCAAAACCAAAACTTGATATAAGCTTTTTTTAAAAACCCTTTGGATCTGCATTGTCTCTCTCTGTTATCTGACACATGTATAGCAATTACTGTAAGCCATCTACCACATAAAAAGCCAATTCAACCACCTTATCTGACACCTCTTCAGCTTCTACAAACTTAATGAAATCTAATTAAGGGCTCTTGTACCCAATCTCTTTGGAGATTTCCCATTAAGCCTGGTTTCTGAACAACAGGTTAGTGACATTATTTTTTTAATAAATAATAATTTTTTAACTCACCGTACGATAAATTACAGTAGTGCGACAATGCTTAGAGTTAAGGAAAGGACAGATGTGCCCCATAGGCACACAGAAAAATTCGTATGTTAGGGAAAACATTGAAAGACTTAAATAAGGACTGTAGGTTTTTTTCCCTATTAGCCAGTTGCTTTTTCACAGTCAGTGAATTCAAGAAAATTCAAGAAAAGATTAGGTTAAAAACTAAAATGCCATCATTGAAAAGAACACACAGAGTCCTAAAATCTGCAATATGTAAGTCAACATTCAAAAACTCTTCTTTCACAGATTAGTAGGCAGTTAAATACATAAACTATGTCAGAGACTTTGGATGATTAAGAATTACAATCTGAAGAAAGATGACCTTTGTATCACATAGGAGGCACTGAAGAAGAGAGATTTACTGACTTGTTATAAACACCCTGTACAAAAATACCATACATTTAATCTGTGAAAACAAATGGAGATCAAAATCAGATACAAGTTTAGGGAGGAAACGTTAATTTCCCTTTCATTGCAGTGTTGTCACTAGTTTTATATATTGACCCAAGCCAAACTTCCTGGCATTACAAATACAGACCAAAACAGAGATATTCTCAAATAACAAAACCTGGTTTACTCTGCCTTTTTCTACTGAACCTAATGATCCATATTACAAATAAATCCATATACTCACAGGGGGAATAAGGGGAAATCCTTCCATCTTGCAAGCTTGCAACATTCAGCCAACTTCTGAGTGAATTTTTCTTAATTCAGTTTTCAAACATCCAGATTAACTGACTTGCAAAAAATCATATTTAAAAAATGATGGAAAAAAAGGAAAACTAATGAGAAAAGAAAAAAAACAAGAAAAAAGTGAGATCCTCGGACTCCGTGAAGTCCCTTAGCAGTGGTGGATCTCAGGACAGGAGGACCCTAACAAGTTTTCATAGTTTGCCCTAATAGGTTCGGAGGTGAACTTCTTCCCGAGTTGTATGCGAAGTTCCTGATTTTATCAAATGTCTGTAGAAGGCAGATAGGCCCTGGGTCTATCAGTGCGCTGTGACATCACACTTGAGTTTGCATACATCTCATTTCAGGGAGCTGCGGCACTGCAGCAGGAAGTCTGCCCCAGCCATGGACAGGTGCTTGGCTGTATAATCAGCAGCCCAGAGCCTGCCTTCAGCCAGAGAGAGGGTGAGTGCAGCACCGGGAGAAGGCTCTGTGCTTCCCACTGCACATGAACCAGAACCATGGTGCTGCTGCTCTCAGGTTTAATGAGACATCATAGACACAGCCCCGACAACTTCTGAGAGGCCAGAGCAGTGGCGTAGACTTGCATTAATAATAGTCCTGTGTTGAAATGATGTGGCAATACTTAGCAGGTAGGAAAAAAAGAGTATGCAGTTTCAAATACACAGCCTTAGGTTTTTACAAAACACTGAAGTTATGCCCATGAGACTTTTGTCATCAGCTTTGCACGAGGGTAAGTTCAGTGGAAGATACTTTGTCCTCGTATTTGTTTCTTGTGAACTCTTTTTTTTTATAATTCCTGCAAGGAGAAAGTGAATGGGGAAAAGGAGAAAGTATTACATGTCTCTCACAATGACTTCCCTCAGGTCCTGAGTGCCTTCAACAGTGAATAGAGAATAAGATTTATAGACTCCTGCTCAAAGTGTCAGGTGCAGAAAAACCTTGTAGAGATTTTGTGTTAGCTCTGCTCACTTGATTTTCTCCCCTCTCCTTATCCCAGTGCTCTGCTGGCATTTGGCTGTGCTGAACAAATGCCCTTCATATGCAGGTTCTGGCAGTGCCAGAGGTGAGTGGGGCTTGGGGCAGGATGTAGGGGTTGAGGCCTGGCTACAAGGGGAGAGAGCTCTCATTCTGCAACATGCCTTCTTGCTTTGCAGTTAGTTACTGATGTCTTGGAAAAGTGAAGTTTCTTTGTCTGGTTTGTTCCCCTTCAGTGTATGCCCATGTGCCACAGGTTCTGCTTTTAAAAGCAGCCTGCTTACCACTCACCTGGATCTGTGTGCAAGGGGAATTTCAGCCACTCCAGACTTCCTCCCTTGTACACTGGTAAAACCAGAGGCCACTCACAAGTTCCTCTCATTCCCCACCCTCAGGAACTCCACAAGCAAACCATATTAGCAATGGGATAATATCAAGACCATGATGGGATATTAACTCTTGAAGCCTCAGACTGGATTTCATCAGCATTCGTTGATGCATAAGCATTTAATTCTTCCTTAATTCATACCATGAACTCTTGACTTTAGCCTGGGAATAAGCAAGCTGCTTAACAGTCCACTTCTGTTTCTGAGGTGCTTCTCAAGTCTCCCCCTGGATACCAGCCTGGAAGTGATCAAACTGCCTGGGGGAAAAGGAGAGAAGCCAAGTAACACCCTGGTGATAAAATTCAGTGCAAACAGAGGAGAAGGGAGTGAACACACAAATCTTACAGTGGGTAATTGAATAATAGGTGATAAAAGCAATTGTGGAAATTGTGTGTCTATTAACAAGGCTATTCAGAGCAAGGAAGATATGCTATCTGATTCACTGCACACTGAAAGATAGCTTAAGTAGCTTCTGCAAATATTAAACATGTGTTTTATGCAGAGAGGCTTCTACTAAAGTGGCATGAAACAATATTCCATAGGCTGGAGGACATTTCTGTACTGACTTTTAGCACAGGAAATTGCCTAATAAGGACAGATATTTTGCACCAGCCTCACTGCGCTTGGGGAATGCTGGGTTGCCAACATTATCAACCAGGTCCAAACATACGGTAATTGTAAGTGCACCAAGGCACTCTATATGAATAATTAAATTGATTCTCTGTATGCTGAATCAAAACTAAATGATATGCCATAAGGTTTCAGGAAGAGCAAGAAGTCCAGCAATTGAATAACCTTCCCAGAAAAGAGGGTATCTCTGTGGATGGAAATGCTCAAAGTGTGATAAAACACTTGTTTATCCCACTTGTATAGGAACGTCACTAGTAACAACCTTGCTAAAGTTCAACAGACTGATTTCTCACAATTGCATATAACTGGCATTTTATCCTCTGTTTGTAAGAACAGAATCTTCTCACCTCTAAAGCAAGGCCTACTAGAGGTGATACTTTTGCCCCAGATCCTTGCAGTTGCCTTATCAGATGACTTACATGAAGAAAATAGATGAAGTTACAGTTGTGTAGTAGCAAACTGATTTCCAGAGGTATGTGATGTTAAGTGCTACTCACAGAATGTATTTTGACCTTTAAAAATGCTTTTGAATTAGGGTGGAGATCCTTCTCCATAATGAATTTTGAGAACTAGAGAAAAAACTGATGAGTTGAAGGATTAAGTTTTTGAAAGATTATTTCTGATAACATTAAACATTCATATGAATCCTTTCCCTCTAAGCATCACCTCACTCTGTGCAGTTTTTTGAAGCATTTCTTGCCCTACGTCTAGCCATTTGTTCTTTAAGCTATTTATAACCACAAACTACCAAAGCAAAAGGGTTTCTTCTAGCAGCCACATCACAGAGAGGTCTCGTCACCTCAAACCTTGTTTGGTGCTTGGAAGGTAATTTTCCCCCCTACTAAAACCACAGAACATCACTCATTCTGTAGTCCTTTAATCAGAAACAGGTGCTTACACAGATTCTGCCACTGAGTTTTCTTGCAACAGAAAGACAACACCTCTAAGCAAGGAATTCTGCTGTGTGTTCCATACTCTTCACAGTACTATGTTTTAGCATGGAACTGGTTTTTATCTAGGCCTAATATGGGTTGTAGGTCTTGTATACCATCCTTTAACATTTATTATCCATTGAGATGACATGAGTCTCTGACTGTGGAACCTGTGGGGTCTGGGGGATAGTCCTCCCTTGATAACTGCTTGTTGCATGCACTCCTACTGAGTTGAAGATGTGAATTGAAATATCTTTGTTGCATATGTTGATATGAGAGAGTAGGAGGCAGAAAATGGCTGCTGCAAATTCTGGCTAAAAAGAATTTGTTACCTCTTTTTCTCACGTGTACCTGCACCTTAGGACCTTTAACAGTCTGATTATAGACTCTCCTGAAATATGTGCTCCCATTTCTACTGTGGTAGTGTCACTCACCTTTGTGATACCCACAGGTTTATTGGCATGACTACATCTGAATAAAGGATTTTCCTCTCTATGTGGGTATCCCTTCCCAGAGCTGATGCAGTTCGTACTTGCAAAAAAGGGCTTTTGACAGTCCAGCTTTCATGAGGTCCTGAGTTTTATGAATGAGCATCTGTACAAAGACTTTTCCTAGTGGGAAATGTCATAAAATGTAATTAAAACATCAGTTTTAAGTAGCTTAAATATATTGGCAAATATTTTCAAGCATAGACTAGACTCCATCCATATCAGAATGGAGAAAACCACCTCCATTTGGAGGAAGAGAAAATTTCATGGGTATTTTAAGAACTATTATGATATGCAAGCACTTACAGAAATGAAAAGCATTTATTTTTTCATTGGATTAGTAACTTTTAAACTCTCCATAAAACAGAATTCAGCAAAGAAGAAAATCTCTCTTTGGAAATTTATATGGCTTTAAGATCTATTTACATGCCAGCTGCATTTTATTACTTACTGTATTTGGGAAAACTTGTTTGGGTTTTAAGGCATTTTGAAATAACTATAAGATTTTATATGGTTTTTAATGATCTTCTGCCTTCTGTGGGCAACAGATTTTCAATTTACACATTTCTGCTCGCTTATTGTCATCCAATTTCTCAAAACCTTAGTATCATTTCAAGCGATTAACCTGGAAGACTGTTTTAACACCATCTACTTTTGAAGTCTATATCCAGTGTACATCCTACCTACAGTCAGCAGCTCCAGTAAGGTGAAGGTAGAATTGTCTATCATCCCTTCATAAAGAACCTACTGTCCAAGAGAGATTACCTTCCCTCTCACCTCCACCCCCCCCCAAAAAAAAAAAAAATCAGATACTTTAATGGTAAAATTAAGTTATAAGGTTAAGGTGAATCTGTGATTCAGCTTGAGAAGAATATATTTGTAGAGTAAAATACTTGCTGCTGATGGAGGCTCAATACACCTGGTATTTCTTTCAATAAGGCATCATTTCAGACTGATTCTGTTCTGATGCCATAGAATTCCCATTTGCAGCTGGAGACCTGAGCTACACCTTCAATTTAATCTGAAAAGAATCCAGTTTATGTATCCTAATACTGCTGTGTGGTGCAAAGTGTAGTAAGTGGGATCAGGATATTAATTTTAGAAGTGGTTTTATGATCTGAACTATTTTGTCGATCTACATTCACCATTGGAGAGGATTCTTACCCTGAGTCTGTAGTGACCTCCGACAAGTTGTGTCAGAGATATCTTTGCTGTGTGGAGCTTGTTTTGGATATTTAGGCAGCAGTTCTTTCCTGAGAGCTCAGCTGTACCTAGTCTTGCTCTCCTAATGTAAATAACACTTTCCAGACTTGTATCTTATTAGCATTATACCCCTTAGCAATCTCTCAGAATTCTAAAGAGAGCAACACTTTTCACAAATAAATGTGCTTAGGTAGCTGGTGGGTTTGTAGCTGTGCTTCTGGCTCTCTGCCACCACTTTGACAAGGACTTGCCTGGAATGTTGCACAGACAGAGGAACTGAAGTACTGGGAGCCTGTGCTGTCTTCCATCCTCCCCATGGAGGTTTGACTGCATAGGAGGTGAAGCATGTATGCAAGCCCAAAGGTCACAGCCTTTTGTATGTGACTAGGCAGGTGTGTATGACACTCTCAGGAGTATGTTATCTGTAGAAACTTTTTACCAGTTAGAAAAATTGTGTTTTAATTAATTGCAATTCATTCTTTTGTAACCTCAGACCTTCTTTACTAAATAAGTCACATGCAGTTAGACTATTCAGTCTTCATTTTTACTTTTTTGCCTGTGATTTTTTTCAGGTGTCTTGAAATCTGCAGGGTTTGGTAAAAAGCTGAAATCCTTACCTAATCTGGTAGAAA